AAACAACCACCCACCACCAAAAGCCTCCCCCCTAAAATTGTTTTTTTTTAAAACTCAACCAAACACAACCCTTCAAATCCATTTCCCATACCCCCCCCCCCCCCCCCCCCCTTTTTTTTTTTTTAACCTTCTTGATTTTCTTCCTCGCTAAATTGACTGCATTTGCCCCTCTTCCACATGCGGGAAACCTTTTTTAACAACCTGGCGATAAACTGTTGGAACCGCGTCGGCTACCGGCCTTTGGTCTACGAGAATTCTGAAGAATTTTTGCAGCCGAGCTTATGTATAATGCATCTCTCACATCATGCTTGCCAACTCATCGTGGTTGGTTGTACAAGCATCCAAAATAAAGGGGTTTGCAGCTCGATGGAGATGTGAAGACTACAGGGACCTACATATGACAAGATTTCTCTTGATAATATCCATCACTATATTGCCACTGTTAATGCTGACTTTGAGAGACTAGACGCCATCGGCTCTATCTGAAAAAAGAAGAAACAAAGTGACGGGCAACTCCACGTCTTTCGGAGCTTTTTAGGAGCACGACAGGATAGGCAAGACAGGAGGCTCGGCGCGCGGCGAGTAGGAACAATACCCAAGATTCGGACTGATCTGTTCTGCTCCAGAAATTCTGGATCAGAATTCAGGAACAACGCGCCCAATGCCACTCTGGGGTTCCCTGCCCACCATCTTAGGCCCATTCAGGTGCAACCAAAGCATTAACCAAGGCCTACATACCTACTATGGACATAGTAGTATTCCAGTCGGTCAAAACCAGTCACGATCAGTCACGATCAGTCAAGACCAGTCCAGGACCTAGCAGAGAGAAACCAAGCAAACCCCTACCGGTTTCACCCTAAGCTCCCATAATTAATTTCCGCGCTAGTCAAGTGTCATGCTTCCATTTCTTTGCCATCTGTCACGTCTGTCACCTATCTCTCCGCTTCGACTAACCGATCTTCTCTTACCGTCCACTTTTTAGGCAATGTCACCATCTGTTTAGATCCGCGTGGATCTATCGAGCCCCCGTCCATGCAGTGGAGCCCCTGACTGCTGGACTGGGTGGCGCTGCATGCTACTATGTACACAACCGGGTCTCCGTTATGAGCTCTTAATATATATCTCCAAGGTGAGCAGCTTCCGAGCTATTCTGCTGGTATTTTCTTTTTTCCCTCCGCGCCCAACCGTTGTGCATTTTACGCTCTCTTCTTCTGTCTTGCTAGCCGAGTTTATTTATACACACTCTTTTCTTCTACTTCCGTGTTGATAGCCAGTAAGCTATCAACTTATTAGCTTCGTCTTTCATTTTTTGAACTATATATTACCCGTCAACTGCCTGCAAGTCGGGATTCTTTCTACAATTGCAGCCAGGATAGCTCTCTTTTTACCACATCTTATCCCCAAATCAACTCTCTTAGAAGGTCCATAGAACTAGGACATTTACTATCATTACTTATATACAACTGATCGCAAAACCCGGCACTTTCTGTCATTTCCGACTAGTCCTTCAAAATGCGCGTTCAGCAAAGCGTTCTCGCTTCTCTCGTCCCCGGCCTTGTCGCCGCCATCACCCCGCCGAACATCCCGGGAATGCAAATCATTTTCTCCGAATCCTTTGAGGGATTACCAGGCGCCCCTCCCAACGGTGACACGTGGAACATTATGGATGCGATTAACACCAACAACGAAGTCCAGACATACACCACCTCGAACCAGAACGTCCAGATTAGCGGCGGCGGTACCATTCAGTTTGTCCCTCGAAAATCTCCCGCCGGCCTTTGGACGTCCGGTCGTATCGAGACTAAGGGATCATGGACCCCCCAACCCGGCAAGGTCTTCAGTATCCAGTCTAGCCTCCTGTTAGGAAATAACCCCAACAAGCAAGGTATCTGGCCTGCCTTCTGGGCACTCGGCGATGCCATGCGCCACGGCACAGAATGGCCTGCCGCTGGAGAAATAGATATCATGGAACAGGTAAACGGACTACTTACCGGCTATGGTACCATCCACTGCGGCAGTTCCATTGGTGGCCCTTGCAACGAGCCCATGGGACGTGCCGGCACGACTCCCATGTCTCCTGACGGTTTCCACACATGGGGTGTCACGATTGATCTCACCAACGAAGACTGGCGAGCGCAGACCATCACATGGCACTTGGATGGCAAAAACTACAATACTATTTCTGGAGGTGATATCAATGATGCCCCCGTTTGGTCTTCTCTGGCTCACAGCCCCTTGTAAGTGTCCTCAATATAGCTAATACCTGGGGAGTAATTATTAATGCCTACATCTTAGGTACATCCTTCTTAATGTTGCTGTCGGCGGTGACTGGCCAGGTGCACCCAATGGTGTTACGCAAGATGGCTATGGCAGCATGATGGAAGTCGAATGGGTTGCCGTCTACTCGTCTTAGACAATATTGCCCAATTGGTATCTCAAAATAAAAGCGGGTGTATATACGGGAAATTGGCGTTTGTCAGATATCGGGTTCAGGATTTTTGGATGAAGCGCTCAAGATACCTCTATGTGTTACGTTTTTTTTTCTTCTCTTCTACATTGTCCCAGGAGGCAAGGCTTAGCCATTTTAGTAGTCACATCCGCTTTAGAAGTATAGCAGATGTCTATCTTGCTTCAATTAAACATGATGAAATGGGGTATGTGGTTCAACTTGTTGGACGCATTTACAATTCTGTCGATATTTCTTGTTTCTATTGACAAATGCCTTGATGCGCCATCTAACGTGGACTGGCCTTGAAGTGACATATGCTATGGTTCCGTCGTGCACTTGACACGCGTAATGAACTTTTGGATCATATCATTTATTATGCTTGATTCGGCGTTGATTACTCACGGCACCTAATCAGCCTTCTTTGGGAGGTCGTATGAGGGTTACGGTTCCTGAAACTCGCGCATATAATTGGCCGGTTTAAGGTGACGACAATGTAAGCCGGCCTGTGCACGGACGACTTAAGTCTTCAGCGTCTTCTAAGTCCAACCTGGGGCTGTCCTGGTATCCTAAACCCGGGTTACATTGTATAACGGAACTAGATAGATTGCAGATGTTAGACTAGGTGACCTCTATAATCAAAGCCGGGAACGGCAAAAATAGGTATCAACTCACATAAGGATTCTCGAAGTCTGTATAGTCCTGCTCTCCGAGCTGCTGACCTCTCTTTATCCTCTCCTCCTCCATGATACCGTGCTCTCGCAACCACGTTTCGCGTCGCCTGTTCCGCATAACTAGCACAATCCTCCATGCTATGAGGACGATGAATTCTAGGCCAAAGCATACCGCACAGCCGACCGTACCGGGGATATATCGTGGCTTGGGATGTTGTTAGCTAAATACAGAATAGTTCTATGCTGAAGGGCGGCGGAGAGTTCGGATTATAGAATAGAGGGAATACGCACGGCGTCTTTGGCTAGGAAGATTTGCGATCCGACCATGTTACCCACGCAGTACCCGACAAAAGTGAACGATGATGTCAACGTGCGCTTGGTGCGTCCAGCGACGTTTGAGGGGATTAATGTCCAAGCGAGGAACAGCGCGACAACGCTCGTGACGGTGATAAAATAGCTATGAATCATCCCCGAGTCCTTCGTTAGTATGTTTGCTATGAGCTTTGGGTCTCACCTGAGACGGAGCTTTAATCGGGAATAGTTAATATTTACCCTGCCCACTTGATCCACTTGTAGTGAGGTTCGTTCGGCAACGTCGCCATTATAATGAAGCCTGCTACCGGCGGGATAACGGAGAAAATCATGAAGTACCTAAGACCACATGTTAGCTACCTCTTAGAAGCATCAGGACATAATTATCTTCTAGCAATGACTCACATGCGTAGGTTCTTCTTCCTACTTGTCACAACCCCGATAATAACGAACCATATTACGGACGTGAGATTTCGAGGTATATCGAGAAGAATGACCTGTAGGTTGGCTAACGCACGGTCAACATTTAGTCTTCCATGACAGACATTGTAAGCCACTGACTGAATCCAGCGTTGGTGTTAATAATGGAACCGAAGGCGGTTATTCCACCGTTAGGCACAGAACTCAAAAACGCGTTGACTCCAGCCAACCAGAACTGTAATCGATGGAATCCTCGCCTGCGTTAGCAACTAGGATATTAGGCAAGGACTTTTTTCAACTACTCACGCAAGGATCGACGAGGCATTCACGCGCTTGTTTCCACTTCCATTTCTTGATGCCAGTTCGGTCGTGGCCGGTATTGTTCGTCATGATGCGGGCGTTGGCTATCTTCCTCTCTTCCAAGCTAAGCCAGCGGACTTCTGACGGCGTTCCAAGCAGGAAAAGACATAAGAAGCCAGTGAGAATTGTCATGCCACCGAGGAACTACTTCGCCAAGGCGTAGAAGTAAAAGATTAGTATGGTGTTATGGACTGATATCCCACATTTTTCATGGTGAGCTCACATAAGACATGTAACGCCAAGCTTGAAACTCGGGACCTCGTGAATACTGCAGCGACCCGATTCCATAAAGGATTAAATTGGCAATGATACCAAAGCCGGCATTAGCACTTTGGAAGACAAGAGATCGCGAGGAGTGCTCTCGTGTCGTGTACCAGCTCCCGACGACCAGGATAAAGCCAGGTGAGATGCAGCACTGGATATATGCGACATCTTGTGAGTTCTATGAGTTCGCGCGCTGGGGAGTGAACTCACCTCGAACAAGCCCTGCAGCGCACGCAATGTGACCAACTGCGTGAAGTCCTGCGCAAACCCAACGCATAAAACTACGACGCCCCAGCATATCATATAGCACGATAATGTTCGACCCATCAGATACCGCTGTAGGATGATGTTAGATGGGAACTCGAAGCACATATACGTGATATAAAATATCGTCGTGAGCCACGAGTACTGCTGTCCAACAAGCCCAGTATCCTATATAATGTATGTTCGTGTTAGTAGAAGAGCTGGTAAAGAGGTATTGAAACTCGTGTATAGTTCGGCCACTACCTTTGCAAGACCAAAGGTCGCTTGTGTGCCGATCGATGTTTTGTCCGTCTGCTGGATGCCATAGCAAAGCCACATTAACGGTAAAAGATATCTATCGGCTTTCCTTTTCAGCTTCTTATACTGCTCGTCGGCGTATTTAGGGACTGCCCATTAATAAGTATTTCAAGCAGTGGTGAGTAAGGCGGAGTGAGGTCAGACCTGAATCGTTTTGAAGCTCACCACCCGCTACGCTGACCTCCTCGCTTATCTCCGCATAGTTCATCTTCTCCGGGGTTTTCTCCTGGTCTTTCTCCGAGCTGGTGGATATCTCTACGTTTTGCGCCATTATTTGCAATATACTATAGACTTTGACGAACGTGCTTGAGAACTCGGTAAGACATCGTCTACCAGGTACAAGGGCATAGTGTTGCTTATATGCATTTGCGAATCCTACGGGGGTAGACAACGCCATGTTGATCTCAACCGAGATAATGTATGTAGATAAGGATGGCGACATGCATGCGATGCAGGCGATGTCTATGGCTTGCTTCCCATTCGGAAACTCGTATCTCCAAGCATATAGTTAAGATAGCAAATCCGGAATTCGAATACTACAGGGGTAACGGAAATAGAATGGGCGATTAACCAAGAATAACATCATTACGACCTCTTTTCCTTCACGTGTATGTAATATCACTCCTAAGTACTGTGGCGTATCTGCCTCCTTATCTCTTGTCTGCTTAAAGGTGGAGTCCGGGGAAGATCTCCATATCCCGCTGCGACGGGTGACTCCAATTGCTTATCAGTCTGGGTCTATGTAATGGTGTTTAGACGCATTTCGGTATGCAACCCCGGTTTAGATAGGTTAGCTACCTTTACGACGTATGGAAAAGGCCATAAGTATCGGTCCCCGAGCGGGGTACTATAAAGAGAATATAAAAGGAGATTCTGATAACCAAAGATTGACTTCGCTTAGAGGTTATTTCACTCTTAGGAGTGGAAAATGTTGAACTTCTAATAGGTAAGATGGATGAGATGGATGAGATCTACTTGATTGAATGAAATCACCTAGAAGGCAAATTATTCTAAGTGAAGTTGTAGCCCGTAAGTCAATCTTATTGTATAGGTACCTTAGGTAGGTAGGTAATGTTCTTTGCTATTAATGCTCTCTATAACCACAACTAGCTGCTAATCAACTTGATTATAAGGAAAAGAAGAAGGGCAAAGAAGAAAAAGAAAAAGCATGTCCTCCGCATACCGAATCTTATGGATAGGTATCTTATGGATCTAGAGTCTGACACGTAGGCCCAATACCGGGTTAGCGATATGTGGCCTCAGTAGAATCCTAAAAAGCAAAGATGCGAATCTTTTTATAAACACGGTATATCCGGTTTCTCCCGAGTACCTCAGCCCTGCTGTGTGCCTGACTGCCCGCTTCGGTACCTTCTCATCCTCTTTTGTCTGTCCTTACATTACGGAGCAGATTCCCCAGTCAATACGAGCTCCATCCTGAGATGAGGTCCATTGTGACTGGGGTAATTGAACGATCTTAGTTATCGAATTCATCTTGTGAGACTGCACTCGGTCGTTTTTGATTCTTTTTTTTTTCTTTTCTTTTTTTTTTGGATTGCTGAAGCTACAATAAGTTGGCGTTTAAAAGTTGTATGATAGACTTTGTGGAAAACCATACCATACCGTCTGGAGTCTGAGCCTTAAATCGTAAACCATGGTCCTTATAATAGCGCCTATGTTCTGATGTGACTTGAAATTGCAACAAGGGCGTTTTTGTCTGCCCCCACGGCCTTTGTGCGTATCAAGTGAATTGGAAGGAAATGCGACATTTGTTGCTAGTTGTTGTCCTAAAAAGGATTTTCACATCTCCCACAACAACAACTTCATAAATAAAGGTGAAGCTATAATTAGAACTGTACTAATAATCGCTATTGATAGTTTCCTATTTTTCTTTGATGCCGGGCTAACATCGTTCACACTTGTCGGGCTATATGGAAACTATTAGTTGGATTAGCCAAAGTATACTGTAGAGACAAAGCGAACCCAAGCTCCAAGATAACTCCGAGTCTGTCTCATTGTGACCCCGCGCTATAGCCTTGGTTGAATCCAAGAACGAAAAGCAAACGCCACAGAGTCATACGTTGCAAACTGGACCGTGATGCGACGAAATAAGATGCAAGAAGTAGTAAGGTCTAAAAGCTGCTGCATGGCATACAATCACGCCATCGAGTCAAGGCTATGGAAATTAGGCTGGAAGAGACTTTGATAATCCGTCCGCGACCAGCATGTATGTTGAAATCGGTACAGTATGATTGTTTATGGATAGATGGCGGCGAATATGGCCAAGCAAACCGGGGATTCGAGCTGTCACCACAAATCTATACTAACACGTATATCATAGTGACGATCCAGTATCGGCTTGGAGCTTTTGGATTTCTCCCATGCGCCGATCTGGCCAGATAAGACATACCTAACGCAGGACTCCATGATATGTACTTCTCGATACAATGGGTTCAAGAGTATATTCACCTGTCTGGTGGAGATCCCGAACAAGTCAGTATTGCCGGGGAATCTGCCGGAGGAGGCGGTGCGATGTTAAAAGAAAACGAGTCCGTCTTCTAATGTTTGATCTCGGCAAACACGGTCGATTTTTAAACTGTTAGTGACTATGTTAATACACTCGTGTCTCATGGACAATGGGCCTTCGTCCTGGTTACGGACGGAACATTGATCTAAGAAAGACCTATCGAGCAACTTTTAGGCGCAGGAAGGCTTAACGGGATACGTATCTTGCCGGGGAGTGACTAAATGATGGCCCTGACCTTACTCCTTAGACCATTACGAGCGAAGATGATTTCAAGCAGCTTCTTTCGATAATATACCCGTTACTAAGCGAAATGAACATAATGAAAGGTACCCTTGAACTCTCTATGTTATCCCCGAGAACACCTCCGCTACTTTAATTAACTCCAACGGCATCCACCCACCATACCTACTCGACAACAAATTCTGAATGGGCCTATGGCTGGCAGCAATAGGCCACCAACCTCTACGCGGAAACAATGTTCGCTTGCCCATCGTACCGGCTCTCCAAAGCCTATGCACAGAAGCGAGGTGGAAACTCATGGCATTACCAATTCTCGGTTGCTCCAGGCCAGCATGGACTCGACTTGTACCATTACTCCAACCGGTAGATATTCCTGAGACTAGCTAAATGACGATGCAGTCGACATAAAAGTAGTATGGCTTGATACTGCGTTACCGGAATCTATCGAATCTAGCGGACACATAGAGTTATCTCGAATGCTGCTGGATAGCTTCCCTTGTATACTTCTCCGCTCGTTGTCCCGACGGTGGTTGAGTCTCCTCGATATCGGCCTCAGCAGAACCCGCTGTTACTCTCTTTGGAATATCATCACTCCTTATACTCCAGCCTTTCGACCATCCTATCCAGCCAGTCTCCCTTGGGCCCCTGATTATACCAATGATAATAGCTACGCCAATGTATGCGATGTTAGAGCTACCACTCCAGACCCAACCCCCTTGAGCGTACAGCCTATTTCCAACCGCCGTGCCCATTATCTGCCCAGCAAAGGCGAAAACCATGTATACCGTGTTTACACGATTCCTTGCTTTTGGATCGAGGTTATAAATATTACTGCGATTAGCAGTGTGGGTGAAGTTTGCGCCCGAATCCATCATAATGGCATGTATGATCGGCCCAGCTACCGTGAAGCTCCCGATGAAAGTAGATATCACAATACCGATAAACTCGAAACAGAGACCAAGAACAACTGAAAAGAGAAACACGAAGCGATCGGTGATAAGGCGCGACCAGACCGGGGCGAGCGCGACGACTACAATTCCAATAAAAGCAAAACATCCGATTTCAAGAGAAGAGTACTCGTACGGCAGCGACGCCAAGAGGAAAGTTAGAGTCGTCCAAAATGAGGTAAAAGCAGCACTTAGGAGAAACCCGATGAAGCATGCCTGGGTGAGGAGAGGCTCCGTAACGACCATGACTGCCATTCCCCAGAGGACCTTAAAGTAATTGAGCCCTTTGTTTTTCGCAGGATAGTCGGGAAGGAAGAAGAAGAGTAGCGCCAAGGTCAAATACTGCGCGCCAAATGCTAGCCAGTAGATATTTCTCCAAGAGGTGAAGTTCGCCACTATTCCCGACAGGACTCTCGCGATCAACAGTCCGAGTGCCAACCCCGATACCACTATAGATAGCGAGCTAGCACGACGATGGGGTGGTGCTAGGTCACCGACGAGTGGCAGCATAAGCTGTGGGGTGACCGTCCTAGCATGTCGTTAGATCTGAAGTAAGGGGAAGTAGAAAAAATAAATAAGTACATACCCGACTCCGCACAAAAACGACAAGCTGATGAACACTTCAAAATTGTTGGTAAGACATAGTCCGATCCACTACATAGGTATACTAGGTAAGCGTTATAACTTATTGAAATGCCCCCCTTAATTGAGATGATATACGTACAATAGTCGCGGTTACCCATATAAGGAAAAGGATGAAGGGCCGCCGCGGAACCATGTCCGCCAAAGGACATAGAAAAAGCAAGCCGACGGCATACCCTGCTTGCGATAATGTGGCTACGTCGGAGGCTCTCTCGTAGCTGACATTAAAGTCTCTAGCCAGGACATTTAGGATTGGTTGCGCGTAGTAAAGATTGGCAACGGTGAATGTTCCACTCTGGTGTAGGTCAGCTTGTGAAAGACACCGAAGGAATGGAGAGTGCCTAGGTAGGTCTAGCTAGGTAGCTAATGTGATAAAGAACATACGAAAGCAAATAGCACGTTTAATGCGAGGGTAAATTTTGGTGGGTTCTCGGGCTCATAACGGCAGCGTTGCGGCATCCAATTCAAAGTCCTTATTATTTTAGCTAATAGTGCATTTCGGCCCTGTGTCTCTGTCTCGACATTCTCTTGGCTCGACGTAGAAATTCCTTCCGCGTCAGGTTCTAGATCAGGCTTTTTAGATCTATCTTCGTCTTTGGTATCCATTGCCGTCGAGCACTGACTGTTATATACCTACCTAGGTAGGTAGTTTTAGGTGCCTAATTTTTTTTATTAGAAAAAAAAAGTATGGGTGATTGACACTCTGATGATCTTAAAGGACGTAGCTGGGGAATTCCGGTGTCGCTTACGGGCCTGTTTTAGCTTTCGTTGACGTAGGTTGGGACAAATACATATTCTGAGCGTCAAAGACGAGGCCCAAGTCTCTTACCTTCTTTGCTCCTAATCTCTGCACATACCTACCTAGGTACCTACCTACTTTATAAGGTACCTCTAGGCAGCATATATCATTACTAGATGTAAGATATACGCCATAGGCATGGGATAAATTATACAACGGTAGAGGTTTGATATACTCTTCGAAGATATTATCCTTGTCATACTCGCCATATGCAGTCATGTCCCCGATAGTCCGATCATCGCTGTAGATTTCGGCACTTGCAAATGATAAAGGATTAGGTATGCTGATACGCTGATGCATGCTTGCGCATGTACATAGTAGGTGGTCAATTGATGCGGGCGGTAAGATGTCACCATCGCGATTCCTTATTACCACATCTGCAATGTTGTTCTTTGTCTATCAATATGTTTCATTCCCTTCAGCTTCTGCGAGTTCACCAATCCCCAGCTCGCTAGGGCCAGTGACGAATACCGTCGTAAAAGAAGTGTGTCTCTGTGTGGGCAGGTATTTACACCTGGCGTTTCTGAGAGAGGGGATTGAAGTTATAGAATGGCGTCCAATAGCTATTGAGAATCTGCGAGAACCGCGCACCGCAAACGACTCGTTGCAGTTAATGACATGATACACTACCTCCTATGGACCTAGGTAGGTAGAGGAGGGAAATGCTACTTATTGACTTGGTTAATTGGGTGCCACGCTAGCCTCCAGGAGGTAAGGCGGTTACCTAACTGCACCAACCATTATGCACGTACGTACCTACCTGAACACCTAGTATAGTCTTATCGCTCTTATCGCTTACTTAATTCGTATGTAGACTCTGTGAAACAACGCCGCAACAATCGCGTAATTCCAGCGTCGGACAAGTGTCGGTTGTCTGCGCCTTATCAGTCAGACCGCCACAAAGACAGCGGGACCGGACGCATTCCCCATTGGATCGTCAGACCTCTCTATAGGTAAACTTTTCGGGCATTGGGCTCGCTTCCTCTTTGTTCCCGAGACATCTTAACACAGTAGAATAATTCTTTGGATCCGTGTCACTAACACGGAGGAATAACAAACTCATGGCAGCAGATGAGACATCGCCGCTACTCGAAAATGCGACCCCTCCGAGGCCGAGGTCAAACAAGGCCGTTAAAGCCGGTGGTACCCTTTTCGGTCCCGCAAACCGCATCCTCCTTGCCGGCTTCATGATGGCCTTCACCCTTGGCATCACACAAGTTCCGTAAGAGCAACGACCTTACCATCCGTCCTGGTCTAATATCAATCACGAACCCAACACTGACTGTAATGTCAGAATCAATTATGTGTTTCGTCTTATGGAATGCGATGTCTTCTATAGTCATAATCCCCCATTCGACGGTCCGGGCGACCGATGTCATCGTCGAGAGATAAGCGCTGGCACTGCGACCCAGGTCTCCATTCTAGGCATGTCAACGTCCTTTAGCGGCGTCTTCAATTTATTCATCTGTGGCTACTTTATCAAACTTTGGGGTCCCCGATGGGCTTTCGTCTCCCAGACCGTACTTTTAGGCTTGAGGGTATCTACGCAGATCGTCGCGGTGACGCTCGGCGGCAGGACCGGTATAATCGTTTTCCAAGCATGCCAAGCCATAGGCATCATCGGAGGACCTCGTGGCTTCCAGTGCGTGTATCCCTTATCTCATGTCCGATCCTGCCCCAATCATACTAATTCAGCGCAGACTTGTTCTCAATACTGCAGTGGGTGAGTTAGTCGCGCCGAAAGATCGCACGGCTGTTTTTGGTCGACTACAGGGGTCAATCATGTTAGGGACTGCGTTTGGTTTCTTGCGTAAGTTCGAGTAGACGATAGAGTTCTAAACTTATTAGATTAATGAATTTCGCAGTGGGAGGTGTTCTCGGCGACATCTACAACATCAGGCGTCCCTTCGAGACTGCCTTTTTCCTCTATATCATTTCCTCGCTATATGGAGCACTTTTCTTACCAACAGGTACAAGCGATGAGTCTGCTGGCAAAAAGCAGGCCGGACGGGGTATCAGTGCTTTCTTCGCACCTATCAAGATGATTGCACCTCATTCCTACCGTTTGGAGTCGGGCAAAGTCATCAAGAACTACAGCTTAATCTTCCTCGCCCTGGGTATCTTTCTTGGCGTCGTAAGTCACACCATAAAAGCCAACCATGCGTTTTTGATAACGCGCTTACAGTCGTACAGTTCTCTTCTGGATATGTCCCGATCCTGTTACAGATGTATGCAACTTCCGAATTCAACTTCGGCACTAGCGAGAATGGATATCTGATGTTCGGAAATGCGGCTATCCGCGGCATATTCTTATTATTTATGTTTCCGAAACTTATATCTTCCGGACGAACTTGGTTCAATGGAGAGCCAACGCCAGCGGAAATTAGAGGACACACATCAGAAACTCATATTCCTGTTAACCCGGAGGATTTCGGAGCCGATGAGGTTGGAGAAGTCCCCCAGGAACCAATCCAGCCACCTGAGGACGAGGAAGATTCCGGGACTGGGTTTGACCTCTTCTTTGTAAGATGGAGTCTTGTTGTCGACTCCATCGTGACAGTCATTGCCGGTTTCTCCACCGAAGGGTGGCAGGTCTACCTTGGTAAGCTTTTAAGAGTTTTTATTTTCAGATTTCAAGTAAAACTTACAATCGATAGCGGGTTTTCTTCTGCCGTTCGCTTCAGGGTCGGCACCGGCGGCCAAGGGAGTTATGACTGAGCTATGTCCCCCACAGCAACGACAAGATGCCATTAGCGCCATTACCCTGGTGGAGAGTACTGCTACTCTGTTGACACAAGGGCTTTTTGGCCTTATCCTAGCCATTTTTTCAGAACTCGGCCAGCCGAGCTTGACATTCTTTTGCAACGCCGTATGTTGTGGGCCCCTTATCCTTTACTGAGAAATTAGGTACTTACTGACGTCTGACACAGGGGTTCGCTATACTCGGTTTCTCTGTTTTGTTTATGGCACACTTACCACCACCTAACAGTAAGAGAATTGATGATGAAGATTCGGAAACCGAAACCGATAACTAGATCCATTAGCCACAATACACCTTGCTCTTTCAAAGACATGGGCGAAGCAAAAAGCATATGAACATATTAGATTGGAAGGTATATATGCATTAGTGTAGAAGGAAACAAGACTGGCACATCCTTCGTGAAAGATTTTATTTACTTACCTATAAAGATTCCTAGGTACTGTTCGATAAAGCATTGAATAGAGATATGATGAGCATGTATGTATCGACGATTCATCCTAATCACAGTTAGGGTATAATGATCCCCTCACGTATTATGAATATCTAGAGAAACGACATACTAATTAAGTAAACTGAATCGAGCTGCTTTGTATGCCGAGAAAGTGATGAAAAGAATCCACATTAGCATTGTTTGATATATTTTGCTCGACTGTCCTTACAGTTATACGTGTCCAGTAAGATGTGCGTAGTCCCTCTAAGGGGTAAGGGGAGAAGCTTGAACCAAAAAGTGTAGAAGTAGTATACGAAAGGTATAGTCGTGCCGTGGTTGACTATAAGCTCTTGATTTAATACATTAAGACGGCTTGATTTTTGACAATTATAGTCTTAATAGCGAAACGTGCAATAATACTTTAAGTGCTTCGTAGGATCTAGCATGCTTAGATTAAAAACCTAACAGTATAGCTTCCTATTGTTTTGGAGTATTACCTATCAAGTTACCTTTTATAGGTAGAAGATTAACTGATAGTAACCAACATTATAGACTCAAAGCATCTACCTGTATTTTACGTCCAATGTACTATAACGGTCCTTCAATCTGGTTTCTGTACTTAAGTGCGGCAACTGCGATTTGCATTATGTGAAGATACATTGGCCATGTAGTTTCTGCGCACTTCAGGTAGATTCCTAGCTTGCGTTCCTACCTGAGGTACCTACCTAAGGTAGCTTGCGGAAGGTTTTTATCACGTTTTGTTAAAGGAAGCAGCTACCAGTCAGATATCTACAGTACTATTTTCCAATGACCTAATCTGATAGGAGCTACCCTACGTAAGTACTTAGGTTGCTCCTGCTTCATATTCTGAAATCAGTCCATAACAGGTATTTGCAACTGCCCTTTAAACAGCAACGCCGGACTGTTCGTTATCTGGCAGTTGCCAACTAAAGAATTATTATTGCGTACCTAGGTAGGTAGGTAGGTAGGTAGGAGGTACCTTAGGTTAGGTACCTACCTGCATATATCAATGCCTGGTTTTGGCCTTGCGGAAGCCTATTTTAAACATAGGCCCTCTTCCCAATTTTCTCAATCTACTTTCACACACTTCTAATTATCTCAACATCAAAGAGTCAATCCATCCAAAACTCGTCACAATTAGAAGAACCATTCCAAACCCTTCAACCTCCTTAACTTATTGAGATGGTTTACCAAACAAAAATGTCTTGTTACGACACAACATTTCCATCAGCCCATATTCGCGCGATACAACCTTATTATATTGATCCCGCAAACCTAAATAATCTCGAAGTAGAGTTCACGCATCTGTATTCACCTCGACAAACTTCAATTGGTACCCCCACTATACATCTTCCATCTCTTCTCGAAGGCTACAACTTCAATATACACACAATCAACACTCCTATAACGCGCTACTCATCCTTCGAGCCCGGTACGGATGTCCAACGCAGCGCTCTTCGGGTTCACAAGTCAACTCCGCCCAAGTATAAGCAACCTAACACGGGGAAAGGCGAAAATGATGGCCAACCCACGGAGGGCTTTTCGACCAACTACCACGGAGTGAAGAACGAAAGAAACAAGCCCGACAATATTACAAACAGCGAGAACTGTGCTGTCTGGGTCGAAGGTCTACCCGCCGATATTGATTATCCTACGCTCTTATCGCAGCTTCGAGACACAGGCAAGATATATGCCATTTTCATCAACAGCCCTATCCAAGGGCATAGAACTTGTGCCGCAAAAATCGAGTTCTGGGGGCGAGATGGCGTAGCGAAACTATTCGAAAAGGTCAAAACCGGAAACCTCAAGTTTGATGAACGGGTGCCTACCGTACGACCGAACCGCGTCAAAAAGAGCGCGCAGCCAACTTCCCCTCGCTCCAGAGTTATTGAGATTAGAGGGCCTGTCGAATTGGTAAATTACAAGACTCTTACTATAGAGCTACGACAGGCGCTTTATTACGACATCGAATCAGTCGAAACCCTGTGGACATATGGAGGACAGTCGTGTATGCGATGGACTTTTGCATCCCACAGAAACCAGGCCGAAACCGCGATGCGCCTCTTGGTCAGCAAGAAGAACCATATCGAGCAAACTCTATGGCAGCAAGTCGTTTTCCGCTAGGGGCGGGATCCATGCGAACCTCATAAGAGCCCCGAAGTGTGATTGGTGGAGTGATACTCGAGGATGGAGAGATAGGCTTATATCGACTACGTACGAAAAGTATAGCTAGTGGCTTTTCGGACTACTTGACCCCATTCATGGTTGGCAGGTCATAGGTGGTAGTTATTGAAGGGGCGTGTCTTTAACAGATGCTGTTGGCCCCTGGAGAAGTCGGCTAGGAGATTACCCAATTCGTTTGCCACGTTCTCACATTTCTAAAAACTGTGCATGAATAATAATCTTTCAGTAAACAACGTAAGCATTACTTGAATGAAATAAATGATACATATAGGGGGTAATTATTAACACTATTTAGGGATATTTGCGGGCTTTAGACATTAGGTTAAGGGGAAAGAATGGAGCTGACCTCGAATCAGTAGCTAACGTTGACATTTATAAGTTGGCATATTATTTACGCAGACCAATGATCAAAATGTATCCGCATGGCCGAAGCGGAAAGAATGGCGATAATGTAAGCGGGCGACCCTAGTCGATGGCGTGCTCATTGCGTGCGAGGGCACCTTCACCACATTGGTTCGGATCAGGTTCGATAAGTCCCCTAACGATGTAACAAGCGGCCCATGATTACCGGTGGCTGTAAATAATTAATAATGGCAAATCGCTTTTAAGAACCAACAAGTACATTCATTATCGACATTATCGACATCCTCGAGGTCGGGTTGTGTTTACCGTATCGACGTGATAGCTGCGAATACACTTGCTGAAATAAGTGGTCGTCATATAAAACTTGCTTAGTATAACATAACGTACCTCTTAACAAAGTTGACGGTGCAGCTATGGCGGAAACGCAACCCAGACGGGCCCACGTCGGTAGGAACTCGTGGAAAACAGTCCGCACGCTCCTACGGAAAATAAGGACGAAATCGATTTCAAATGGAAAGGCACAGTCCAACTTGATAGAAGGCGTACGGAAGGACTCCACTCCCACAACGACGACGGATGAATCTACCAACGTCTCGGTTGCTGAGTTTGCTGTTACGGGGACGCAGAAGGCCCTCGTCGTTGCTCGGAAGGGCGAATACGAGATCCGCCACGACTTCCCGATGCCGACTGTCGGGGAAGATGAGATTATGATCCAAGGTCATTATGTCGGCCTGAACCCGATTGACTGGAAATCCGTCGATTATAATTTTTGCTTGCCTGAATTTCCATGGGTAAGGTTCCCTCCCCTCCCCTTCCCTCCCTGTATTTCTTTACCTAGAGGACAAATACTTACATGGGCCTTCAGGTTACTGGCCGTGAAATGTCCGGAGTAGTGGCCCGGGTCGGTTCCGCCGTCACGAGTTTTAAACCGGGTGACTATGTCTGGACCAGTACGTACTATAAGGATGTTCGTGCTGGTTGTTTCCAGGAGTACGTAGTCGTACCCTCGCACACAGTTCTTCCCATCCCATCTAGTGTGCCTATTGAAGCTGCGGCGTGTCTTGGCGTCGCAGCCCTGACAGCATCCATGACATTATGGAAGTGGTTGAGCGTGCCGTTTCCTCAAGGGTCCATAAACAGCAATGGGGAGCAATGGCTTCTGATCTGGGGTGGTTCAACTGTTACAGGACAATTTGCTACACAAATCGCGCGACTCAGTGGGATCAAAGTTATAACTGTTAACTCGGCTGAGACAAAGTTATTATCAGAGCGTTTAGGTGCGAACCATGTGGTGGTACGAGATGGGAAGTCGGACGGAGAGGTTGTAGACGAAATCCGAGGTATTACTGACGACAACGTTACGCGGGCCATCGACTTAGTAGGACCTAAAACTGCGAAATTGTCGTTGGATGCTGTATCGAAAACGAATCCTGTTGCATTCGCACCACTGGCCATGATGTCGGGATCTCAAGTAGTCCCCGGGAACGTCGAGGTACATACTGTCGAAATGAAGCAATTTGTGCTCGATAAAAGTAATGTGCGCTACACCGAGGAACTTGGAAAGCTGTTGGACAAGGGCCAGATAATATTACCCGAGCTACATCTACTCGACGGGGGCTTACATTCGATCCAAGGTGGTTTAGAAATGTTGAAGAAGGGAAACCTGAAAGGCAAGAAACTAGTGGTCCGGATGTAAGAGAAAGGAGTAGGAAGTGCGACTTGAGTAATGTATTAGACTTGTGGGATTATAGACTAGCATACAGAGGGCGTTGACGTAGTGTGGCTATTTAATCTTCCAGAATTAGTATATGCGTCGAAGGTCAGACGCTGTATATTCAAAGAGGTTAGGTTAGAATCTCGCTCTGTCGTCAGTTGAGGCGATGAGATTTATTCCAAACTTACACGCACGGTATCCTTAGTGTATCAAGTAAATACTGTATTATACTAGTGCTAGATCGCTTGAAGCTAAAAAAAAGGGGGTTGGGGGGGGGTGGAGTTAAGAATTTGACTGACCTGTGTGGACGGAAATGAGTTAACTGTTAGAATAATAATTATGAATAGGTATCCTATACTATCAATGTAGAGTTATAATATCAATTGCTATACGAACACTTTATAGGATAGTACTATGAAAATCTTCGCTTCTCTATAGGAATATTCATACCCCTTAAACACAACAGAGTATGCCAAAGTTCCAATGTGTTAATCTCACCAAGCAATCTTAGCCAATAGTCCATTAGGATATTTTCGTACGAAAAGCTTGCGCACCTCGTCGAATAGTAGGATGAATAGACCAAAAGCAAAGGGCAGGAACCAATGTTCTACCGGCACAGGGAAAGTTCCTAAAACCGACTGAAGCTGAGGGATATAAAGCCATAAGATAGCCATTGACAACGAGAAGATAATTGCTGGAAAAAGGTATAGGTTTTGCGTATGCCTATTGAAAATAGGTGGGTGCTGGAAGATACTCCATCGTCGCGTGCGCACTGCAAGTAAGTTGAACCATTGCCTATGCCAAGTCAGCTTATCCGTCATGCTCCAAGGGATTAGCCGCATTACTTACATTACGACCAGGTTAACGAAATAAATTGAAGACGCTTCATTTAGCTTTTGTGCATAATAATCTTGGTCGATCCATTCCGGAAGCTCTCCAAAGGAAAACCACAACACGCGGAATGGGATTCCGTTCTTCTCTAGGTACCAGTAGGCCATTGCGAAGGATGCTATAGTTTCCATCATGCCAAGGACACCATATGCGTGGATCACAAGCTGCCAGCCGACTAAACGGTCCTTCTTTACGTTGCGTGGTTTTCGCAGCAGGACGTCGGCTTCAGGCTTCTCATAAGAGAGTACTGTTGCAGCAGCGCAGTCCGTAAAGCAGCTAAATGTCGTCAGTGAAGTTTTCGGAGTCCTGCGGCTTGGTAGGCACTTACCAGATAATGATCATAAGAAAGGACGAAAGGATCTGTGGGATTCCAAAGATGACATTGGTCATTACTGGCCAGAACTCGGCGAAACTTCCAGCTGGTAGCAGGTAACAGATCACCTTTTTCAGGTTATCAAACACCACTCGACCGTATTGTACCGCTTCTACAATAGACGAGAAGGAATCAAGAAGAACCATATCGGCTGCTTCGATGGCAATGTCGGAGCCGCTTCCGAGGGTAATACCAACATCTGCAGCTTTTAGAGACGGCGCATCATTTACGCCATCTCCAGTCATAGCCACCACACCGTTTATTTGGAACTCCTTTACGATTCGTAGTTTCTGCTCTGGGGTCGTTCTAGCAAAGACAATCTCTTGGTACTCCGTCAAGGCCTTCCATTGATGCTCATTCAAACCAAGCATCTCTGGTCCGCTAATAAGAATTGACGAGCGGGGACCTGGGGTCTTTGCGTCTTCCACTACCTCCTCTCTGGGGAGCGAGGAAATATTGTGAACAGAGTGCGTAGGACTAGTTACGATACCAGCGTCTTGAGCGATCGCAAGGGCTGTTAGAGCAAAGTCCCCGGTCACCTGGACATTATTATATTATTAGCACGGTACTTGGGGACATTATCGAAGAGCAAGGGATCCTGATACTCACCATGAAAACCCTTATGCCAGCCCCCCGCAGTGTCGAAACGACTTCGCGGATTTCTGGGCGTAGAGGATCGACGATAGCTACGAGGCCGACTAAAGTCAAGTCCGATTTGGCGTGCGTGGTAATCTCGTCTTCAAATTGAGTGGTTACGGAGTGGTACTGAAGTTCGCTCTGGGGAATGACCTTGCGGGCAAGTAAAAGACAACGCTTTCCCTGGCTACTATACGCGTTTTTTACTTCCTCGAACGACGCTCGTGTTTCATCATCAAGGGGATGCACATCGCCCGCATTATTAACGAAGGAGGAGCACCGGCTGATAAGAACATCAGGGGCCCCCTTTATAGTCAGAAGTCTAGTATACGTTAGTATCGCACCGTATTAGCTCTTCCAGACCATCGTGAGATTCTTACGTGTCGCCAACATGGAAGCTTCCTGCTTCGGCCTCTGACAGGGTACCCTTTAGCAAGTCCTTCCTGGGCAGAGAGAACGTCCTAATCATAAACTTATTTTTGCTGTTGAAAGCTAGTTCATATGTCTTCTGCCATGATTGACGTAGTTGCTGTACTGAGCCGAACCGCTCAGAGAACCGCAGCACTGCCTGGTCCGTAGCGTCGCCAAAGACGCGGCGCTGCTCGAGGGGTAAATCCATAGTCGCAGCGTCAAACTCGGCTGCATTGCAGAGCCCGGCAATAGCGCGCACTTGATCTACGCCAGTTGTTATCATGCCAGCGACGGCCGGCGTGGTGCTCGCATCTAGCTCGCCCTCAGCTCCTTCAACCGTGATGGTGTGATTTCCAATAGTGCACTCGGTGACAGTCATTCGATTCTAAACAATATCAGCTTAAGAACCAAAACAAAGCGTCAGGGTCCAGGTCGGCTCGCTCTTTACCTCGGTGAGGGTCCCAGTCTTGTCGGAGCAGATGACTGACACAGACCCCAGGGTCTCAACCGTCTTCAACGACTTGCACAGGACTTTGTGATTCCGCATCAAGTTCGCGGTGATAGTCAAACCGGCGGTCAATGCAATAGGTAACCCCTCGGGGATAAATGCGATAGCTACGCTAACGCATCCAACGATAAGATTCGGGACGTTGATCCAATTAGGATGAACCTTTCGAAGCCAGGCACCCCTATGTAAGGTGAGCATTGAACGGTTAAATAGCAGATGCATTCCGCTTACCAGACAATTAGGACTATAGCAATCATAGTGAGCATGATAGAGCATATGATCGTGACGAAGTATAAGACCTCCTTTTCTAAAGTGGTTAATGTTACCTTGGGCTCATTGGTCAAAGCTGCGATACGCCCGAATACCGTCCGATCACCAGTTGCCACAACTAAGCCTATGCAGGATCCAGAGAAGCAGTGAGTACCTTGCAAACCAATGCACCGAGTTTCAAGGTAGTTATTATCTGTCGAGTCCACTGTTGCTGCCATTGGCAAAGACTCTCCCGTTAGGATAGATCTGTCGAATTTAGCATCACTGGAAACCTGAAGGAAGCGCATGTCAGCCGGCAATTTATTACCGGCCTTGATATATACGATATCGCCAGGTACGAGCACCTTGGAGTCGAGGGAAGCCTGGACGCCATTTCGGAGGACTATCGAGTCCTCGGGAAGCATGTTCTTGATGGAACTCATAACTCGCGATGAGCTCCAGTCTTGAAACATATTAAATGCAGCTTGGATGAAGAATACCGCAAGTAGGACTATTGCCAAGGCCTGTAAGCGGGCGTTAGAGCTGTTGAAAGTATTAGGTATTTGTTCTGGATACTATTACATACCAGATTTGCCAATGCTGGCGGTTGGCCGAGTGGTTTCCAAGAGACGAAAACGAGGATAGCACCAACCAGCAATATAGGGCCAAATCCTTTAAAGAAATAACCAAAATATTTTTGAAGGGTACGTGAGTCTGGTGGAGATGGAGCGTTTAGACCGTATTCTTTGATTCTGCGAGTGACTTGTTCAGTTGAGAGACCCTCTGTCATCGATGCACTGAGACGGCGAAGGGCCTCGTCGGTTGAGATTGTGTGCCATTCGAGCTCGGATAGATCTTAAAATCGATGTGAGCAGATAATACAGGAGCATAAGATGGTTCTACAATTTCTTACCCTTGGTGGCTTTGTCTTTCGCCTCGGGCCGCTGCGTGACATCCTTCTGCTTAGATTCTTCGATCTGGTAGGAGCTAGAGACTTGAGATTAGAACTTCCTACGGCTTAGGTTCTGTCTAATTGTTCGATAATATCACTTACACGGTGCGATATTGGATAGGGAGAACGATAGACGGGTCGACTTCACGTCGCGAGCGCACGCTACGAATAGACATGGAGCCGCTGGATTGTGCACGACGGAGCCCACGCGAAAGGCGGACAGCCTCCTCGTCGTCCCATTTAATGCCATGCTTGAGGTCAGGTTCGTCCATTTGGTTTAAAAGGAAAAGGCTTGAGTGCGCAGCTCAATGTAAATACGGGGGACAAGTTGAATAGAAGACTCTAAGAAGGAGAAGGTGACGGAAAGGTCAGGCAGATGGTGCAAAAATCTGAGGTGACTGGCGAATTCACGTCCCTTTTTATATCGCTAGATATTTGTTATTACATTTAAACTACCTCATATATGTAGGAGGTACCTAAAATATCTAATGCAGGTTGGTAGAAAACTGAAGTAGGATAGTATAGCTGATGATGCCATGCATGAGAATAGGATGCCGCACTGTTAACTGTTTGGCATCTTCGCTCAACGTCCACAGTATAACCTAATTGTACATACTCAAATCCTCCAGGGCCCCATTAGCCCCAACAATCACATGTCGTTTTGCTTTAGGTAGGTAGGTATTATTATAATTATTATTTTCGCCGATTCCGAGCGACAGGATCCCCAGCAGGAGACCAGCATGAGAGAAAAGCAAAGAGGCGGTGCTAACTGACTCCTGACCCCCAGTAGGTAACATGTTCTTTGAAAAAAACAAGCTTAACATAATTCGCGCACCGCATCGAGCAAAGCTCTAGTCAGGTACCAGCTCAGGGGGAGAGGGGAGGGGTTACAAGGTGGGCAAGTTGTGAGGAAACGAGGTCTAAGTCACAACATATATAAAATCTTCATCGTGGTACCAATGGCAATACAAGTAATAGTTAGGGATATACTCAGTCGTGTATTTGGGCCAATCAGCAACGCGTAACGTGCTCCACACAGGGAACATCAAATAGCGTAAACAGGAGGGCGGCCTCCCTTTTAAATTGGACTTATCCATGCCATGCACATGGCTGGTCGTCCGTGGATATGTCGTCCCACGCTGTCACTGATTATTCGTTATTCTCTGCCTTGCTTTAATAGGTCAGAAGCTATGAAGCTCGGTATTCCCCATTCGGCTCGTAAGCAAAGACACGGGGGAGTTTTTTTCGGTCTCGATCAGGAGCACTACGGAACTACTTGTTAAGTAATAGCAAACACGAGAGAGCTCAACTAGGTCAAAATGAATTGTACCACGTCCTTAGAAAAAAGAAGAAAAAAGAGGGTTATAGAAAAGAAAGACCGGTTATAAGAGGTTGGTTTCTTTAACGAGGTGCTTTCAGGATAAAACGTTAGGGTACCTAGGCAGGTAGGTAGCTATGAAAACGCGAAATATAAAAGAGCTTCTCCTCAGTGTAACTAACTAATTCTTAATAAAGACCACGCTCCTCACCTATATACCTCTCTGCGCACGCACGCATATCCTCTTAACCTAGGTACCTAACCTAATCATCGTAGCATATCTTCATCGTGCAGGGGAACGGAAAGTAAGCCCCCCTATCCTCTCTCATATACATACAGAGACCTCCAGGTTGTAAGACCTTCTTGAGCTCACCTTGGGCCCCGGGCGCTCTCCGCACATTCTTCAACTTAAATACAGATCGGAACATCTCAGTTAGCCCTGCTTGGCCTGCATCGCGCCCGAAATGGACGTGTGGTCCAAGCCCGAAATGAATGTAGGCGTCGAGCGGGCGGCGCGGGTTCACTTTATCAGGATCAGGGAAATGCTCGGCATCTTTAGCTGCGGCAACCTATTTAATACAGGTTAGTTTATTAGCTGATTCCGAATAGTAGTGTTTTTATCGTGTTTGTCGATTCACTTACAGAACTGATGAAAACGCGGTCGCCATTACGAATAGATACCTCGCTACCGTCGTCACCCATGATAGTGTCCCCGGCCATTGCTCGGCGATATGAGCCAAACGTTCCTGAAAGCCGCATGCCCTCCATGCAATATCCAAGCAGCAATGCATCGGTTTCACTTGAAGATGGGAGATTGGCGACTTGGTAAATCTCAGTAATATGGTTGGATCCATCCTCAGACAGATAGTAGTCCACAGCTTGACTGAACTATGGTGGGAGTTAGCCGTCATAATTCATAATGCTAGTTCTGGGGTCCGAGAGACATACCACTTCTGCGATGCTTGGTACGGATGCTGCCGCTGCTGGCAGAATCTGTTTCCATGTAATGTCATAATTGTTCATACCAGCTTTCGACAGTTCCTTGATCAAATTGCTGCCGTACAATGCCAATGAATCATTTTTGCTTGGGCGCCCGACAAATAAGCTGCCGATTCCCAGTCCAGTCGCCGATTTCACGTTAGCCTCGATCAATTTACTTAACTGGCCAGCCATAGCCTTTGCGGCATGTCGCATAGGGAACGACTTCATAGGGTCAATGTCGGAGAAAATAGAAATGAAAACCACAGCGAGCGCCATGTATAGCTCGTGCTCCGTATAGATGCCTTTCGGGTTCCCCTTCGTCTTAAGCGGCAGGTTAAATACGCGTGAAGCAAAGTGGACGGGGCTGATATTTCCGACGTCTCGAACAACATCAATGAAGCTCTGTCCAGCCAGCTTGTAAGTTTTCTCTTTTATGAGGCGGTCCGTGGTCTGAGCGTAAAATGTCTTCACATGAGAATTCCAATCCCCTTTGCACAGCTGATCATGCGTAGGTTCTTTCGGACTGAAACCAAAGGGCGAGTTTGCTGAAAGTAAGTGGCTTTCATCACGGCCCGTAAGGAACGAAAGCCCTTCATCCCCCATGGTTCTATACTTATCTTGATTCTCATGTATGTGTTGTGCCCCGCTATATGCCGTGACGATGACAGGGGATGGAATGAATGAAGGTCGGTCATAGTTGAAGTGTTGAGCACGACCCAGATTAGTCAATATCATCTTGGTTTCACTCGGAACTGTAAATACCCGATTAGTTCACATATCCACAGATGATGAAGGATTTGGATGGTGAACCTACCGACCATGGGGTAGTGGGCATAGACTGAATCTCCCCTGAAGTGGTTCGGAAAAGCTCTGAGGAACAGCTTGTAGAACACGCAGCCTTGGTTCGTGTTTAGGTCATACGCCACTTCGTTAAAACCCCAAGAAGTGAGTCCACGAGGGTGATAATCATTAGTGTAAAAGCGGTCTCCCCGAGTTAAGCAGACGGCATCGGAGAGAATGACACGAGAGATGGTATAAGTAGGCTGTACGATGTTAGCGGTCTTGCTTTGACACCACATACGAAAGACTTACGGCAATTCCCACTCCGGGAATCATTGGTTCCTTCGCCTCCTCAGCTACGAGTCCCGGATATAGCTCGACAAAATCGGGATGCTCGTATAAATGGCGAAGAGAGTCAGCAATTTCTGGGTCGGAATTGATATCTTCAAACTTTTCATATGGTTTCAGGCCGAAGTGCTTGCGGAACTCATTGAGGCCAGCAACGTTCCACTTTCGGCCTTGAAGTATGCCAAGGATTTCTACAGGCTTCATCGACTGCGGCACGTTGCGGCCACCGAATGCCCCCGCACAGTCTTCAATGGCGTCGCTGATACACCCGACAAGATCATCATCGTCGAATTTACCATCTGCATTTCGCTCGAAGCCGCCGAACACTCTCTCCGTCGGCTCATTTGGAATTCCACGTTCGAATTTAGCAAAGCCCATGACTAAGTCCTGGTGACTTAGTTCTGATGGATCCTTGTCGAATAGCTCACGGAAGAAGCTCTGAACCCATCGGTCGTCCTTGTCCGAGATACACGAGTGCCACCTACGGATCTTTGAGTAACCGTAACTCGAAATTCAATGAGTTGGAGTACTTACCTGTAGCAAAGATTGAATTCAGCTGAGACCATACTACCAGTACCGCGCTCGGACCCGGAGTTGGTGCCGGCATCACGGCCCATCTCTGCGCGAGGATCGAGAGTCCAGGTAGTATTACTCCTATTAAGATTGACAATATTTCTCACGTAGTCAATCAATGTGATGTTGATATACAACCCAGAGGTAACCAGTCGAGCTGTTTGGAAAAGGTCATTGTCGTGCTTCTTCCATGCGGCAGCCGCTTTCTCCTCGCTGAGCCCCTCACGTGGGGGTGTGAAGCGGCCACCCTCGTTGATCGCAGCCAGGTTTGCTGCTACATGGTTATGGAAACGGTTGAACATGATAAGAATGACACTAACTCCGGGAGGCGATCCCAAAAGCCTCTTATCCGCGTATGTATCGGGTTTCATCATTCCATCCTTGAAAGTTCGTACGGAATCCTGCATGGCCTGGTTACTTCCATAAAGAGGAGAAAGATCCAAGTACGAGGAAGTCTTGGTCTTGCTCATGTCGGTATGATCTGTCCAGAAGAGATCATGGATAATAATTGTTGCCCAATACCAAAGTACCGAAGAGACATTGTTCGGGTGCTTGCGGTATTCGGTCCTCTTCATGATAGAGTCAAAGATAAGTCCGGGGTCTGGCATAGCCCCAAGGGGCACAATGCCTGGGCGACAACTCCTCGCGTATGTCGAACCGGCCGCTCCGAGCTGGGGATTGATCGGGTTGTTCCATGATCCATCCGCCATTCTATATTCGTGCTTCTCTCCCATATATAACAGAGGTGGGTGGTCCAGTGTATACCAGAGTTCGTTCAAGAAGGTATTGGTCAGCTCTTCCCTGAGTCGTGAATTACGAGGTAGTCCGGCAACAAGTTGGATGACGCGCTCCATTATCATCGTCTTGTCATCCACCAGTTGTTCCCCTTTAAGTTTGCTCCGGGCTAGGTCTAGAACCGTCTTTACGTCTATGGTCGATTAGCAAAATCAGCGTTTCCTATTAGTTCGTCACAGCGTACCTTTGAACCCGAGATATTTCAAGTCCTTCTTCAATCCAGTCTTTTGGACTGTTGTGCTGTAAGTACCATCGCCATTCTGGGTAGGCAAAGGTCGTTGTGAAGCGTAGAGAAGCTGTCCGAATTGGGCAAAGACAGACGAGACGCCTTCACGGTCAGCCTTTGGAAGACTCTCAGGCTTCTCCTCGGATGGAATCCCGGAGGATGATGCTGATGACTTGCGCATGGTGGTCAAACTGTTAGAATCGATACGGTGAGGTTTATTGCCATTGCCTCTATAGAGCCCGTTATTTGTTGTCTGATCACCCATTATGGCCCGTTTGAAAAGAGTTATCTTTCAGAAGAAAATCATGTACAATGATAGGGGAAGTTGGCCGACAGAGCTCCAAGGGCTACTTAACACACGGTATTTACTTGTTAAATACAAACGATAGTTTACTCTAGCAAGAGAATAACATCGCCTGGAAATGGTTTTACATTTGTATACCTATATGAGAGGGCTGGGCTGCCACGTAGATGTACATGGATACCATCCTTAGAGCCAACACAGCACTTGCACAGCATGTTCGACCCGTTGAAATTTACGACAAATCTGAATAGGTGCTAACGATATACATAGCGAGCGGAATACAATTGAGCAGTAGTGAGTGATACATACTATCAATTCACCGCCTACGAGATACTGTACGGAAATGCTGGTTGATGTATGTTATTGCAATTGGTGGTGGTGGCGTAAAGCCCCTGGAACCCCCAAGTGATACATCGTGCCTACTAGGTATCTAATATTGATTCTGCAGCCATTTCCGCAAATAGGTAAGCCAGATTCAAGGAACGTATTGGAATGCTTAGTCCAATTAGTAAAAAGAAATTGGTAGTTGGCTATAGGTAGGTACTTTTTGTTACACTATTCACAACACCGCATAAGAGCTGAACCAAGAATGGTGTTGATCGGCATTCGTTATAGTTTTACCTTCAGCTCATAACAATAGTTATATTCAGTTGTTCCGCCAGTAATTTGTTGCGAGATGTAAAAGGTCACTTTCTTTTGTATGTGGCAATAATAGTTTCAACATGATCGACATTAACTAGGTATGTTTTCACTGAGACAGACAGATACCCGGCGATCTAACAGCCTACTGTGGATTGCCTATTGGCTTGGCGAGATTACTTTGCATACCTATATACAATGCCAGTGTTCGGATATCTACACTAGCCTATCGTTGTATACCTACATAACCTGGAAATCTATGGTGGGTTGCTCAAACACTACCTTGTGCCGTGTTATACTATCGTTCACCCTGCTCCAATGGATCCGTATCACTTAGCTCCCGAGGGACATTACCTGCGAGATCGCGAGGACTCAAAAGGGCATGATACAACGTCCTCGAGTCTCGATGAGGGCATGGACGACCATGCACCCGCGTGGACAACGATGAATCCGGCTAAAGAGACTTCGCGTACTCCCCACAAGCTCGTGCTGTGTTTCGACGGCACGGGCAATAAGTTTCATGGCGACGACAGTGATAGCAATATCTTGAAGATATTCAGATGTTTGGATCGAGAAACGGGTGGCCAGTGTATATTCTTCTAGGACTCATCACATGAATTATTAGCTTTCATACCATTTCACTAACCATTAGACTAGATCACTACTACCAGCCAGGAATAGGGACGTATATCGTGTCCAACTCGCTGTCGCACACAAGTCTAAGTGCTAGAATTCAATCCTGGTACTTGAAGGCCAAAGATTCCGCCATCGGGTCGAACTTCGACCACCATGTAGTAGGCGGATATCGATTCCTCATGCGTTTCTATCAGCCAGGCGACGAGATCTACTTCTTCGGTTTCTCTCGGGGAGCCTATGTGGCCCGTTTCCTTGCGGAGATGCTTGACTATATCGGTCTGCTTTCGCACGGAAATGAAGAGATGGTAGCCTTTGCCTGGAAAGCATTTTCCCAGTGGCAGAGTCGCCAGTCTGGTCATACTGAGGAACACAAGGCGAAGAGGCGGGAGATGTATCATTTCATGAAAGGATTCCGGGAGACATTTAGTCGTCCTGTGAATAGAATCCGATTTTTGGGACTCTTCGATACTGTTAACTCCGTTCCTCGCTTTGAGACAGCGTGGATGCAAAGATCGAAAATGCCGTACACTGCGAGAAGCAGTGCCAAAGTGAGTGAAGTTCGTGTTAGCTACTACCGTTATTTCTTAAGCTTATAGCTGCTTGCAGGTCATTCGGCATTGCGTGTCCATAGACGAACGTCGTGCGAAGTTTAGGCAAGATCTTATATACCAAAGGGTTAACAAAGGCCACAAAGGTTACCGTCCCCTTCACGAAATGATGCACGAGAAGTATCGCGCAAGGCGAGGCGCTATATCCGGATTGACGTCAGCCAGCAAATCAGAACGAGGACGACGACAAGAGACCCTAACACCCCTTGATGAGCATGCATTCCGGCCGCATTCTCGTTCCAGGTCAAGGGCGACCAGAAGCTCCGTTGACAAGAGGAGCCAAACCGGTGAAGCTAAGCCGGAATCCGCCCAAATGGCAGACGTTGACAATGATTCGGATGATGATGAACAGGATATCGATGAAATTTGGTAAGCTTCATAATGCCAAGGTATTCATTCATAGAAGAACAATAGCTTAAATCGAGCCAGGTTTGCCGGCGGCCACGGTGATGTTGGAGGTGGGTGGGAGATCACGCCAGATACTAAGCCAGCAAGCCATGTGCCCCTTACTTATATGATCAGAGAGGCCCAACGAGCCGGCCTCAATTTCGATGCTCAAAAACTGATCGAGATGGGCGTTACTGAACTTTCTGAAGAATCTAACACCAATACCCATATTGACGGACCCGTTCCTGATATTCGCATTGACAAGTCAAGTCCAACAGGCCAAGATTCTCCTTTCTTCGGTCAGCCTACGCATTGGGATCATTCCAATTTCACGGGCGAAGATGAGAAGCAAGAACACGATTTCCGACCCTTCCATCAAATGCTGCATAAAGCGCACTTGTCTAGAATTCACGACTCGCTAGAGTTTGGCTCCGGTCTTAGCAGAGGCCAGGTAATCAGCTGGAAGATTAGTATGTTGTTTTGTTACCTCTCTTACCTTGCTTCCATTCGCTCTTTTATAAACCTATGTTCAGGCGAGGCAACATGACAACATGGAGATATAACTGCTGATATTGAACACCACAGTGGAATACATGCCATTCCGACGGATGGACCTACAGCCGGACGGATCGTGGAAGCCAATCCGTTGGCCTTTACCGTGCGGTGAAGTACGTGATATTCCAGACACTGCTAGGATACATGGCTCGGTGATCCGACGTATGAATCGGGACCAGTCATACCGTCCCGGTAATCTTATTGTCGGCGGCGGCGGCCGTGGACTTCGTATAGCCTCTGAATCCTATGGCATCGGTAAATGGAAATGCGTGCAAGATCACGGGGATCCCGTTGGTGAGGTATGGGTTAGAGACAGCTCTAGTCCTACCAATGCATGAATAGGACCAGATTCATTTATGATTTAATAATAAGGCGGTCGAATAATGCATGGGCCTCTTCTTCCAATATAATTATCACTTACCTTTGCGGCGACCTACCATCCTATCTAGATCAGCTCTTACACTGCGGACACAATAAGATATAACATATACAATATACACAACGCCAACTACTTTATAAACTATACCTGCCATGATGCATAGGATTTATCCAGACCATCCAGCTAAAGCCGTCTAGTTACGTTGAGCACAGCGTGTGTATCGAGGTTACGCTGTAGGATTCCATGTTACCCTACAATAGGTACATAATCGAGAACGTATCGAGTTAGAATCCATGAATTCAGCAAGGATACAGATGACACGACATGTCAATCGACCATCCAGGAAGCGTGAACGGATGTATGGGTGCTTGTATTGGCTAGCTTTCTATGTTTACAGAATATATACTAGTACCTTAAGGTAGGCTTTTAATTACCGCATTGCTCTAGATGGCATGTAAGGTATATAGAGTGGAATATAATGACAAGGTATGAGATCCAAGTTTTTGTTTGGAATATCAACTTATTCTGACCATATACTATGGGCTAGGCTGGTAGTGTTAGGTCTAAGTCTCGGTGTTCACTTGCAGAGACGGTCTTGGGCGGAGTTATCCCTAGTTTAACCAGTGATATACCCACTGTTGCAGTTGCTCATTAAGAGGCTTTATTATTCCCCTTTGGACTATAAATAGATAGTTGTATAGCATGAGTTGAATGAGCCTCTGAAATATGGCGGGTAACGGTTGTCTGAACACTTCCCTATAGTCTGAAAGATTTTTACGTAAGGTACCTACATAAATAGTTCAGACAATAATATTTACACTTCTGTTTACTTTCCTTAAAGTGATACGAGCTTCTCACGCAATATTGCTTTGATATGATACAGCTTGACAAATTTGATTTGACTTGACTTATTGGCGACGAGGAGCCACCTCCCCAACTGACTAGTCCCTCCCCCCCTTTTGATTTTGATAGTGATCTACTTCATTACAATCCTTTTGATAGTTCCAACACAGAAGGCTTTTTTTTGTCCTTTCCCCCCCTCGGGCTCTTGTGGTCACGTTCCCACTTGATCACTCCACGTCCGTCCATTGCTTAAATGTTTTCTCCCAAGAAATCTTCTGTAAGATTTCTTTTTATAGGTAAGGCGTTACTCAACATAGCCCGCATCCAACCAAATCTGCTGCAGCTAGATACCTTGCGAGTTTCGATTTTCAAGTTTCGTGTCGTTCGCTTGTGGTTTCGTCCCCCTCAATTACGTTCACGCAAGAACTGCTCGCGACGATGCGCGCAGAGTTCGGTGCGCACCCTTTCCCTTTCTCGTCAAAATGCCACTCCTCCCTCCTTCCTCAATCTTGCTGGTCATAATACAGGAGGGCAAAAAACGGGTATCTGAAGAATAGATCGATCCGATCGATCAAAAGAGTCTATACGTAGACCCAGTCCGCCAAGGAATATCAACCGCCCGCATTAATGTCGTACGTAATGGAGAGGTTTAACCGTATCGTATCATGTATGCCGTGAGTCATGCCGGAAAAGAACATGAAGGGACAAGAAGAGGGGGGAAAAGCTGGTTTAAATTAGGGATAAGTAAATTCCCCAGGTCGATTTCAAAGAAGCTCGTGAGCAGTCTAGTATAACTCACTCTTTCGAAACGATGCGGGCTTATGATGGCCGAACACCCAGACACCGGTAAATAGGCGAAGCGATGAAAACGATGAAAGGGGTTTAAAGGAATAGTTAGCGAAATGATAGATATGGTAAAACAGGTAAGAGATGAATGCTCGTTATGCTTAAATTTTGATAATTCAAGATGCAAAGTGCAAGGAAAACAAGATTATCCAATGTGTTGCAAGACCCCTTTAGGGAGATTTAGTCTAGGTAACTCGATTCTCGAGGGCTCAAAGTAGCGCGCTGAGACGGCCGGTGTGACGGTTAAAGCAACCTGGTCAATACACTCTCACCGCCGGACCAAGCCCAATCGGATACTGCAAGGGATGTGATATTCTTACGCTACCGGGGGAATAGCCGGAGCAGCGGGGATGTCAACCTCGGCCGGGACTTCGACATTGGTGTTCTTTTGAGGGCAATCGCGGGAAATATGGCCAGCTTCTCCGCACTGGTAGCACGTCTTGCCAGCAGTGTTGAGAGGACCACCATTAGGTGCTGTGCAGTCTCTAGAGATGTGACCAAGTTTTCCACAGGCGTAGCATTTCATGGCCTGGGCTTGGCAGTCCCGTGCGAAGTGATTCGGTCCACCGCATTTATAGCAGGTAGCCGGCCGGGGCCCACTAGCAAAACCGCCCCGGCCAAAACCACCGTAGCCGCCACGGCCAACCGGGGCACCGCGTCCGATTCCCACACCGGCAGGGTTAGGGCATGCTCGGGCAAGATGACCAGGCTGACCGCAGTTGTAACAGCGGCCGTTACCACCAGCACCACTCAAGCGCAGAGTAGGGCAGTCGGCCTGGACGTGTCCAAGCCCTTGGCAGTGATAGCATTGCTTCGCCTCGGTGGTACGAGGAAGGGGGCATTGGTTGGACTCATGTCCTATAAAGTATGCGCTGTTAGCTAAAATGGGGAGGTGTATGGGAGGAGCTTCTTAGGGGACAAAAGCCTTACCCGGCTGTTTGCAGTTATAGCAAAGGCGCTCGGCAGAGGAGCAGACTTCCGCGTAGTGGCCAACATTGCCGCACTTGTAGCATGCTCGACGAGATAAAGAAGACATTGTGATTAATCTGTGAGTCTGTATAGTTCAATTATCAGCATGATACTTCACATAAACTTGATCCCCCACTGTCCATTCTTTAATAGCCCGTTTGCAGCGATGCGGTAGTGGCACGTTAGTATTCTAATTCAATAACATCCAATCACCAGTGGAAGAAAAGTCAACATCGAAAATGCGAATTGGAATTTTCCCAGGTCGGAGGCTCCTTAGGAGACCAGAATCATTTGTAGATATTGCCACTGAGATATTCGACCACTGGCATTGCAAGCGGATAATGATGTAGGTAATCAATCTGGTACTGCCCAAAAGCGTAATAATGTACCGCCACGTGCAATTCGTGCAGGCTTGGAGGATGGACGCCCAGCATAATGAGTGGTTTTCCAAAATCTGCAGGTCGACTTGGCTGGTTACAGGCATTTGGGTTTGTGCTACCTAACACAAGATGAGACGAAGGATAACCAGGCCTGTCCGATCGACATGCAATTCTAGTTGGATATGGCATTTTTATAGAGCTGCGCATATTACCAACTGATTTTGAAGGCCACTATCCTTATCTTGGGAGGGTGGGCGTCAAACCGTACGACATAGCAGTGCCGCGAATGGGAAAAGAGAGCGACATCCTCGCTGTAATACTAGATAGGATCCGGGCGAAGGCAGATTGTCTTAACAGGTTGGTTGTGCGCAAAAGTATTCAAATGGTTCGCGCCGACTTGACTAGACTAGTGATGATGGAATCATATTGTCGCTGGAGACTATAGCCCACGCATTCGAAAACTACCCATTGCCCTCTGTAAGCTGCCGGGAAATAGGATTGCGTCTGTATTGTCGCGATGTCGGCGCATTGAAAAATAGACCCAAGGTATGAAGACTGCAAGGTACGCAATGCATGAGAGAGAATATACACCTGCATCTATCGCGGGGCGTATAGTATTCGAGTTGCGCGCGTAACTAAGTGGAATATACAATAGTCGCTATCGATGTCGCCGCTGTCGCCGGTATCGTGAGAAGCCGTGTAGGAATCGTTTGTCGCACAAGACGAAGAAGAAAAGATAGACAAGCTGGGTGCCGGACCTGAATCTAAACCTGTTGCTGTACCACACACCATTTGCGCGCGCTGGGCTTTTTCTCCTTTTCTTTTCATCTTTTTTTGCTGAATGCAAAAACAATATATAGACCACAAGGAAAATAAAAAAAAAAGGTTGGAACTCACTTTTCCTTGGAAAACCTTATGTGACCGACTCCCTGGTTTATTCCTTCACAACTCTACTTCTTCCAACTTTTACTGCTGCTATCCGTTCAACCAACAAGCAGCCTTCTCTTCTACCTAACGACGACGTCTCCGAACACTGCGCGACCTCCAGGGGGAGAACTAATGGTTCTACACGATTGTGATACGATGCGATGAAGATGTAGTATTTAGAATCACAAACAAGAAAAAAAAAGGGAGGATTAGAAAAGAGAGAGGGACGAGGGAAAGTTGAAAGAGGGCACGGAGTGAGGGGGACAGGTTCCAGAGCAAGTGGGACCTGGCGCGGACGAAGGGGCTACTCTTAAAGCTCTACACTACGGTATAGAATACATAAGAGATAGGTACCGGATACAAGTGCTTCCTAAGCGGTAATATGTTGTCTAAATCGGCTATTGATGTAGTAGATACTTGGTAGATTCCTAGTAAGTACTTGCTAGTTACTTAGTAGCAGTTACCTAAAAGATCCTTAGTATGTAAACCTTTCCCTGCATACAATATGTGCGTGCCTACCTTAGTAGGGTTTAACTTGCCTATTAGCGGATGGATCGCCAAATTCTGGGTGGAAGTCCAGGCGACTACTGGCTAGGTACTTCGGTGCTTTTTTTTTTTTTTTTTTTTTTTTCTAATAATCAAATTTCCTTGTCTAGGTTGTTTCATTCATTTCTTTTTTTCTTTTTACCGTTGGTATGTACAATAATACATACAGTATATATATATATATATACCTATTACCTATTACCATATTCTCCTTACGTTTGTGTTACCTAGCTTGTGCTACCATGTTATACTCTTCCTCACCTGCTATGTACGACATGGCCCTATGTTGATGAGCCTCAAGCCTCAAGCAAGCTGAGGAAGGAAAAAAAAAAGAGGAAGAGTACTCAATATTCACTGTTTTCCACTTTAGAATCTATTCGCCGAGTTACCACCCAATAGTAATACTACCTAACCTAACCTAGCCTTCCCACCCTTATTCTAGTGTCTTACGGTTTGCTGCCCTGCATGACTACCACGAAAAAAATTCACTCCTACCCAAGTACTAACTATCTAGGTAGGGAGACATGGATCTAATGTGATGCAAAGTCTCACTAGCAGACTTCCGTAGCCATTAGCAAGTCGCCGTCAGATGCCAGCTATTCCGATTCTTTTCGTATTAGCTTATTTTTACCTCTTATATCCCTCAGGCTATGTCTTTACTAACACTTATGTTATAATTTAACGTGTTTGTAATATCAATAGAATGACAACGGGGTTTCAAGAAAGTAGGCAGGCTCCTAACAACGAGAGGAAAAGAGAGAGCTACGCTATTCGGCGAATCTCATGCCAGCCTGCTGAAGCTGATGATCCTTCGTAACATGATCCCCCGGCTATTCATACCATCCAAACGTGATACCCGACCCCACACTTCATAGTATACATAGTAGGACTTGAGGCCCGAAAGACGCGCAGAGGACTGGGCAGAACGGGACGGGATGAAGAAACAATGAGACAGGGTAATAATCTGGAACAGTCTAACCCAGCTTACTGGCTTTTCATACCTTGCCCGGCTTGCATGTAAGAGATGAACCCAACCGGTACTTCGAGATGGCCCTGGTTTAGGATATTACTAATTATTTCCGTTGATAGGAATGCATCATCCATTATCTGCTATGTCACTAGGAGTGCCTTAGGTAGGCATTGTTTAAAGAGAACTGGCTACTAGAATTTGGAACTTGAATTCTAACGCCAAATGGTTTCAATAGTAACAGTAACGTAACAGTTATAAACCCTTCATCATTATTGCGCGTAAGTAAGGGGAAAAACAAATGCATCCAACTACATTGTATAACATCTCTCTCTCTCCACCCTGGTCAGCGCACAAAGACCCTGCCCCTCCATGAAAAAGACCCTCATGCTTTAACCAATCAACACTCCGTCGCAAGGCCGGGGTTATAGGATTTAGCATCCGCCTTGCTGATCTCCCAACATCGTCAACTTACTGGTATTGTGACTGTGACAGAATGGCGTCAAAAAAAAGTGCCTATTCCACTATTAAGCAGGTCATTTTGCTATCCGCATAACTTTACCGAATCGTCTCGTAGACCATCAGAATGACTAATAGAATAATTATAAAATTTTGCTCTATATGAAAACAATTTTTTGAATCTAATTTGTCTTTATATTCGCTGAAAAAGGTTGGTGGAAGGAATCATGGTGTTAGGCACTTATTTTGACGGCATTCTGTGTGATCACGATCTTTATTAGTCCCGTCTCGTTGGAATATTATCATACTTCGCCTGTCGAATCTCATCTTATTTAATATCTCAGCTCCACAATCTAACTTACACAAATAGGTCTAGTAGAGTGGCTTACAAACCTATACGCAATAAGCGATCTTCTATATTTTATCCTGGGAGCCATTGAAGAATCGGGACGACCCGATTACTTATAATATGAAACCATACCTGTGAGTATCTACACGCAAGAAGCTAAAGTCTACTATGCGGTCCGCATCGAGTATACTGTAGCGACATAATCAATAGCGATACAGAACGGCACAAGAAGCTCCAATGAATATATCTTAAATACATTTGCGATCGTCACGCAAGACATAGCATCTGACTGCGATTCTTCTGTCGATCTCTCTATCTTGGGCGATGTGCGTTAACATCTGGGAGATCATGACGCAAAGATCAGGACTTCGAAGTGATTTGACTGACTTCCAGACATTATAAGTGCAAACCCCAAATAGACATGTTTCAAAAAAAACGTAGAAGCAGTTTGTAATGTGTACCTACCTACCTAGGTAGGTTTTAATTTCTAAAATAGGTTTCTGCACTAAATAGACTAGATATCCAATTATTATGAACTTATATAGACGCTTGATGTATTAGAATATTACCTATTAGTAAAGAGAATATGCAAAAAAAGCACCTCGTGAGAGATGTGTAAAAAAGCAAGAACACGGGTAGAAAATATATCTAACGTATCGCACATACTGCTTACTAAAAGCGTCGGCATGCGCCCAAGTGAGAGAAAAGGACTCGATTAGGAGGTAGTGAATATTTCCAATGTATAAAGCAATATTAACCCGCGCTCCCTGGCGCCGGTGCTAGAATCACAAACTCCGTATGCATATGTAACCCATAATACCTAGATACTACGCCATGCTGGTATGAATAAGACATACAAGACCCTCACTTTAACCCTTTTCCTTTTTATACTTGATTCTTCCCTCTGATCATACACCATTATACGGATAGGCTACTCAACCGATTTAGCCTACCCTCCGCCGAATATGGGATCACGAACGCGTATGCATATGTCCTATTACCAAACATTTTTCAAGGTCGCTCTGTTGTGGAAGGTAGCCTAGCCTCGGATGGATGAGGTGGAAGTGGAGCATCAGTTAAAGGGGCTATGGATCTTGGACGAGCCTCAACAACGTACGAAACGCCATCTTCTGATGCATACGATGGCGGTCGTGTATGAGCTGTCTCGGGATAAGTCTGTTGCTCTTCATCCGCTGTCGTAGGCGCCTGGTCATTACGCTGCCAATATAAGCGATCCGGATCAACGCGCTATACTGCTTGTCAGTTGGGCACATAACAGGTCATAAAACATATAGATTGATACATACAACACTCTCACGCCATAACCCATAAGCCGGAGGCTCTAATTTGTTGGCAACATTATCAATCCCTGCGACTTCTTCGTCGCGTGCAAGAATGACATGGATTGGCCGCCGTGGAACAGCGTATCCACCAGGCTCCATTAGCTGTGGCATGCGCGGACGTTCGTCTTCGTTGGGCGGCTTGATGATGAGCATACAGATTCTGACTAGGCCGTGACAAAAGAAGATGGTTGCAGATAAAATGACGACAATTAGAAGCACCGTAAATTCATTATTATTTACGTTTCTGGTGATCGAAAGGGCGAGATCTACAATTGCTACGTCAGTATGGAACCTCGTAAAGGTCGCCTTTTAACTACTCACAGACAGTGAGCATAGCCATTAGAAAGAGGCCAGACACGAAGCACCGCAGGATCTGGGAGCGTATTCGTCGTGATTTGACCCAGGGAAAGCAAAATAAGAATCTCCTAGGCCGCTCATCGTGTCTCTGCCTCCGGCTACGATTCCGCCTCGTCCTGCCTACTTGGTCGGCTAAGTGTGTCTCCCCGGGATCTGCGCCCCGGAATTGCGACCGCCCCATATTGGTATCTCTGCGGTTAGCGCTCCTATGCGTAGGTCTGGGTTCAGATACGGTAGAAAACTGTTCGGCTCGTGTTCGAAGTGGATATAATTGCGACGTAGACGCCGAGACCTGACTAGAAGTTGGACTTGGGGATCTTTCTGTCCTAGCCTGTGCTGAATGCGGTACGCGAAGGTGGGTGGAAGGCGCCTGTGGAAATCCTGAATCATGATGCGGTGTCTTTGGGCTCTCATCTTCGGTGGTGTCATCGCCGGTCCCCTGATTTTGTACACCTGTACGCGGCCGATTTGTAAATATCACAGGCAGAGAAGGGCGACTGATCGGAAAACGTCTTGTACCGGTACCAGATTGCTCTCCCGTCTCTGGCCGCCCCCGTTCTAAATCCTGCGTTTGTGGAACTGAGGGTTGCCCTCTTCGAAGGACATTCGAGCGAAGGTAATCCATGACTATAATGAGCGAAAATGTAGCTTCTTAAGTGTCGAACCCAATGTCACCGATGTCTAATATTGTACATGCTTCTATATACTGGTCTCGACCGCGATGCGAAATCTAACGAGCGATGAAACGAGTGCGGTCGACCAAGGTCTGAGTACTACGATAAAACACGGATGGCTAAACTGGATCGACCTGGCGCGAATTTTAATAGGTCGTACCAATGGAATTGTTGTGAGTCGATTGGCGACAAGTATAGAGTCTCTTCAATGTTATGTAAAGTTCGTTTTGGATGAAAATGGCCTCGCCGAATCGAATATCGCGGGATTTCAAGAACACTCGAATACCTGCAGTATCTATATGTTTTACGTCTCGAATCGTACGTTGTGAGCTCGGGATGGACCAGCCAAGCCAAAGAAGAAAGGCAAAGGGATGTGGTGGTAGGGTGAATTATCGAATAAATTATTGTTAATCTTGACGCAGGAGAGAGAATAGAACCGAAACTCCCAGAGTTCGTTTTCTTCTTCTTTTTTTCTTTTCTTTTCTTTTTTTTTTTTTCAAATGGCACAGAACGAGGGGCGAGAAATAGTACAAAAAGAAAACGAGGGGATTATGATAATTCCATCGACTGTAGTAGCCGTCGATTGGCTCGTCTCGTCGAAAGAAGGTTAGAAGCGAAAGGAGAAGGTAGACAGCTACAAACGGAACGTGTGTGGGGGGGCAGTGGGTGAGTGTGAAAACTGCGAGGCACACCAAGGACAGGTGAAGGAGGCCGAAGGAAGATGTGGACGTCACAGCGCTTGAGAGACTGCTAGAATGAGCAAACGTCTCCAAAGCGTTGGTAGTCTCATCTGCATACGCCAGGTAATCGGAAGGATGTTAACCCTCTTAATCGACCCTCTTAATCGACCATTGGTATGCAAAACGACTAGTGTTGAAGTACGAAGTAGAGAGATCTGAAGAGGTACGTAGTTTGGCCAGTTTGATGAATTTGGTTCAATTTGGGAGTTACCATGAAGGAAGAAGAAGAAGCTGGCCAATCAAATTGCCCCTTTATCGCCGCTTCTGAGTGCAACTGCAGGCGCTGAAGCTGCCAGGCTGCCTGAGATGAAACCCAGACGCAGGGGCACTACCGCGACCATTGTTTCGGAATCTAATACATGCCACCCAATGAAGTGACAGCCGCCAGGTACGCGGGTGGGTCTTATACGAGTTGCATTTACCTGTACATAGTACGTTAGTAGGTGCCTAAGGTGCGTAATCGCGAGGTTGTTAACAAATTACGATATAATATACCTACCTAGGTAGGTACCTAGGTAATTAAGTATTACAATTTTCCATGAATCTCATAGGATACCTGTATCCGCTGAATTTTGTAACTGTATCTAGCATACGGTATCGATATCTCATCCTAGAAAGATAGCGAGATTAATGCGAGCATTTAGTTGTAAGCAATGCCCTACAAAACTTGATATTTGCGTTGCAACGTGAATAATAGAGAGCCAAGCGTTCGAGACTACCTTCATCTAGGTAGGTAGCTAGCAATCAACATCGGATGGCTAGAGAGATAAATTGTTGAAACGGGCTTCGGATAATCATTATATCCCTCATTATATCCCCTCACCAGTCCATCCGATGCGTACCCAAGGCTGCGTGCGGTTCATTACCCTGAATGAATTCTTCGAGAAGTTGCTGATGAGCCTCTATCAAAGCTATTTTACGACTTGCGGCTGTAAGTCGACGGAGCTTACGACAATCGAAACCGATATTCCTAACAAAATAGGATATCTGAGGTAAAGCATAAGCCTTGCAGAAAACCCTTCGGGGATATTCGTATAAACTATGCCCAAGGCGACGGGCTGTTTACTATCTCCTTAAGCCTCAGGAAACTAGAGCTCTCATCTCAGCTCTCCAAGTAACATTCTACGATCAGAAGACGCAGATAAAACTAATTGCACGTGAGCAACGAGATACATTGGAACTCGGATTAGGGGTTCACTTACTAACAGGCTCCTCGCCGGGAGTGAATTCGGCACAATTGACCGCTCCCTTGTGGCCGGGTAATTTATAGAGGAGCTTCCCGGTATCGTTGGACCATATCAATACTGTTCCATCACCAGCACCTACGGCAATTTTCTTGCCAGCCCTATCCCAACTACCTCGGGTTAGGTTCTTCTCAACTCCTACCTGTGCCCCGTCGAATGTACGGATGTGTCGCTCGGTGGGTGCAAACGGCCTTATGTCCCAGGTCTTCGCAGTTGAATCGTGCGAGTAAGATAGTAGCGACTGAGAGTCCGGCGACACGCTTAGGCTGGTCACCGTGTCGTTATGACCCAGCATAGAGTATACAATGGCCTTTTTGCGCATGTCCCAGACCTTGATGTCATTGTCGATACCCCCCGAAAAGATCTCATTACCTGCCTCTGCGACTGCTACGGCTGTAATTGGGAAGTCGGTCTCAATGAAATCGGCGGCGTTTTTCGATCGAGGATCCCAAATGCCTATAGTACCATCATCGCTTCCGCTGATTATGATCTCCTCGCCACGCTTGCTTATATCCAGAGAGTTTATGATCTCCTCGTGTCCGATATATCGTCGTATCCTTGTCCCGGAAGTTAAATCCCAGCTGGCGAGGTGCATATCTGCCGAAGCTGAATATAGAATTTCGGAATCCCGAGACCACTTTAGATCTAAAACTGCGCCCCGATGGCCTGTCAACACGCCGTAGTTCTCACATGTGCCCGATGAATTCCAAAGCACTGTTTCGGTTAGTAAAGCCCACGAGTAAGGTACTGGGACAAAGCTTACAGATGCTCCGGTCCATGGACCCTGAAGCAATTAAAGCGCCTGTAGGGTTGAATCTCGCTGAAAAGATTTCTCCGGAGTGTCCAGTAAGTTCCATCAACGGTGCTTCTAGGTTACTCGTTCGAGGTGCCTACACCACGATGTCAGCACTGCGCCCGCATTTCTCGTCAAGGTTTCTTATATTTTATACACATACGGACTGCACCAGCGCACCACTCCCAGATGTTCCATCTCGGCGAGAGAGGGCAGTACTGGTTCCTGGCTTCTGTCTTTTCACGACCAATTGGCCTGCGCCGGGTTCTTCAGGTGCAGGGCGTTTTTCGGCGGACATGTCTGCCAGTTGCGATTTGTATATGGGAGAAATATAATTTCTTTTTGCTTGTGAAGTTTGACGTCAAACTTGTGTGTCGTTGTAGGTCTTTGTCAGGCAATTGCGCGCGACTCTGCGCGTTTCTGTTGAGTAACAAATATTAAGATGCGTTTATCGAGATCTAGGAGCTCCAAGTACCTAAGTAGATGTTAGATACCTTAGGTAAGGTTAGGTACCTCCTAGCTTCATTTGGTGGACCCCAAGGGCTGCAGGTGTCCAGATAAAAGTTACCGGAAAAGCGATTTTCCTAGAAGCTCTCGACTCGAAAGTTCCAAGAACACTAGGTACCTAGGTAGATACCTAGCCTATGTACTAGGCAGGTGGGGTCATCAAAGAGATCGGTGGAACTCTTACCATCGGGCTGCCGACGTTAACCCCTCGGTCCCACCAATCAATCCATCAATGAAACTGCAGCACCAGCTTCACCGTCTTCTCATTACTAAACTCAGCTCGCTGCTTGAGACCGTAACGCATACACACCCGCGCAAGGCTAGGTTTTTAAGGCTTCCCTAATCCCGATACGTATATCGGAAAGAGTCAATGACCTAAATGAGCTCAACTTGAGCTCGTCAACCGAGCATGTCAGCAAACAAAGCCGCCCGCGTGGGCGAAGAGTAAGTGAGCAGCATCTCTTCAGCCTTGCGGTATCCTTGCTAACGAAGAGTAGGATTTGGAAGTAAGTTCGAAGTCCATCGAAACTTCCACCAACTACAAGCATCACGAGTCCTACTAACACACCGGGATAAGGGGTCGCATCGATAAAGTCAATGCCGAGCTTGTCACCTTGACTTACGGCACCATAGTCGCGCAGCTATGCAAGGACTTTGAGGGCGATTATGTCGAAGTCAACAAGCAACTAGATAGGATGGGCTACAATATTGGCCTCCGATTAATCGAGGACTACCTGGCCAAATCTAATACGATGAGACGATGCTCTAATTTTCGAGAGACGGCCGACATGATCGCGAAGGCAAGTCTTCACAATAAGCAATTCCATCTCATATGTACGTGTTCTAAACTAACATACATATGGCTAATTCTTACAGGTTGGCTTCAAGATATTCCTTAACATCACGCCGACTGTAACAAACTGGACGAGCGACAGCAAACAATTCTCTCTCGTATTTGAAGAAAATCCATTAGCCGACTTCGTTGAACTTCCCGATGACGGCCGAGCACAGGATGAATTGTGGTACTCAAACATATTTTGCGGTGTTTTGCGAGGGGCGCTTGAGATGGTTCAAATGCAGGTTGAAGCGCACTTTATCAGCGATGTGCTACGGGGGAATGACACCACGGAGATGAGGATATCTCTGATAAGGTATATCGATGACGAATTACCGCCAGAGGACGATTAGGAAGCCTATAATGGCGATATGTATGATTATTAGGGGGTGCGTCCCAGGTCTAGCACAGCTTCCAGCAACCCATCAGACACAGTTTTGATAGACATGAACAATGATACCAACTATAAATATCTAACGAGATAGAACGATACCGGGGATTATTGGGATATTGCGGCATGTTACTTTGGATTCTTTATAGTATGCATGGCCCGCACCTAGAAGTTTTTGCGTAAAAAGTTACCACCGAAACCAGGTTATCATATTGTATCTCCTATTTATTCGTAGAACAAGAAAATACATATTTCACTAGCTACCTACACACCTGTAGTCGTACCTTTCACTGCGAAGACAAGTTGCTGATCCAGAAAAGGATGCAAAAAATAATATGAGGGTCAATAAGAAGGGTAATATATATCCATTGCTTCTTCTATGGGACAGGGTACGGTAGGTTCTGAATTCGTTATTTATTTTTTGGATCGGGGCGGTCCACTTGACTCCCGAGACTTGGAGAAAATATATAAGTCAGTCGGGGTCAAGTCGGGGGTAGTTAGATAGACCCATCTGTTTCCTGCAGTGATCATCCGGCATAGGTATTTGCAGACGGGCTTACATCAATGGCCTTGTCCGCTTGGTGATCCTTGTATACCTAGGTATTTCAAAGACATCTTCATAACTAATACTATAACTTACATAGTTAGGGAGTATTATACATTATATATCACTTACGTCATATGTTAATTCGAGAATTTACCTAGGTATTTTTTTCATGCGGGCGTGGAAGATGTCTCTTTGGCCGCACCAACGCGCCATCGGAGGTTTTTCATGCATCTAGTACTTGCATCTAGTACTTGTGCCGAGTGTGATTGTACCTGCATCCACGAGTCCACCGGTTCATCCGTTAGCGTAACATGGTTATGGAGAGCATAATTGCCAACATGATCCACCAAATGCTTAAGTTGGCTATTAAGTTGTCACTACTCCAGCTAAAGTCGAATTATTAGACTCAAACGAGCTTCTATAAGATAGGATTACATAGGATTACATTGAACACAATAACGTTAGGTAGTCTCGCCGAATATGACAAAATTACCCGGGAATATTTTTCACCCCGTCCGCGGCCATTACTTGTTGGTGCGTCCAGTCTAGCCACTATGGTAAGGTCTATTATACATGATAGCAAAATGACCTCCCCTTTAGATTGCTTTTCACTTATGTGAGTTACGTTTCCTTGGTCGTTTTGCCATGTTGCTTTGCTTACCTTAGGTAGGCACCTAAGGTAGGTAAAGATTAAGCCTCTTGGGAAGAAAAAAAAAGACTATCAAATCATGTTACATATCTTCTAAAGATATTCTCCAAGAGAAGCAAAGCTGATTTCCACGGGAAAATACCTAGTTTAACAAAGCACTGTGCAAACACAACAATCATCGATAGTAAGATCATCTAGGTAGTATAGACTTTTTTTTTTTCCCTCGGATAGCATGCGGCGGCAAAGTCGATGAACCGACCGGGGTCAACTGAATCAATATATCGAATCCTTATTCCGATATGTTGTGAGGAAGAGAATAAGAGCGTGAAATTAATCGTTAACCCATAGCTTCATTATAGACAAACAAATATCGGCAAGGATTAGAACCACTTATTGATATTATCTACGTTATATAAATGTACCGTTACTATGTACATATATGTTTAACAATTTTAAAATACCTGTTATATACATGCTTAACGATTATCCAACAACTTAGCAAATGTACTTCGTATGTGGTCTAGTAATATGTACCTGTCAGAATTCTGAAATTGACATGAAGGATGCCAAGATTAAATTTGGGAAGACGTTCTGAAATATACGCTAGAGAATACATTGTTAATCTTATGCAATCCCCCACTGATAGCCCGCATTAAAAGTCATAATGATCTACCTAGGTAGGTACATGATGCCGTTCTCAGATATGCGCCTAAATCGGACCTCTGACCCATAGGTTTTTCCACCGCGTCTGTCTCAACCCATACTTCTCGACTCCCCCCAGTCCCCCGTTCTGCAAGCTTCTCGCAAATGCTCTTTACTCTACCTCTCGTTCTGTAGTGTACTGCACCTTTTGCACTACCGCACTTTGAGTGCAAGTATTGTACAATACCTCTACCTAAGTACATAACCTACCTAAGGTTGGGTAACTTCTTGTCTCTAAAGCACGGGGGATTCCCTACCTAACTTTACCTAAGGTATTGTACATACAATAATACCCTTTGCACCGCTGGCATCATTTGCCTTTAGCACACCTCCTCTCCGAGAACCACATTAATAAAACTACCTAACCCAACCTTACTTCGTACACTTACCACGTTCTGGTACTTACATTGGAACTTGCCTTGCACATACCTTCATCATCTCCCGCCACTATTCTTTGCCAGTCTCGGCTCAGATCCCGTAGAATTATATTCCTTCTAATCCTTCTCAATATTTCCCATTTCCCCTCCCCTCGATATTTAATACTACGGCAGAAATCTCTCTTATTATCCTAACGTGTTGTTGAGTGCCTATGCATCTCTGGATATCGCCTGGTCTTTTGAATGTCTGCAAGGTCGCATCCACCGTGCGCGATTTCGAATTCGCCTAATTGGCTTCTCGTCGTGGAAGGAAAGCTAGCGCTCCTCCTACACCACAGAAGCGCTGTTGTCTCGCGTTAACCCGGCACACGAGAGCAGTCCACGAGGCAGAGTAAAAGATCCGGAAAAACGAGTACGCGCGATAGGAGTATAATATTGCAATCCGATAGTGCTGCAACAACAGTACTGGACGCGGGCAAGTAAGGCGTCTTTCTGCCCCCATTGCCAGGAGCAAGGCAGCCTATACAATACAACGAGAGACACAGTGCATCTTTTCTAAATCCATTTCTACACATACAGTACCTATCTACTTTAACCTGTACCGAAACGAATCTTACCCACCTAACTGATCTGTTCGCTATCGATCAAGCCCGAGAGGTCCACGCAAAATCTCGTCTACCCAGTCCTTCTGACCTCTTTAACACTTTACTTTCTCTACCTCTCCTTATTATTACAGTTTTGAGTTATCGCCTTTGAAACGAGATCCGAGGCCATTACGAATACCGCTGAAGGATAAACAGAGAGAGCTAGTTGGAAGAGAAGTTTTTTTTTTGCACAAAAAGACAAGGAGAAAAAAAAAAGAATCCATTAGCTGTCATCCCGCTGGTGCTCTCTCTCTCATTCGCTATAACACGCACCAGCCCCCAATAACGACCGCTATTATCAGCACCTACCACCGCCACGACCAGACCACCACGCCCATACCACCCCGACCGAAAATCGACTGACAAACTCGTCTTCGCCATCACCGCTGTCGCACCAAAAAAAATCCGAACAACCACCACCTTCACTTTTTCTCATCCACTCGTCCATTTTCTTAATCGTATTAACTCTACCGCTACTCGCGATACTTTATAAGAGTCTTTTCTTCCCACTTCATTCGCGGTCTTTCTTCTGATCTCTGTATACCCAAGGCAAATTTGGTACTCGTGGACCTGGTCGCATCCTTCCTTCTCTCCTTTTGCATAGTTGGAGGAGTCTAACTCTTGCCTAATCAATATTTCCTGTGTAATAAAAAGGGCGAATTCCAGGAATCGGGATCTCTTCCTTAAGCGCACTGCCAGGGACCAAGCACTGGGTTGCTCAGTTGATTATTACACTTACGCGCATCAGTTTCTTTCCTGTTCGGCGGGCTTTTCTTCCGTCGCTCACTAAGGGACAGACGTCTATTGACACTTACTTGGCTGATCGGCTTTGGGATCATAGCACGACTTTTGGTAGTCGGGATCGACGCCCTCGGCTGCGAAGCTTTGTTTCCCGTCACCGCGACACACACGCGCATTTACCCTTGGCTGCTCATTACTGTGACTGGATACCGCGGATCCCGACAGACGAAAGTCTGTCCATAATCTCTCACTAATGAATAACATGAATATGGCCAATATTCCCATGGCCGGCCCCGTTGGCGGTCCATCGCCAATGATGGCCAATACACTGGCCGCACAACAACAACAGGTCCAAAGCCAAGGAAATAATCGAACGGTTCTCAACACATACATCTACGACTATTTTCTTCGAGAGGGCATGTACGACTGCGCGCGCCAAATGCTCAAGAGCGAGCAAACCCTTAACGTCATTAAAGAAAGCCCCGGCCGTCGGCGAGACGAGAATAGCAATGCTTTGGGCAATGGTGTAGGTGACGATCCTATGGACACTGATAGTAAGGACGACATAGACTCAAAGCGACCCGCGGATCTTCCCATACCGAACGTCCCGGCTGCCGCCGAAAATAGCTTTCTTTACGAGTGGTTCTGCTTATTCTGGGACATGCTTTACGCTCAACGTAACAAGCCTGGCATTAGTCCACACGTAAGTCATTATGTTCACCATACTCAGGTAAGTGTCCCAATGAACCATTTAGAGACGGCGTTAAAGCTGACTATTCTAGCAACAAAATCGTCAGAGACAAACAGAACAGCAAGCAATATTACGAGGAATGCGACAAGACATCTACGGCCAGAACCGAATGATGGGAATGCCAAATGGCATGCAAGTTAATGCGAAGCAGCAACAGAACCTAGCCAGGACTGCCATGGCGAACAACCAGAATAAGTATGTCGAGAGCCTATCATGTACATCGCTAGTTATTTGCTAATGTTGTTTATTTATAGTCCCCAAGCCATGCACATGTTGCAGCAGGCGAAGCAGAATCAGATGCAGCGCGACGGTTCGAATATGGACGGTAATCAAAACCGCCCAGGTTCTCCTGGCTCGGCAGAGAATGCGCCGTCGCCGAGCAAGAGGCCACGTCTAGATCCATCAGGACCTTTCAATCCTCAGCAAGGAGGCATGATGCCTAATGGACAACGACCGCAGCAAGGAATGCCCGGACAACAAGTAGGCAACATACCCAGAAATACTGCTATAACCCAGCATATGCTCTTAACAAACGGCATCAACCCAGCTAATCTATCCGCTGAACAGTTCCAGAACTTCCAAGCCCAGCCACCGCAGGCCCAGGCCAAATCGATCCAGACGTATTCACAAAACCTGCAGCAGCACCACGGCCAGCAAATAACTAACAAGCAGATGCCCAACCCTGGCGGACCTCAGGGCCAATCGCCTATGATGCAGGGCGGACCCAATGATGTTGCAATTACAGCACTCTATAACACAGACGGAATGGGCGGTCCAGGAGTAGTGAGGCCCGGTGCACCAGGTGGTGCTCAAGGGGCGGGCGGCAGTAACCATGCTCTGCAAGACTACCAAATGCAGCTAATGTTGCTGGAGCAGCAGAACAAGAAACGCCTTCTGATGGCAAGGCAGGAGCAAGATAGCATGGGCGGTATGCCTCGAGCGGACGGAGCTGGTCCCGGTGGCCCCGGTGCACCTGGCGGCCCTGGTCCGAACGGACAGACTTTCCAAGACCCATCTACTCAAGGGGCTCGCACAGGAGCTTCACCCAACCCTGCCGACCAGATAAAGCGCAATACTCCGCAGATGAACCACGCTACGATCCCCTCACCGATGACTGATGGCGCACAATCGAGAGGCTCGCCAAACCAGATGAATTTTGTACAGAATGGAATGGATCCCAACATACAGGGCCATTTCTTCAAGAATATGAACGGAATGGATTCCAATATGGTAGCTGCGCAAATGAACGGCGGAGGAGCCATGCGACCCCCAAGCTCCCACCCCAATCAACCTTTTAACGGCCAGATGAATCCTCAAATGATGAGGGCCCAGCAGGGTCCCCAAGGTGGCCCCCAAATGCAATGGCAGCAGGGACCGAATGGAAACGGAATGGCGCTTCAAGGACCTCAAGGTCCAGTCCAGGGCACGCCGCAACAACGATCTATGCCGCCCCCATCGGCTCCGCCGGCTGTCAGCAACGCTGCTACAGGCCGCGCAACGTCGTCACCACAACAGAATAATGCGGCTCCACCTACCCCTCAGCAATCCAACAAGGCGGCACCTAAAAAGAAGGACAATAAGAACGCGAAGAGCAAGGTACGAATATCATATTTTTTTTTATTAACGATGTGTAGCTCTAGCACCTGACTAATTACGTATATAGGCTGCGGCTCAGAAGAAGGTATCCCAACCTACAGGTGCAACACCCGCCTCGGAAGCCGCCCAGGAACCGGAACCGCCCACTCCCGTTACACCCGTCAACACTGCGAACTTCAATAAGAACGGCCAGGCCGTGGGCGCTCAGCCAACAGCGAATGCGCCTGTATCGGCTCCTCCACCGGCTCCTGCGCCAGTTGCAGCACCACAAGCGCACCCGGACCCTTCGCAAATGAACCCGACGTTTGGCATGGACAACAACAGTGCAATGGTGAGTGCCCCTAATCTCCAGCCAGTCTATTCCTTTTGGCTAACCTTCCTATAGGACTTTAACATGCCGTTCGCGGACCCTATGCAGACTGGCGATGTCCTGCAGGACTTTGATTTTGATTCTTTCCTACACGACGGTGATGCCGACCCCGGAACCTTTGATTTTGGTACTACAACATTTGGTATGGAAGGGGCTGGGGAAATTGGGGCGGAGTAGGAGGGTGTCCACAGTTCGCCGGGTCTGAAGTGATATCCTTTAAGCATCTCTACGTTCGGGTTAACTTGGGCATGTCATGGCGTTAATCGGTTGTTTACACTCGCATCTGGACTATGGCCATGGTCTGACGGATATTCGAACTCAGCGGACCAGACACGAAACACGACTACTACTAAAAAGCCTGTTGATTTTTTTTTCCTTAGAATACCATACCACACTTATTGTTTTTAGTTGCTTCGTCAAACCGCTCATGTCACATGTCCCTAATTTCGTCATCGTTTCTCCCTCGTCTCGAAGACCAGCAAGGGTCTCTAGCGAACGATGGCTCAATCCTGGGGTCTAGGATCTATTCTATTGTATTCTTTTTTGTGGAGGATTCGTATTGCACCCTCTGCTGCTGTCCAACTTCTATTTTTTTCCTTCCTTGTCTTTACATTGGGTTGGGAGTTCACCTTGGCATGAACAGATCAGTCAGGCAATGAAAGTCATACAAACACATTCGATGGAGTCGACGCAAATCTTGAACGCGCCACTATATTGATTTTCGTTACCATGCGTGAGGCGAGGAGCTCTTAATAGGCACACAATAGTTGTGCTATATAAGGTCGGAATGCTTCTAGTACTTTCGTCCGTTGTCTCCGCTACGCTTCCTCGGAAACGTTGAAGGAATGAAGGTGATAGGCAACGACGCCCGAGCTTGTCTTTCGCAATTTCAGGTGCTGATTATTATTGATATCCGGGACCCAACAAAAATGGCGGGCGTGCGGTGTGAAAGTGTTTCGGGGGATCTGGCTGTACAACGTGCTTCTTATGCTACAGGCAGAAGTAGATGTCGAAAGCCGGGTTCGGTGGTTTTTTGTGTAGTGTGGTTCATTGTGCAATGTTGGATTGTATTCAATAGAGCAGAGATGCTGTTGTTGCAGTGGTTCATGATGTTCCATGTTTACCATTTTCCTTAACGGCATTCGCTTACCTGCGTATTGCTTCAAAAGCCGTCACGCAGAAGTAGTAGTACATGCTTTCTTTTATTTTTTTTTATTTTTTTCCTCATAATTTGGGAATGAATGGCACTTGTTTCATGATGTTCATTTTTGGGAGATATCAGGAGATGAGCCTAATCAAAAGAGATATGATGTGATCTATGCCTGATGTGTAGCCGCCCTTCATGTGTATTAACTAGAACTACATGTAGTATTCGTTGCCAAGGCTATTACACACAATAATAGATAATATATTTCCTTTAATTTATATAGCCTTATATAGGATTTACTAGTCGTCTGTTATTGACTCGCCTAGCGATTTTCCGAGCTGTATCATTGTCTTTTCGTAGACCTTGCCCACGTTAAGTTTCAGTTCCTCTTCCCCGTCTGAATCCCCATCCGGCTCGCCCATATCCTGTTCGGTGTCGGGAGCCATCTGCACCGTCGACGGGGCGATAGTAGAAGTATTGACGCCAGCTTTTGCAGCCGGGGCTCTATCGTCATCGGAATCATCGTCATCGTCGTCTATCATCCAATGAAACTTGCCGTCGGATTGATGCGGACCAGGTCCATCCAGCATCGGAACTGGACTCCGAGCTCCTGGAGCGGCATCGCTAAATATCGGGGTCGACTCTCCTTCCTCGACTTTAATGCGTTTCTTATCGTCGAGCTCCTCGTCCTCTGAAACTGCGTCGACGGACTTGCGCTTAGCTGCAGCACGATGCAGTTCTTCCGCGTCGCTTAACTCTGTGTCGTTTTCAAAGTCTATAACGTCTTCGGACTTGACCTTGGCATTGCTGTTATTTGGGGGGGTAGGTGTCTGTATTAAACCGGTAGATGGCGAGACACCGATGTTTTGCCTTGTAGGTGGCCGTGCCAATTCGTCGTCGTTATCGCTTGCGTCTGCATACATCCCAACGCCTGGCTCGCCACTCATAATCATTGCGACCAGCATGCGGGTCTCATCGACAAGACTTTTGCAGCGCACCATGTCGGTTCTCGTTAAACCTCTTCCATTGCCTTGGAACCCCGGTAATGAATCCCCCGATTTAATATCACGACCTATTAACAGACTGGCAAAACAGTGATCGAGCTTCTTGAGGAGCGCGAAGGTGGGTGCTGGCGACGGCGGGAAGGAAGGTAAATATGTGTTAAATGCGAGCGCGACGTTAAGAAGGTATGGTATCTGAAGACTGGCTAGAGAGTCTGTTAATAAATGCTATTCGACATGCCTTGGCATGTAGGCGTTGGGATGAAGCGTACGTGTGCCAGAGAACCAAAGTACATCAACTACATCTTCCATGTCTTTACACAGCTCGTCCATGTCTTTATAGCCCTTCACTTCATCTGCGGGGTCCGGAATCCCATGCTTCTTAACGTATCGACGCGATATGTGTAACAATCGATCAGATACGTAGTTCCTAGCGTAATCTTCTTTTCTAGAGCCTCGAGCTAGGGGTTTTGATCGTGGGCGTGGGAGGCGCGCGGCGGCCTGGTTAGAAGCTGTGCTAGGGGCGGGAGAGGGCAAGGAGGTTTTGCCGCCCGGTAAGAAACCGCCGGCATTTTCGTAGACGAATCTAGGTGTCTCAACCATTTTCAAGTGTGATCGTAGGAGGACGAATAATATTTGAATATCGAATTGCGTTCATGGGGTATACATAAATGATCGGTAGCTATGGTTGATATAAGCGGATTGGGGGCGAGTCGGAATTCGAAAAAGGGAAAGAGGTGGGAAAGAAGAAAAGCTTAAAAATAGCTCTTGTTATTGTTTACTATGTATTGTTTTCAGCCTTGTGACGACATTACGAAATTGGCTTGTCAGCTGCACTCCATACTAGGTATTATCGCCCCGCTGGAATGACCCATGCAGGATTCCGGACCCACCTATCCCACCTATCCCACCAATGGAATAGCGTAACTGTTTAACGTGAGCTCGGATTTTATTCAGCCTTGAATTCATTTTATTAGTCTCCAAATTCTTTTGCTTTGGGGGTTTTTCTTTTTGTACTCGACATCATCATCCAAAATCATCACCAACTTTACTATAACCCCTACCCCACACGCATCTACCATATACCATCATGCCGCCAAAGAGAGTCGGTGGACGTTCCAATAAGGGCTTTATCGGCTCTACTTATGAAGCTTTCACATCTCCCGAAAATGCTTCCGTCGTACGCAGCGTAGCAATCTTCGGTGTAAGTTTGCGAAATATAACATATATCCCTTAACCCTTTCCCCTGTCCCCCTTCTCTTTGCCAAATTTTGCCAGCTCACATGTCTTAGGCCGCTGTCGCTTTCCTAGCAAGTCCCTGGAGCGAATACCTTCTACCACCGTGAGATACTTGAAGCTAAGAAATGACCAAAAGCCTATCAAAATTACTGACGCTCAACTTAGAGTATGAAATATCTCATTCGCCAAGGGGTAAAGGGGATTTTGAATTACGAAATATGTACGATATGGAACAAATAGCACTGGTGTGCCATACGTTGGCGGCGGATTGGGAGATGGGATACGCATGAACTACATCCAGTCGGTCTTCTTAGGCCATTATGAAGACATCCGAGGAAAATAACCTCCACTTGACGCATTAATATGACAAACAATTCAACATCAACTTACAACAACTTAAGTGGTACATCCTAGAACTTGGGGATTTGGCTTTGATTCGCTTGGGCAATGACTTCCAACTGACAGGTGTCTTTAAGCATTCGTTAGCAAAGGGTTCTACCTTCACAAAGATCATCAGAAAGTCTGTTTGATAGGCAACCTACCTAACCTAACCTAATATATTAGTTCTACCTAGTACATCAAGGTCCGAATCATTCGTAGGTACCTTAGGAGGTAAGCTTATGGTCTTCAGCAACCGTCCTACTCTTTACAACGTAACAACACTCATTCATTATTTATCAATCTTATACGCCACTCCCAAAGCCGGAGCCAAAAGGATGTGAACACTTTCTATATCCTTTCATGCCATATCAGGCCAGAGATGAGAGGGCACATCATCCTAAATAATATTATCTTCGACGGCATCACCACACAAATCGCCGCGACATCTTTTTCGTATGCGCAATGCGCGATGCACTGGAAACTAGTTGGGATAGAACCGAACGGTACAACGAGTTGCTCAATTCGGTCTGGCAGTGGATTATGTCATGCGGAGACAAAGTACTCTGGTAGATGAAGAAGGGCTTCGAAGACCTAACTTTTCCAACGGGTCTGTTTCACGGGGATCTATACGAGCTCGACCTTACCAGCACGAGGAGAGCCCCGCAAGAGAAGAGGGAAGTGAGGCTAAAGAGGGAGCTGATTTGAAGGGCCACACATATCATAGCTTAGGTAAGATTTAGTAGTGGACAGCGAATTCGTTGGTCAGCCAAGTAATAACATGAGTCTCAAATGGCGTCCTTCAAATAGCATCCTTCGACTATTAGAACTAGCGAATCCCTTCTTTGATTTACTTGTACGCACTTTGGCTCGCAGATGACTACCTCCCTGGGACATGTGAAACGCTGCTTCTGTTTTCTATTCTCTCCGAGATTTCGTCCCAATTAGGAGCAGTGTATAGATCTTCAAGCAGGGATCCATAAGCGTACCCCAGTGTGCTCTAGATCGCAACTTACATACAACCCAGCTATGGGTATTCGCCGGCGCTTACCAGAGCACAACAGATGTAGAAATAGACGTCTTTCTACCTTTTATCTTCAATCTGCCTAACTTAATAGCCTATTGGGCTTGATAAATAGCCTTTCACCTATATGTGATAGAGAGTTCAAGGCAATTTATATCTCCGAATCCGGCCACGGGGACGCGTTGCTTTTTTACCTATCGTTATGCATCAACATCTACCTGTCAACTTCTCCTTTCACGAAACTTTCTCCACCTCTTCTTCCGACTCTACGATTTCCGCCAGTTTACCTATCCCGGAGGACGATTTGATAGGAAAGACAGATTACTAGGTACCCACCAATCATACGGGCAGAGTGTCATTCCTTAGATCCCCCTTCCAATGGGGACGTGATGCCATAGGTACCGAGGTATGCATGTGCAACGACTCCTACGCCAAAAACCAAATAGCAATGGGTCGCCACGAATTGATTCGAGTATGTTCCCCCGATCTATGACTTCGTGGCGCTTGGTCATGCATCGAGAGATGGGTAGTAATTGCTGACGTGATAGGAAAGGGGGCGGAGATCATGTAACTAGATAGTTCCTATTCCGATCCACACTTCCTGAAGGCGGGGATGGAGTATTCGTTGATAAAAGTGCAGGCATCCTCAAGGTCCTGGGTTGTACCGGTGAACTCGACTGATTGAACCTCTTTTATTTTCCTAGAAGAACTCTTTCAGTCTATCCCCTCGATTACTCTCGTTACTAATGGCAGACCCAAAGCCCCTCGCGGGGAAGATTATACTCGTGACGGGAGCAGCCCAAGGAATCGGAGCAACTATATCTAACTACATCGCGGCGCGTGGTGCATCCTTGTCTCTAGGGGATGTGCAGAAGGATAAACTTGATGCTGAAGCACAGCGCTTGTCTCAAGCTTACCCTGATATTCAGGTGGCGACGTGGTCTTTGGACGTTACAGATCCGAAAGCTGTTGAGGGGTGGGTAATCGGCTCGAAAGCCAAATTTGGGAAGATTGACGGATGTGTCAATAATGCCGGTACGCCAATCTAATTCCTCATTCATACGTCGACAGAGGAATCATCCACCTAACTTCCTCTCTCCCCTTTCCAGTTGAGAGACAGCTGATTTTCTAACCCCCGAGTTATAATGGGACAGGAATCCTTGGAGATGGAAGCCGGATAACAGAGATGAGTTTCGAAAATTGGTCCAATGTCATGAACGTCAACTTGACTGGGACGTTCAACTGTCTGAAGTTCCAACTACGCGCAATTGAAGATGGCGGTAGCGTTGTTAACATGTCCAGCTGTGCTGGCATACATTCGGTACCTGTTCTGGCGGCTTACACAGCATCTAAGCACGGCGTTGTCGGCCTGACTAAAGTAGCCGCTGCCGAACATGCACATCGCGGTGTCCGGGTGAATGCTGTGTGTCCGTAAGTAACCCCCGCTCCCTCTTGCAATAGAAATCGATCTTGAAAATATAGCAGGAACTAAGCCTCTGTACTTCTCTACCCCCAGTTCTTTATTATTTCTCCAGTGGCTCGTAACCTGGGTATCTCGTAACTAACTGTCACTCTTTAGGGGCATTGTGGCAGGAGGGTTGCAGAAGAACTTGTTTAGGGAAGTGCCTAATCTTACAATGAATGACCTCTCGGCTCTGTTCCAAGAGTTGGTGCCTATGAATCAAGTTGCTGCAATGGTTGGGTATCTCTTGGGCGACGAGAGCAAATTCATCACCCGAGCGGTGCTTCCTGTCGACGGGGGGTTTTAGTTGATAAATCTAATAGGTATACCTAGGTACCCAAAGAGCATCTAGCTCTCTGAGGAAGTGCTTTTGCCTTTAGTTGTTGGTTGAAAGCTCAATTGGTGTGAGGCGCAGCAGCGTCTGCCTAGGTTAAGCACCTGGTATTATGGATATTTGAGTTAGTTATACACAACTTACAGAAGTTCTGAAAATACCTATGTGAATTAAGAGGTTAGATATCCTATTGTATTTACCTTCAATGCTCAATATTTCTGGACTATATCATACTTTAACTTGTTACTGATTATGATGCTGGGTGTGCGCTAACATAGAAGGGGGCAAAATTCACCCGGTAGGTAAGCTTAAGGGAAAAGGTCACGCTGACCAATCGTATAATAGACTGGTATATCTGGCTCGAACCCCTCATAGCCCAGCAGATTCACTCTTGATTTCAAAGCTCTTCTACTGAATCACATATTTCTACCCAGACTCATGGTTTACTTAGAACTGTTACCTACACCTACCTTAGACTCAAGACTGATCGCAGTTGCAACTATGACGCAAGATATTGGCAAGATATATGAAGATGCTATAACTTCAGGATTACTTCCCGGTATATCGGTATTTGCCGGAGATAAAGAAGGTAAAGTCCCTCCAGTTACCTATACACACAGAGTGCGATAGAATGCTTCTTCTTCTTCTTCTCCTTTTTGGTTATACAGAATAGCTTTACCTTAGGTAGATAGGAGGTACCTAATACTGCAGAAGATTATAAAATTATTTCAACGATAGTCGCTTATAGTTAGTAGCTAATATTACAATTAGGCAATATTGTCTACTCTAAATCTTTTGGAAAAGCAAGTCTTAAAAAAGGCACCAACCTTCCTTTCACGGAGAACACACTTTGCGGTATTGCATCCATGAGCAAGCTCATGACTGCAGTTGCTGTTCTACAATGCGTGCAGGATGGGACTCTAGACTTAGATAAGGACGTAAAGCAATTACTCCCTGAGATTGGAAAATATGGTATTATTACCGGCTTCGACGACAATAAAAACACAGCCATCCTTACGCCCAATACTATCCCCATAACTCTCAGAATGCTACTTACTCACACCTCGGGCCACGAGTATGATTGGTTTAATCCCTGGCTTATAAAGTGGCGCGCCTCGCGCGGTGAAAAGCCGTTATCTGGCCCGGATGCCGAATATATCGCTACATTGCCTCTGGTGTACCCTCCGGGCACGGGATTCTCGTATGGCACGGGCTTTGAATGGGCTGGCAAGGCAGTCGAAGCTGTCACCCACCTTAGTCTCGACGAATTTATGCGCGAACGTATCTGGAAACCCCTCGGGATCGAAGACGACGCCAGCTTTTTCCCAAGGGTGAGAGATGGAATGAAAGATAGGGTGGCTGACCTTAGCACACTCAACGAGAAAGGAGAGCCGCCTGCGGTTGATGCCTCGGACTTCAGTATGACAGGGGGAGCATCGGACTGCTTAGGAGGCGCAGGTGTATTCGCAACTCCGAGGGCTTACTACACCTTTCTATCCGCCGTATTTCAGCGAGATCCTAAGATCCTATCACCTACGTCGTACGAAGAGCTTTTCAGGCCGCAGCTTAATGAGACACTCGAGCAGTGCCTAAACGACGATATTGCTTCTTCGCCGGAAAAGACGCAGTATCTCGGCCTCCAGATTCCATTGTCTATAAGGAAGAATTGGAGCTTCGCGGGCCTGGTCGTGAAGGAAGGCCATGAGGGTTGGTTCGCACCGAATACCGTATTCTGGGGCGGATTCCCAAGCTGTATGTGGTTTATTGACCACGAGACGGGAATCTGCGGAACGGCAGTATGCCAGATTATTCCGGCTATGCATCCCAAAGTCATTGCCCTTTACGGGGAGTTCCAGAAGGCCATATTCAACCTCGTAAAGACGAAAATGGATTAGTTTCCTATCTTCGCCGTGCAAAGCAACCGCGGATTTACCTATACCGACCGGCTTAGATGGGTATGTCGTTTTTACAAGATCTAACGGTGTCAATGAATGAACTTGGTTATTTCATATACGATTAGATTCACTAGGGTCTCCTTAATATACCTCTTGTCTCAGTTGATGTATAATCCTATCTATTTCCATGTCAATCATGATGCTTCACTTATCACAGCTATAGAAGCATTCCTCTTGGACTCCATTGTTCCAGGCTGGATCACTTGACTCAATTCAGGCCCAACTCTTATAATGTTGGCAAGCAGGATATATCCATAACCGGAGGAGGTTGATTTGGTCATGAAATAAATGCTACATGTCTTTGACTAGCGATATCGCGGCATATGTCTTTGAATACCGGAATAAGACGTATCTTACGACTATATGATCTCAGAGAATATACCCAAGCCCACTAGGTATTACTTACATCGTAAGCTGACCGGCTCTTGGAAGAATCACGTTAGTATATGTTATATAGGTACCTAACCTAACCTAACCTAGAGTTACCTAGTGACCTATGTTGGAAGACGTGGGCCCGTATCATCACGGAGAGACAAAATTGCCTGTCACATTATTTTAACATAATACCTTAGGTATTGTTATGCAACTGTAAATCGCTTTATAGCAGTAGCTATACTGTTCCGTCCCAGGCAATGTGTTAGCTTCGAAGCCAAAGCAAAGCAAACAAATAGTGGTATTGTATTTGATTGTTAAGATACAAACAGACAACAATGTTCGAAAAGACGTAATATATAGTCAAATGGAAAATTCCATTCGAGATTATTATTGTCCGTACATCACATCTACAACTCACACGACTCATATTCGTTGTCGGGGAGAAGCATTAATTATTGAATTATCTGCACATATATAAAAATCAACCGTTCACGATGGCTCCGAAACTCTCCCTAGATATCATGGCGGAAATCGCAAAACGCATGTCGATCTGGGATTGCCTTCGAATGGGATCCATGAGCAAGGACATGAACCAAGCCGTCTTCCCCTGGACTGTAAGATATGTTTTCGAGCATCCGAATCGATATAACTCTTTGGAGCCAATCCATTACGCTCTTACAACCGGTAATGTCCGCTTGTTGAAAACGTTGCGCGACCTAATCTTGACAGATACCGTGGTCGGTAACGAAGAGGAAGGCACCAAGATGCGCTGGGATGTATGCATGAAAGAACTCATTAACTATCCTACGATGGTACAGATCCTTCAAATCCCCTCTGGGGGGCGGCAATGCCTTGAGCTTGTCATTGATACAGCTATCCAAACAGGGACTGTCCAATCACTCAACATTTGGAATGCATCTGACCCCTCGATGTTGCTAGGTAATTCATTACAGTGCTCGCATCACCTTTCTATAGAAATTATCCTTAGCCGGCGAGAACAGCTTGGTCTAGGAAACTTTTTGAATGAGATGTGCTTCCGAAATATCACCGTGTTAAATGGCTGGCTTTTCGCGCATCACCTTCCGCGACAAACGATCGATTTACTTGTTCGATTGGTTGGTTTTTCGTTTTATGACGCCTGTCGACTAGCCTTTGTACGGGCCATCGAATATTTCTTGGCGACTCAGTCTGATCTGGCAGAACACCCCGGGAGGATATTAGAAGGCTACAATTGCCTACTCGAGTCTCCATCATGGTTTTCCAGTCCTCTTTCGCCAGGTAAGCCTATCGTCAGGTCCATCAGTTTGCTCCTGAATTCCTATACGAAGATAACCAAAAGTCCTGTCCCCGTCGCAACGGTAAACCTGCTGTTGGACCAAATGTGGAGAGTCGTTCATCCGTATGTAAGACGTCACGGGAAGTTTGGCGTGCGTACAGATATAACGCAAGAACAACTATTACAAGCCATGACCGAGTCTCTATCGTGCAGGGTGTGGAGTCAGCTATTCAATATAATCATCAACATGAATCCTTCTTATGTAACTATACCAACTTATAATCTGGATATAACCCCACGGCTAGGAAATATACGCTTTATCGAACTTGTCCGCCGAGAAAACATTGCTCTCCCCTTGGTACACGAGTGGACCCAGTCGGACTTGGACATTATCTATACCCCATGAAAGCCAGTACTGTTCAGGAGATGGAACAGTAGATGATTGAAGGCATCCATCATCTGTTTAGGGGATCTTATGCAGAATATCTTATAAATAGTACCTGTCTTATACGTAACTTAGGTACCTAGCACAATCTCTTTAGATGAATACTTAGTTTTTTATATTTTTTATAGGACCTTCCCTTTATGCGTGGTCCTTTCAGTCGCATATTCATACAACGTAACAGTTTTTTTTTTTTTCAATTACCTAGACCATGTTGCCCGCAGGATCGCACCAAACGAAGAAAAGTAGACGTTGCGCGCTCCTGCATAGTACCTACCTAGTGATCTGTAGGGGATATTTTGGCCCCCAATTCATAAGCAGGCTAGCCAGGTTAGGCAAAGCTGATCTCAGCAGCGCCGGATAGGACCCAATTTAATACCTGCAGGTGGCTTACAACCGTTGCTTACGTACCTTTGGGTAGGTACCTCCTCTTTCCCCTCTACTCCTCCATTTTCTTTCATGTAACTTCTGCTTCTACTTCTGCTTCTACTTCTCTACCTCTACCTCTACCTGCAATAAACGGTAAGTAATGAGCGATAAGCAGCAAGGTAATATAATAGCGCTTGAAGCCAGGTAAAGCCTATCAACATCACGCAATGCTACCATGTCATAAATTAGTTGCATGAGCTGTGCTATTCTCTTTCGTTTTTCCTTTCCTCTTCTCGTCGTTCTTCCTGTTCCTAGACCTAGACCCATGTAGATAGATGGGATTGATCATAACTCCCCCCTCCCCGGCCTTGTTGTACCACACCTTTCTTCAATGCCTGTCCCTATATATCCAAGTAGCCTAATCGAACCAGACTATACGATGAGTAGTCCCGCTACTTATAAGTATAAATTCCTTCCGTCCCCCTTCCTCCTGCCTCCTCACCTAAATATATATCATCTATTCTATCACCTCTTCTTTCACCTTTAGCTGTTTCTGAACTAGCCGATCTCTCTCTTGTCTCTTGGGAGGTTGGTCTTGCTAGTTTGTTAATCTTTCTCTTAGTCCAACTTAACTGCTCTTTTTCTGTTCGAGTTGACGAGAAAAAGTAAGTCCAAGCAAGCGACTATCTACCCTTTACCTCGTGTTATTTTCTTCTATATCTCCTTGTCATAAAATCGAAGGATCATGTCCGATGCCTCCTCAACCCCGCCTTCAGAGTCAGGGCGTCTGAGCCAAGACGCTGGGGATCGTACCGTAATGGCGGTTGTGCCTGGCACCACGCAAATCCCTAAGAAAAATAACAAGCAGACTCCTCAGGAAGCAATTGACCAATTCTGGAACAAATTTACCACTAAAGCCCCGGGAAAAGGTTCGTAGCCTCATCGTTCTCCCACCCTAATTTTCCTAGTCATCCCTGTGTAGGCAAGGTACCTACCTAGGTACCTAGGTAACGTTTATTGATTCCACTATCCTAGCAACCACCGTTATCCCGCATAACGAGTATGCAGAGAAAGCGGCGAAGCGGTCCGCCAAAGCTGTAGGCACAAATACTCAGACGTCGTATGAAGAAGCCGCTGCCCTCTGCCGGGCCAAGGTCGCCAAAATCGTCAAGGAGTGCCGCCGTGTAAATCAGAAATATCGAGACCCGCATTTTGATCTAGAGATAGACTTGAAATGGGGCAGCCGAGATACCCTCGAGTCACTCTGTAATACCAAGGAGAAACCCGATTCGTCCTTTAAGCCCAAAAGTGTCAAGCGTGTGGTTGACATTTTCGATGATCCTAAGTTTTACATCGAAGGTCCCACCGCCAACGACGTCAGACAGGGCCGCGACGGAGACTGTTGGCTGCTCGCCGCTCTATGCACCCTAAGCAACAAGCCTAGTCTGATTGAGAAGGTATGTGTAGCCCGCGATGAGCAGGTTGGCGTCTATGGCTTTGTCTTCCACCGCGACGGCGAATGGATTTCGGAAATCATCGACGACAAGCTCTTCTTGACCAAGCCCGACTTTGACGAGAGCTTTCTGGAGCGGATACTCTGGGAAGACCGCGAAAGGATTAATTCCGAGGAGCAATATAGAAAGGCGTATCAGAGCGGTTCTGGCGCCCTTTATTTTGCGCAGTGCGAACACGAAAACGAGACGTGGCTACCATTGCTCGAGAAAGCATATGCTAAAGCACATGGTGATTACGCCTCGATCGATGGCGGGTTTACTGGGGAAGGGATCGAAGATCTCACTGGCGGAGTAACATCTGAGGTAATATTCTCATTGCATCGTAGCCTTGAACATCATTTTATTAGTACCTAACATCATGCAGCTCTATACCACGGATATCCTTGACAAGGAGTACTTTTGGAAAGAAGAGCTAATGAAGGTGAATGCCGAATTTCTCTTCGGATGCTCTACCGGTATGTGGGGTTCTTGTGAGTTCTAGATCTCAAATTGCTTATCACGTTGAGGATTTAGAATTAATTGAATTTTCAGATTGGGGCGACCGCAAGGGTATCTATGAGCTCCATGCCTACTCGATAATGAAAGCCGTGGATATTGACGGTCAGCGGCTTGTCTTACTCAAGAATCCCTGGGGAAGAGGGGAATGGACCGGTCCTTGGAGTGACGGGTCGAAAGAGTGGACAGCCGAATGGCTGGTCAAGCTCAATCATCGCTTCGGCGACGATGGAAATTTCTGGATTTCGTACGATGACCTGCTTCGAAAGTACCAAGCTTTTGATAGAACGCGACTTTTCGGACCCGAGTGGAAAGTTACCTCTCTCTGGACCACTCTCTCGGTTCCCTGGACGTTAGACTACCATGACACGTATTTCGCGTTTTCTCTCGCAAAGACTGGACCTGTTGTCATCGTGCTTTCTCAGTTGGATGAGCGTTACTACCTAGGACTTGAAGGCCAATACCGATTTGAACTAAATTTTCGCCTACATAAGACGGGCCAAGAAGACTACGTGGTTCGCAGTATCAGCTCGATTCGGCTGAACCGTTCGGTAAATGTTGAACTAGAGCTAGAAGAGGGCGAATACACCGTCTTATTGAAAATCGATGCTACTCGTAATATGTACAAGCTACCGATAGAGGACGTGGTACGCAACCATGCGAGGGACCGCAGAGACAAGCTAGTTGCTGTCGGTATGTCATACGACCTGGCTCACAGTAAGGGGAAGGTCGTCGAGTCTCCTGAAGAAAAGAAGGCTCGAAAGGAAGCTGAGCAACGCAAGAAGGATAAAGAGCGCGAGGAGCTGAGGAAGGAGCTAATGGAAACTCGACGGCGTGATCATTATTACCGCGTCAAAGACCATAAGAAGGACCAGAAGAGGAAAGCCAAGGCTAAGGCTAAAGCGCAGGCTAAGGCCAAAAAAGCCAAGAAGTTAAAGGCTAAGGAGGCTAAAAAACAAGAGCAGGCTAGTTCCAAAGAGCAGTCTTCTGAATCCGGGGATAAACATGTTCAAGTGTTGTCACCAAGCCCAACTCCCGCCCCGGAAGACTCTAAGGAAGACCTAGGTTCTGAGTCAAAGACGGATTCCAAGGTGGAGACGCCCTCTACGGAGGCCGAGAAGCCCTCAGCAGACCTACCGCTGACCGCTGAAGAACAGTCGGCTAAAACCCTCGAAGCATCCCAGGATTTCAAACCGGATGAGATATCTACATCTGAAAGTAAAACTGAACATGCTACGGAAGGATTACCGGATTCCAAGATTGCTCCGTCAAGCGCTGTAAAAGATGCGGGGGGCGAGACGATCTCCTCGGACTCGACTAAGCAGCCAGAAGTAAATACCAGGAACGAACCAGAAGAGACGCAATCGAAGGAGACGGAAGACGAGGAAGACTCCTCTTCTGATGAAAGTGATGTGTCGTCCCTTTCCGAAATTAGCGAGCGAGAGCTGGATTTCATCCTTAAACAGCGGGCCTCTGACCCTCCAGCTCCTCCTCCAGCTCCTATAGAGTCACTAGAAGAAGAGGACGAGTTCGAGAAAGACCCGTGGAATGCGGTCGCCACGGTCGGCCTGCGTATCTACTACAAAGTTTCGGACGAGGATAGGGATAAGGATATTGTGAAGCTACGTGTAGTCCGTCCGAACCCCTATGCTAAGGACAAAAAGGCAGAAGACGAAGATGAAGATGAGAAAGAGAAAGAGAAAGAGCCTAAGACATCAAAGAGCTTAGATATCGACGATAGCTCTAAAGATGCCACACTTGAAGGTAGCGAGGAGCAGAGGAAAAAGAGTATCATGTCTCTTTCTCCCCAGGCCTAAGGAGGAGCCCGAATAACGAGTTATGAGGTATTGATTATTCCGAGCGTGGTTGGATAAAAAGGATTGGACTTTGTATAGAGATTGAGAATAATGGTTAACTAGAATGCCTACCCTATTCATCCACTTACACAATATACTCTTCTCACATCCTATGGAGTTTCTTATGCTTATACTCGAGCTTCTTTCTGCGTTATGGTCCTTCAAACTGATTCATTAGCCTTTTTCTGGACCAACTAGAGACATGCATCGTTGATATGCAAATCGTAAGGGTATCATTATTCTTGTGTAAGTGCCGGAGGACTTGGCCATCAAACTAGGCTCACTAGCTAGTCCTAGGTTCAAAGAGATATTTGCCTTCTGTATCTCCGAATCCAACAGTAGAAAATAAAACTACGCGACAACCCCGTAGGTTAGTTTATCGCATCAGAACCCGTCAAGCAACCTCTCAACTTTTCGCCGCTCCATAACCTCTAAGTCCTCCATCACGGCGTCGTCCTCCTCCCCCGGCTCCAGATCGGGCAGCTGGGCGACGCGGGCGGCGACGCGGACAAGCAGCACGCGCATGCGCTCGAGTTCCTTTTCCATCTCGCCGTCTCGGGTGACTAGGTTCGGCTGGACTTTTTCAACTGCGGACTCGGCCGCGTCGGCGGGATGAGAGGGGGAAGAGGAGAATGGGGCTAGGAGATTGCGCATTCGACGGAGACGATCTAGGCGCGCGCGCGTTTCCTTCCGCCGCGAGGAGAGTAGGGAGAGGGATGTGGCGAGGTCGGCGTACCGTATGGCTTCGGCTGGGTGGGCGTCGGATTGGGAGGGCGAGTATTGGTCCCACGTGCTGGGGAGGGTGGCGATGACTTCGTCGGATGCTGCGTGGGAAGAGCGTTAGCTACCTCCTATATAGAGCTTTATGATGGAGAAGCATACCGAAGTCCGCGCCGACCATCAAAAACTTTGGCCCCCCACCTCCGATCCCCCCCGTCCCTATATCCGCCCCGTCGTCATCGTCGTCCCCTCTTCCTCCTTCGCCGCGCACAGCCCTCTCCGCAGCTTCTAGATACAGCGTCTCGATCTGCTCCGCGACGTGCCGGCTTGCCTGGGGCGCATATACCCGACGCACATGCTGCTGCAGTCTGTGGTTCGCGCGGTATAGCGCTTCGTCTACGACGCGGTCGCTTAGGCCGCCGCCGTCGGGGATGCGCTGGTTCGACGCGCGCCAGGTACTGCTCGGCGCGAGGGATTGGGATAGATGTAGAGTCTGGGCGGTGAGAAAGGAAGATTTATGGGCGAGGATGGTGGGGGGCGCCATGGTGGTGGTGAAGGTGGTGTTTGGTGGGTTATCGTGATTCGGTGGTTACGCTGGAGGGTAGAGAGAGCTAAGATATTCGACGCATTTTTCTTATGGGGCGGATTATTCGAATAGTATCGAACATTGCAGCTGTATGACAGGATGTTTCGAAAACGCGTCGCGTCTTTGAAAAGCTGCCCCGCGTTTTAATTTCTCAAATCGAATCCACTGCGGGGAGGTTACCTACCTGGTACATGTACCTTTATTCAGGGTCCAAAAAGTACCTGAGTACTTTTAAACGTGGTACTTCAGGTAGCCTCTAGGTAACCTGCATAATATCGGCATAATTTACTAGGTACACAATTCAAGATTCTCCAGTGGTTCTATTCTATCCACTCGAAGTTCCTCTCTAATCAAGAAAAGATTGGTTCACTCTTCTACGCTACATAATTTCTCATCGTGTTCACAGCCCGGACCACCAGAAAGTCTCAGCCACCTTAAACGAACTCTTCACCACTTTGCTCTCCCTTATCTCGCTGCTGTCGCTAACGATAACCTCGTACTCGCCCTCTTCAACGCACCATTGATCGCGCTCCTCATCCCAATAGCCAGCTGCGTACTTCTTCGCAACCTTGACCGAGATCGTCTTGGTTTCACCCGCCGCCAATTCTACCTTGCCGAAACCCTTGAGCTCTTTAACTGGTCGGTTCACCTTGGCCTTCTGCTTAGGCGCAACGTATACCTGTGCAACTTCGGCGCCCTTTACGCTGCCTGTATTCTTAACAGCAACCGACACGGTCAATTCTCCGTTTTTCTCACTGAGCGATAAGTCTGAAAACGCAAAGGTTGTATAGCTTAGGCCGTGTCCGAAAGGAAATAAGACCTCGCGGTCGACAAATTCGTAATACCGGTAGCCCACGTAGATATCCTCGCCGTAGATTACTCGACCGCCTTCGGTTCGGTAATTCAAATACGCTGGATTATCCTGGACGCGAACTGGGAAGCTGAGACTAAGCTTTCCGGAGGGATTTACATCGCCGAAGAGTATATCGGCAATTGTATTTCCCGTCTCATTACCGCCATACCAAGCCTGAATAAGAGCATTCACCTCATCGATCCAAGGCATCTCTACTGGGGTGCCGGATTGCATAACTACCGCGGTGTTGGGGTTGGCTTTTGCGACGGCAGCAATCAAATCATCTAGGCCAGGAGGGAGGCTCATATCAGGACGGTCATTGCCCTCGGTTTCCCATTCGGCGTTAAGCCCCGTGCACACGATGACTTGATCCGCACTTCGAGCTAATTCAACAGCGTGAGCTATCTCGGCTTTAGGGTCGATAACCTTGCATCCGCCAACCCTGAGCGCGCCGCCGTTGAGAAGGACAACATCGCCTCCCAGCTTAGACGTCGGGCTTGATCCGAACGTGACCTTGAAGTTGTAAGTCTTTCCCTTCTCCAGCTTGTAGAACCCTTTCACTTCGACGGTGGCACTGCCGAAGAATGCATCGCCTAGTTTCTGCTCCGTCGTATTGTCAACGATAAGCTCGTCATTGACGTAAAGATTTGCTGATCCGGAAACGACAAGACCGAACTCCCAGGTGGCGTCTTCTTCAGCGACTAGAGATCCTTCGAGCGTTGCGTACCAGAGAGGGCTCTTCACGTGCGGGTTTTTGTAATCGATCAGTAGCATCTCCGTCTTGAGAAGCTCTAGTTGGTCAACCGGTTGTCTGTCTAGAACATCGTGACCTTCCGTGTAAACCTTCATAGTCATGCCTTGGGCGCCCTCGGTTGATTTGGTCGAGTAACCGAGAAGTGGTAACAATTTGTGCGAATACTGGCCGATAGTATAATCAGGCTTTGAGAGAAGCTTATTACTGATAGCGTCGAATGGCGTCACAGCATAATACGCAGCCAAAGATGCGGATCCTCCTCCGTGGTATGTTGCAACCTTGGCATTCGGTCCAATGATTACAGTCTGTCAATACAAGGTGGTTAGCCGTTGGAGGACCAAAGTTTAAGCTAAGTCGAAGAAAATCATACCTTCTTATCCTTTCTAAGGGGAAGCACACTTTTCTCATTCTTTAATAAGACGATTCCCTCGTTCCCTATCCTTCGGAGAAGCTCAGCTGTTTCGGGCGTATCAGCCGTGCCTTCAGGGGCGTTTTCTTTCACGCCGCTGGCAGCGCACTTTTTGATAAATTCCAACATAGCTTTCACCCGCTGATCCAGGATATGGGTGCGAATTTTGCCGGTAGAGACATTAAACTTCAATGGCTCGCCTCTGAATCGCGGCGGGCCAGGCATCTCAAGATCAAGGCCTGCCAACACTGCCTCTGTAGTACTGTACGTGCCATACCAGTCACTCATAACCATCCCACCCCATCCCCACTCGCCGCGTATTATTTGGTCCAGAAGTTTGGAATTCTCGCTACAATACGTCCCGTTAACTCCATTATAGCCAGTCATAAAAGAGGCCGGGTTGGAGTCCCGAACGACTAGTTGAAAAGGCAATGCGTAAATTTCGCGCAATGCTCGTTCTGTCACAATTGCCTGGACGGCGTTCCGTTTGTGTTCGTGGTCGTTACAAACGAAGTGTTTAATAGTAGCTTGGATCCCAGTTGACTGGATGCCCCTGACCAGCGCAGCGGCACCTAGCCCAGCTAGGAACGGGTCTTCGCCGAGAGACTCGAATCCTCGGCCGCCTAAAGGACCTCGCTGCATGTTTATAGTAGGTCCCAAGATGGCATGTGCTCCCTTAACCTTAGCCTCCTCTCCCATCTTCTTTCCCGCTTCTTCTAGAAGGCCAAGGTTGAAAGTAGCACCTAATGCAGTTCCGCATGGAAAGCAAGCAGCTTTGATCCCGTTGAAAAATTTAGTGCCACGAACACCATTAGGTCCATCGCTTAAACGCAAAGACGGAATACCATGTTCTGGCAGGCCTTTCGTGTGCCAAAAGTCGATGCCCGCTAGGAGGTCAACCTTGTCGCTCATGGAGAGCTTCTTGAGGACTTTCTCTACATCGATGTCCGCCATCTTTGGTCTAATTAAAGAGAGGAAAATTGGTGAGAATCACAGTAGCTTCCTACTACCATGGAAGTTAAGAGAAAAGGATAAATAAGAATGATCTCAGATTTTTAGCTGCTGGAGGAACAAGCTTCTTACTTATAACTACCGTTGGTAGAGCTCAAGACTAAGCCCACCGCCGCCTTCGCACATTATTGACCTACCCCGGGCAAGGTTCAGCACCTGACAAGGAGCGATATACGACAGACGTTATCCACGCAATATACGCGATCCCAGGAAGTAGCAGCTTGGCGGCGTACTTCGTGGGGTCATGTAAGATCGGCTCTTCCTCTACCGTCCCATCGTCTGATCCTCCAGCATTTTCCCTGGACAGCCACACGAAAACGCACGCCCGAGCGTATGAATTGTGACCCTCGACACCGGAACATAATCGGGTGAACAGGCAAGCAAACCAAGCCAGATGGTGAAGCTCGTGCCATTGATATGGTGTAGATCGACGCCGGGATACGGGCCGCGAAACCCAGCCTCCCGCCCGAAGATTTCCCAGTAGCGCAAATGCATAAAGGGGGGTGACCCCCGAGGTTTTTCCAGTCCAACCACCAGCTAAGGATGTAGACATGCCGACAGGGTCCTAGTGTGTAAATAGTCTCGTATAGGGTGCTGCTTGCTACGTCGGTTGCACATTCGTCAAGACTTTCAGCCGAGTTCGCTGGGTGTCGGGTAGGAGAGAGTGGAAATAGGACCGATCCATTGGTTCGTCGAGGGTTTAGTCTGTGACTGTAAAGCCGTAGTTTAGCCCGGATCCTTGGTGGTTTGAGTCCCATGGAATTATCTACGAGATATAATATAGACAATATATACCGAAAGTAGTTGTATTATACTCGAAAGTCTTAAGCTACTCGTATTAAACCGAGGGCCCCCCCGTGTGGTGGAACACAAGAGCCCGACTTTAGGAATATCCTGCACCAATGTACTGGCCAAAACATTTCCTATCCAAGTAATCCTTAGGTTAGCTAATCCGACACAACATCCCTCCTAAAGTCGGGCACAATTGCGTCAGCAACTAGGTACTTAAACGGACTGCAGTTATTGTTGATGTCACTACCTGCGGTATATTCAAACATCATCACTACCTTACTAGTTCAAGCTTAAAATAACAGGTATCCTATAGTAGTTCTTGAACTAATGCGGAACATCTATCAGATTTACATACTTGGGAAAATGGAAATCCGTGGCTGCTTGTCGGTGATAACACCTCGAGACACTCGATCTCAGCTCAGCGCGAGCACTCTCTAAGCTAAAAGGGGAAGTGATTGGACCAATATTCGCGGGTAATGTTACTAGATAATTGGCCCGACGTATACAACCTGATATGAGACTCGACGATTCCATATGACGTTTTATCAGTAAACCCTGCCGGCATGGTAGATACACTCTCTTGTCGATTACTGAGCAACCTATTGCGTAACTTAGCGTACGGGAATAAGGTGATTTACTGAAGGCTTACTAAAGTAACGCTATTGGAACATTGGAAGTGTGCAGCGTAGGGCATCTTCTGCGGTGCCGTGGACGGTGCAACTGAAGCTCCGACATTTGACAGGTGGAAGACCCCCACAGTAGGTAACGACGGGATCGCGGATATGGCCTACCGGTAAAAACGGACCTATAAATCATGCCGAGGTGTTTATTTATCTAGGATCAACCAACTACCGAGTTAGGGGGGTCATCTAGAATAGCTTAGCCCTCTTATAGAATTCATAGTGTTATTACTTATTAATCTAGATTTAGTATAGCCCGGCTGAATATATTCGAGTATAAATAGTCCATCGAATATGCCACTTGGAAGCTTCCATATTACCGAAGCACTTCGATATACTTCTCCTTGACTCCTTGACTCTTTGACTCACATCTCTCACGATACTTTGTGTGAATATTTCTAAGATTTCAAACAGTAACATGTTTTTTCTTTTGCTTACCTAGTATTAAAGTACCATAATGGCAGCATCGCATCGAGTTCTCCTCACCGGAGCAAACGGCTTTATTGCGCAGCATATTCTATCGCAACTTCTCGAAGCGGAGTTCTCGGTACGCGCCGTCGTTCGTTCACAGTCCAAGGTCGACGTCCTCAAGAAGAGTTTTAGCAAATACGTGGATACGCCACAACTGGACTTCGGCGTCGTCCCTGATATCACTGCACCTGGTGCCTTCGATAAAGTCTTGGTATCTGACCCTCCGTTCGACATTGTCATTCATACGGCTTCGCCTTTTTTCCTCCGGCCCGTGGAGGGTAGCGTATTTTTGGATCCGGCCATCAAAGGTACGACAGAAATTCTGTCAGGCATAGCTCGCGTGGCACCAAGCGTGAAGCGCGTCGCCATCACATCGTCATTCGCTGCTTTGGTAGATTTTAGTGCAAATCCTATCTCAAACCCTCCAAGGATCTATACAAGGGACGACTGGAATCCTACGACCTACGAACAAGCACTGGCAACGGACAACTCGAACATATCTTACGCGGCTAGTAAGGCACTCGCGGAGAAGGCAGCGTGGGATTTTGTAAAAGAGGGCAAAGGTAACTTTGAGCTGGTGACGCTGAATCCGCCGGGAGTCTACGGGCCGCTCTTCGACCCGTCGCAGATCGCGAAACCAGAAGATCTAAACACGAGCACAAGTATAATCTACCAGACTTTGCTACGGCCGGGATTGAAGTCGACGGATCCCATCCCACCGACATTCTTATATCTATGGGTTGACGTGCGCGACCTCGCGCGAGCTCACGTCGTAGCTGCCACCAAACCCGAGGCTGCTAACAAGCGATGGTTTGTCGTCGCAGGCGACCTGAGTCAGCAGGAAATGGCCAACCACCTGCGCGCGGCGCTACCGGAGAAGCGAGACGTGATACCCATCGGCGAGCCCGAGAAGACGCAGAAGCCGGAAGGTTTCTACGGCGCGATTGCTCCGGAAACCGAACAGGTGCTGGGCATAAAGTATAGATCGGCTGAGGAGTGCATCAAGGATTTGGCACCGCAGCTGGTCGAGATCGAGAAGAGAGCAGCAGCAGCTTCATCCTCGTGAGTTTGAGATGTAAACCTGAAAGAGAACAATTTGGGGTGTTTTTTTTTTTTTTTTTTTGGATATAGAGAGCCCCTCATTATTGGTAATTAAAGGAATATAAAATCCATTTCTTTAAAATATTAGATTAGGTACATACATGTAAATAAATATATGTATGTAGGGCGCATATGTATACCTAACCTAGTATGTGGTACAAACATGATTTCCATTCAGTTTAGGTAGTTCCAGATATAATGTTTATATTGCTTCAAGCATGACTTATAGTAATGACCTTATGTTAGGTTAGGCAGAAGGACGATTCTGTGGGGTAAACGCGGTAGGTAAACCCCTGTAACTTGCCCCCAAGGCCTAAAAACATTAGGTGCCTCAATGTACTAACAGGTATTGTACAATTCATGTACAACACAACCTTACCTTACATCAAGCTCAGTGTGGGGCTTCAGGTACGCTGTAACTTCCAATCTATTTAGCTACGGATTCAACTCTTCACACCTTGGCATCTCATTACACAATCCATCAACTTCACTATATTTATTCGAAATCCAGTTGCGTAGGGTTTGACTTTCGACCTAACACCTTTGCCTTTATAAAGGTACCTATTAAGTGTGCTATTTCGAGGGACTCGGGATTATTTTCGTTTTGTTTATAACAAATCGGTTGTTACCTGTTGACCTGCTTCGTTACCCTCCCACTCATCCCATCTCTATCTTAAATTACCTACATAGGTGCTTGTCAACATCGCATCTCCATTAACTTGGTGCTTTCGAATGCTCACTCCCCTCCACCATGGCGGATAATCAAGTAGATCCTGATTTTCGCTCCATCGTTAACGCTGCTGCCGCTACATGGTATTCTCGCCACTCGAATTCACCCGAACAAGCTCAGTCTGACAGCAGTAAGTATTCTATCTACCCGCCTATACGCGTAACTATTACTTACCGTTCTTCCAAAGGCGATGGCCCACCGAAAGCTGACCCCCACCGCCCAGATGGAAATGGTGGTCCGGCAACGAATAATTCGGTAATCCGTAACAGCGTAACCGCCTGGGAAAGCGCATTAGAAGTCCTACCGGATGAGCTGAAGAGTGTCTCACCCCCAATTCACCCGCTGGCCCAGGCTTTGGCAGAGCAGCCGGCCTTGCGTGAAGTCGAATGGAATGCCTATAGACAGCAAGGCGGATTCAGACCGAGAACAGCTATTGACTACAGCTCCTTGATGATCTACTTATCGGGTCAAGTTAACCCAAACCCGTGTCGTAACTGCCGGTTAAAAAATGGCCCCTACGCCCGCTGTATCGTGGCACCCCCGTCTGTCTTAGCATTAAGCAGCCTGAAGCATGCGTGCGCAAACTGCACCTACCAGAACCAGCATAGAAAGTGTACAAATCTCCCCATTGATGATGAGGAATTGGTCGCCAAGAGCCGCATGGCTAGATCATCACTAAAACTAAAGAATCCCACTACTATGAAAACCCCTGGTCGGAGACCCAAGTCTACCTCTAATGGCACTCCTCATTATACGCCAAGCCTCAAGCCGGATCACGGGCACATGATTCGTAAGCCCAGCGCGCAAAGTATCACTGCAGATGCGTTCAGCGACAAGCTTCGTCAAGTTCGTTCGTGGTCACCCCGGTCTCGACGGCGGATGAAGGCTGAAGTAATGCAATGGCAGGCAGCCATCATGACGATTGAGGCTGAAGATACCCAATCCCTGCCTATGGACCGCGTGTTTGAAGGTCAAAAACGGCTGAAAATGTCCAACAGACCTACTGGTCTTCCATCCGTCTCCCAGACTCCTTCCCATCCTGGCGGTTCCTATTCGGGTTTAGCGGCTCCTCCTTCGATGGATGAATCATTAGATGAGATGGAAGCCGAGGAATACGGTGAGGTATATAGCCAACACCAAGCGGCAGAGACTGACGGGGACGAAAATGAAGGAGAGAGTGATTACGAAGGCTCACCATGGGGTGGCTTCAACGAAGTAGGTCACGGACTGAAACCTCCACTCTGAGGAGCGGTACGCGGCCCAAGATATATATCAGAGCTATTATATTTCAGCGTATACTACATGCATATTCGCTTGTTTAATTACTTCGGTAATGAGTTTATACCCGAATTGCTCTAATTATATATACTACTGATAATGCAAACCACATCCGCTGGATCTATGCTATCATTCTCTTGGCCACTTGGCTTCATGTGCCCCTCTCAAACAGCTCCCTAGATCGTATCTCAGCCTAGTCGTCTCGTATGTAGCTGCAGGCCCAACGAATACCATCTCCTCGTCAGGCTTTCCAAGGTCAGCCTTGAGGGACACATAATACCTTGGATCCAATAATTGCGGCGCCTTATCCGGCAAACCGCGTATCAGCTTATTGAATATTAGCATGTCAGTCGACAACGAGCTTAAATTTCCCAAGCGTGAGGACTTACCACTCTTGCTTGCCTGTGCAAATCATCATAATGTCGTGACTTTAAATCTGGCCACATATTGCGCAACAACTGTTGCACTTCTGGGCTCTGGGTCCCCAAGGATATTATAAAGCTATTAAGCTGGTTTAGCGACATGGACACGAGATAGTTGCTCCCTTTTTTTGCTCGCTGGTCTAAAGCATTTATGATACCGATGCAACCTACTATGCCGGTCTGGAAGTCGGAGTTGGGTAAGAATGGCATGACCGGCTCGTCGACATCCCACATCCGAGCGAATAGCCACGCGACTCCCGTCACGGCGTCGCTGATCTGCTGCCATCCGCTGCGATGCTTCCACGGCCCTTTCCAGCCATAGCAGTTTTCACGCGCATAGACGATGCCTTTTCCTCGCCTCTTGGCTATTTCATGTACGTACGTCGGTCCAAATCCGAGTTTTTCCAAGGCGCCTGGCCGGTAGCCGTCAAGCACAACATCCGCGTCTTCTATTAAATGTCGGAGTGCATCTCGTCCCTCTTCAGTCTTCAGGTCGAGGTGAGTATCCCGCTTTCCGAGGTTGCTCTCGAATAGCACGATACCTAGATCTGGCAGCTTCGTATTTGATACCCTGACTACAGTGGCCCCGAATAGCGCCGCCAGTTTTGCCATCGTTGGACCTGCAATCGCTCGTGTAAGATCTACAATCTTAATCCCCTCCAGGGGCCTATATGTCTCAGTATCGACCTTGGGCCACGGTACCGGGGGTAGTCTTTTGTCAGGAAACTCTTCAAGTATATACAGCCCATCATCCGCTATAGCTTTTCCTTGCTCGGTCTCGCGATACTCTTCGGGGGTGAAGCAGATCCCACCTGCCTGCCTCCAATACTCATTCGCCTCGATATCCAGCCAGTCCGCATCAAACTGCTGTACCGTGTCCGAGAGCCCTTTGATGGCCTCCATCTCATCCGCCACGTCCCGGTGCGTCGGTAACCCCAGCATTCGCAAACTCCGGTCGGAATCCAGTCCCCCGTGTAGATGGAACCAGCGACCATCCCGCGTCGGGTAGACGTTGGTGACAAGTCGCCTCCAAAAAGTGAACTGCTGCGTGGTGTCATAGATAGAGTATCTTGTGGCTAGCTCAGGATCAGAGACCGGCTTCCCGCCGACCCGCAGAAGCCAGAACGAGAAGAGGAAAGCGGATGCGGCATCGCTATTCACGACGACGCGCTGGTCGGTGAGACCATATCGCTCAGCTGCCACGGTGTTTCCGAAAGTTGCTAGTAAAGCCCACAGCGCCGAGCTTGACTCGGTACACTTTATGGGGGCGGGCAGGAAGGGTGTTGAGAGCGCGGACGCGTCAAAGGAGGTGCGCTTTGCTGCATCTTGGACGGATTTGGGGATCTGAAGACGCGGATCCGTGAGAAGTACCGAATGTAGAATGCGCGAAGCTTCTTTCTGTATAGTGTAAGTTTCATCTGCCATTTTTCACTTGGCTCTGTAACTTCACGATCGCTGAGCTACTTTGAACTGGTTCAACTTGAGGTTACGATTATCGCTATACAACCAACTATACAACCTCACAGCTATATTCGACTAACCAGCTGACGTAGACAAGACCCCGACGCTCCTGCGGGGAAGATGCACAGCATAGCGCCGAGTAACATTTTATCCGCGGCTGCGGACTCGCATGCAGGAAAGCTGATGTCGGTAGATGGGTTAGCGGCTGAATAGCGTATATGGAGGATTGGGTGTATTACGCTGAAGATATTTTAAAGTGTTAGGAATCTCCTATTTTGCCGTCGGTGGAGTACCTACCTAAATGGTGATTTATGGTATCGGAGTATATAAATTCAACTTAATTGAAGTTTATTCAAATATGAAGTTTTGTGTATAAATAATTAAGCACTTTTTACTTGGTAATATTACGATATCTATTATAAATGTCTTCTACGAAACGCTCGTAGCCCCTGATCTGTGATCAAGTTACATTATGCAGGATAAGGTACTGTACATATCTATAAGTATCCGGAATGTACCTAGAATCGATTTATATTTGTAGCTCTTACCTAACTGTGAATTCCATCAATGATGTTGCTCATTAGGTACATAAAGCACTGACTGCACGCAATGCGTGACTTCCTCGTAGAACTTCTCATGTTTGAGATTTGAGAAACTACAACCTCCATCGCTAGCAGCTAGTCTGTCTCAGTGTAGAATAATAATCAAACCTAGGGGCTTCCCCTCTTAGACTTTCCACCTTTTCAACCTTACAATTAGTAATTCCATTCTTTATGTCTCTTACTCTCTTACCCAGACCAGCCTTAGATATCCCCAAGGCTTGGTAGCTCTGCTCAAATAGGTATGATGTTCTAAGACTTGGTCTTCTTGGGCACATATTATATTCTGTATTAAACCGCCTGTCCATGGCTTCCACTATATCGGGCTCTACGAGGAGCTCCTCACCTGTTTCCTTTCAAGATCCTGATGACTTGACTCTTGAACTTCAGCCTGCGCCTCTACGCCTCCCTCGACGCAGAACTGATCCGGATCTTGACGGAACGAACTCCCTAAAGGAAGAACACATGTCTATGATAGGAGACGATAACTCAGCACCTACTGCCCGTCGGAAAAGTCCTAGTCCTCCACCCCGAACGGCCATAGCCAGGACTTTATCACAACGCCGAGCTCCAGCCCCTAAATTAGGATCTCTTGTGTCAAAATTCGAGATCCTCGACGCAGTTAATAATGCCGAGGCCGACTTGTCTTCCATCTCTAAACCTACAACCACCTCCCGGATTCAAAGGCCTTTGAGACATAGCCGAGCAAGCGAATCTCTACAATCTATTGCTTCGGATAAATATTGGACCACTACAAACTCTTTGAACGTTCCTCCAAGACGAGTTGACTCCCCGCCCCTCCGGAGTGACAGCTCCAAATTCCCAATCGAAACGATTCCTAAGAAACCATCCACAGAAGACATCATCGACACAGGCTCTGGCTGCCGAGGGGCAGTTAAAGAAGGCATATTGATAAAGGTAAAGGAACGACCTTTAGAAAAAGAAGTTTTACCTGCGAGAGAGCCGAATGATGCCAATCAATATTCCGAATCTCGTAATACATCTCCTAGGAAAAGCAATGGACCTGGATAGGATCCCAGACTGGTTGCAGACCGAAGAAGAGTTTTCGAGCATGGAAATGGTAAATTCGTCCACAAACTTCAGCTACTAGAACCAAGTACTGAAAAAATCAAATCAATAGAGCATTCTCCTCTCGCCAAGTCGTCAAGCTCATTCTTAAATCAGACAGAGGCACAGAAGGCAATACTTAGTTCAACGGCTATTTCATCACGGGCTCTTCCAATTTTTGGTTCCCCTCAGAAAGACTCCCTAGCAAAATCAACATTGCAGAATGTTCACACAGATAGTCCCCCAAAAAACTCACAGAAAGGGGGCGAGGAGAGCTATAGTAGAACTAAACAGCCATTACGCGGGATACATGGACCTACGGCTTCCTCAAGAAGTTCAGTCAAAAAGACACAGATGAGCGTTGCGGATCTTCGCAAATCATTTGAGAAAAGCTCACGGGTGACTGGACGCGAACAGCAGATGTCAGACAAGCTCAAGCCATCAGATACACCACAAGATCGTGCTGCTCAGGTTAGCAAGGAAACGAGCCATTCGTCTAACTCGGGTAATAAAAGGGGTGTTTCCTCGATTAGAACGCCGGACGAGAAAGACAGCACACCTATCCAGCCGCTTTTGAGTCGAAAGCTTACCAAACCTAGATCTGAAAATAGGCTATCAGAGCATGCTATAGCGGCTGAACAACCAGAAAGTACTAGGCTTCGCCGGATACACAACCGTAACCTTGACGGAGCCGTATCCCTTGAAGGCGAAGATGCCACAAATGTCGAACACGGACTAACTGAACTCGACATGACAACTGTTTCCGATGCTCAAGCTATTCGAGAAAATAAGTCTTCTCGTACAAGTAAAATTCATTCGATCCTAGCTAACAATTCAAAGGCTAGCTTTCACGGTATAATGACAAGTAAACACTCTATAGCAAATCAAGGAGAAGCGTCAGAACACAGTAAGGTCCAAAAGTCAGTATCGAGACCAACGTCAAAGCCGACATCTGCGGCTAGATGCACGGGTAAGGTATCTGACCTGCGGAGGTTTTTTGAAAGATGTTCACCTAGAGAGTCTTCTCCAAAGTCATTCAGATATTTTTGGCAAAATAGGGGTAGAAATAAGCCAGCAGCCGAAACAGAAAGAACTCCGATTACAAGACAAGGCGCAAACACGTCGTCGACCTCATTGGCTCCACGGACGGGTCTGCCAAATAAGATCAAAGTCCCCGAGCTAACAATGGAGATACATGTTGACGACTTCGCCTGTGACTTCTCTGAGCCATAGGATGGCGCGCGGCTAATAACATCAAAGGCGCACGCGGAAACAAATACTATTGAAAGCCAATCATTTAAACAACAGTCTCCTGTAAGAAATCGCATCCAGAAATTTGAAAGTTTAGGAAGTGGCCCTTTAGACACTGTTACAACTTCATGTTCTTACGGCGTCGACTCAAATATTTCTCCTAATAAACGAAAAACCGACACTGGAAGAGCTCAACCTCAAACCAGTAGCCGTCCATTCAGAAAACAGAAGGCAGGACTCTGGCGAAGAATATCAAATACAATTACTCGATCAATTGACGGAGGCAACAGTAACAGCAACAATGGAGAACAATCCGATGCAAGCCAGGAAGAGAATGATATTAATAACGACCGATCAAGTTCGATATCTCGTCGACCTCGACATCGCCGTTCAAATCTCTTTGGTTATCATCTATATCGCGCATCTGAAGTAATTCACTCATCAACTGATTCGGTTTACACTAGGTCACGCATTAATATCAATGAAGAGTTAATCGAGAGGTTCGAGAACCAGCCTCCATATATAGGTTATAGGCGATCGCCATCCAGTTATCAATCAATGCGCAGGACGTTTCCTTTCCTAGCTCGTATGTCGGATGATCTCGGCTGCTCGGATGAGTTTGACAGCTTTGGGTTCGATGGCACCGTGCTCTCTAAGGCTATTCGCCGACGGGATAAGTCATCCTTTGGACAAGTATCGCAAGCCCCATCTTCGCCTATGTCTGGTAGCGATTCCAACGCCATATCGAGTATCACATCTAAGGCAACAACGTCAGAACGCAAACGTCGACGATTGGAAGAAAAGGAGCTCCGAAGGGAGCAGAGACGGAAGGATAGAGAGATGGCGAAGGGAAAGGGCAAAGAAAAAGATAAAACAATGAGCCACAAGGGGGGAGTAGAAAATGAACAAGACAAGGGGGAGGGTAAAGACGTCGAGGGCAAGAAGAAAGAAAGCAGTTGGAGTAAAAAGACGGCCTCTGGGTTTATGGTGCGGCAAATCCACGATATCAAGCTAAAGCATCCGAAGCCGAGAAGACCAGGCCAAATAAAAAAGATTGTTAATATGTACAAGGACAAGTCCACCAGCGGTATTAGGCTCGGAAAGGGGAGCGGTATTAGTTCCGGGTCAGGCGCTGCAGGCACATCAGGTGCGACAAGTAATTGAATCATTAAGTTAAACTACATCACTGGGTATTGGCAGTATGGTTAGGGGAGGCGAGCAGATAGCATTATTTATCAAGGCATGATAGACTAGAGTCTGTTACAATGATGGAGGAAACAGGAGAATATGGCTATAAGCAACACAGAGCTGTCTTATTGAGTATTGGATACCTTTGTGGTCGGCTACTGTCGAATTAGGCAGAGAACCGCAGAGGAAAAGAAAAAAAGAACCTAAGATAGAGGAGTCATTCTTTAGTTAATGCGAAAGGAGAAGTGGTCAAGCATACTACATCTGACAATATGGACTTTGGTTGATGTTAGACATGTCGGAAAATAGGTAGGTAAACAATTGGATTTGTATTAACTATCTCCTGCCCACGTCTTTGATTGGCAAAAGCGTGGCAGGTCAGGTAAGGTCGGCTACACCCAGGGTTACTCATAAGACTATCGCTACCTACTTACACCAAGTTATTCCTAACGCATTCATAACGTCCAAACCTCCTCAAAGTTCATACCAATAACAGCGGGGGAAAAAATAAGGGGGAGGGGGGGCACTCTACATCTCTACCCAACGAGCCCCATCCCCTTCCCAATCTTCCTCGCGAGGGCCTTCTTCAAGAACCACTCCCTCGCCAGGGCGCGGGTGGTCTTGGCGAAGACGGCGGGGGTTATCCTGCCCCTCTCGACGGCGCGCCCGAGGACGAAGATGGCGTCGCCGAGGGCGCGCTCCTCGGCGACCACGTCGTAGAGCTGGTTGGCGACGACGGTGGGGGCGACGAGCAGGTCGTCTATGGGCGGGGGTTCGCGGGTGCGGGCGCGGGAGACGACGCCGTCGGCCTCCTGGAGGGAGCGCTGGAGGATGGAGGTGTTGGAGGCGAGCATGGCGGTGAGGGGGCCAAGGGCCGCGGCGTCGGACTGCAGCTTGTGCAGGGCCGAGAGCATGGCGGCGCGCTGGGCGGCGAGGCCGGCGAGGGAGGACTCGTTCTGCTCGCGGGCGCGCTGGCGCAGGCCGTGGAGCGTGGAGGCGAGTTGTCGGAGGAGGGCGTCCTTTTCGGGGTTCGGCGGGATGGGGGGCGGTGGGAGATGATTTGCCGAGGGAGACGGTAGGGCGAGGGAGAAGGGCTCGTCCATGAGATCGGGAGGCGGAGGAGGCTTGAGCTTCGGTTGTGCTGGCGGTTGCTGCGGCGGGGGTTGCTGCCAAGTTGTAGGCGGACCGGCGTATGGCGGCTGCCCTGTAGCGATGGTGGCGTTGTACGGGATAGGAGTTATTATAGATGCGCGACGGGAGTCCTGCGGCGGGAGTCCAATCGGTGGTGGTGGTCCCCCTTGCTGATATGCATGTTGCTGGGGTTGGATCTGAGGCTGAGGCTGGTACTGAACATTAGGGGGTTGCTGCTGCTGTTGTGGTTGATAGGATTGCGCCTGTGGTGGATGGGGTGGTAGGGGGGGAGCGGCATCATATCTCGAGAGCCGATTTGGCTGGGGGGATTGTGTCGTCGCTACTGGTGCACCGTACTGACTCGACCGCCGACGGACATCATCTGGAAGAGGTGGTCTCGGTGGAGCGTCTGTGTGAGTAGTCGGGCCTGACACGACCTGAGGGAGGTCGCTGTCTTTTGGAGGAGGAGGTGGCGGCCTCGGATCAGGCGTATGGGGAGATGGGACCAGTTGGGGTGTCCCTCTTGACATATCAGGAGGTAAAGGAGGTACCGGCGGAGGGGTAGGGGTCGGAGTGGCCTGCTGCGGTACGGGACGAACTTGTTGGCGTGAAACTACTGGAGGCTCTTTCGCGAATATATCTCGAAGGATGGCAATAAAGTCTAGCAGCGAGGATTTCTGGTAGAATAGCGTTAGGATATTGTTGACAACGCATCAGCTGCTGTAGATGATCTACTTACATCCCAGAATTCAGCCCATCCCACAAGATAAGGGTGATATATGCGTCCCTGGGGATCAACATGTTGCCCCGGCCGCACCATCATATTCTCGGTGGGCGTGACATAGCCTATAGGCGCCTCGCGCGGGTAGGTATGGGGAACCCATAGTGATATGGGAAATCGGTAGGTGGTGCCGCGGAATATGACGGGAATAGTGCCGGATAAGTGTAGGAGGAGAGCAGACACGCCGTTGTCGAAAGCTAGAAGCAGGTTAGAAAATGATGGTCTCTTCAGAAGGGTATAGAATAGATTCTTACTGTGGACATCCGTCCTCGGTGATAATGAAGGATATTGGGATAGCGCTTGGGCTACATCGTTATATGTACGATTAACATCTTGGTATTCCTATGCGATGGAAGCTATTAGAGTCGGTCACGGTCATAAATTGATAAGAAATTGTTGGATTGATATATTCCTTACGCTCGTCAGAACGCTATATAACCAATTTAGTACGTGCTGCTGGACTACCATGTTGGAAATCCTTGGCAGGGAATTATGGTCGTGGTAACGGCTTCATGATAGTTGATTGGATTTGGTGTTGAGCTTTGGGGAGCTTGACGGTGGTGGAGGCGACGGGTGGAGGTGACGGTGGATATGGGATAGTGGGAAATAGTGGGGGCCTTGCGCTGAGCTTGCCCACCTACTACGTACTGTCAATTATGTAATACTTCTTCTCCAAAAGCAACTCTTCTTTTTAAGGATATTCCTGCACCACACAACACACTAACTACTATGTACACACATCCTTGCACGTGGCCATACCTAACAACTCTTTACCAACCGCCGCCGGCATCGGGTTCTTTTTCCTAGGTAGGTACCCAATTCAACGAAAACTGCCCATTAACAACTCGTTTGTCATTTCTCTAGGTTCTAGATTCCCATCCCACATGATCAGACTTCCAAGGAAAGCCAATGGCGCCATATCACCCGCAGGTGAAGTATGGCATGTGCCATTTTTCTCTTTTCATTAATCATCACCTATAATCATCACCTAATAATATGAGAATACGAGAATATGAGTTGTGTATACTACTCAAAAAACCCTCCAAACAAACAGTATCGCAAGTCACACTATGCCATGCCATGCCATGTTGCTCCGTGGAAGAGTGCACCACTTTTTTTTACTTTTTTTTACTTTTTTTTTTACGCCTTTCTTATAGATGATATTCCTCGGTCAACAAATCTTGGGGTGTTTATTTTCCCCTTCTCGCAGAATTAAATGGAAGCCTGTAAGTTATACAGTGGTCCATTATTAATATACCTAACCTGACTCTCGTTGGATCCGCCCTTCCGAAACTTTGATCGTTCCATTTGTCCTAAAAGAATAAAACAAAAAAAAACAAAAAAAAACAAAAACATTTTCTCTTTATAAGTCACACACACACACCTTTCTCAAGTCTTTAATCTTAATTTGTTTCCTACCTAACCTAACCTAACCTACCTACTTAAAGTATTCTTAACTATATCAACTTCATCCCTGAGCTTTCTATCACCAATTCTTGGAATAGTCCCATGCTCACAACACAACAGCTATTTCGCACGGCTGAGGAGTATTACAGGATATATCTGTATACTCCTTGCGTCAGGAATTAGACTTATTAGTTTGAATACTTGAAATCTATTTAGCAGTATCGACTGTTGGGTCGATTATTGATCCGTCAAACACCAATCCGTCACAAGACCAATTTAGTTCACTTTCTTTAAGAGACAACTAACCTCGACGTGATGAGACCTCCTATCCCAGAATTATCCGACTATGGAATCTCGCCAAAGTATGGTTTCTTGCCTGACACCTTACCTTTAACGAGGTTGCCGGACCCTTACTATAACAAGTGGGAGTCAATCGGCGCCAATCTTCAAAGTTTGATTCTTAGCAAGCGGCTCCGGGGTGTTATCGACCGTCTTCCCGTTCTCTCCACTGTCGGTCTGGAACATGACGCAGAATGGAGGAGAGCCTATATGCTCCTAACCTTCTTTGCTCACGGCTACATCTGGGGAGGTGACACTCCCCGTGATCGCGTGCCGCCGAGTATCTCTGTTCCCTTGCTGGATATCTGCAAACGCCTCGAGATTCCACCCGTCTCTACCTATGCTGCCTCAGTGCTGTGGAATTTTAAACCCCTCTTTGTTGACGAAGAGATCGACGACCTTGACAATCTCGCCACTCTGGTAACTTTTACCGGATCTCTTGATGAGTCATGGTTTTATCTGGTCTCGGTTGCTATTGAAGCTCGTGGCGGTCCCATTATTCCTCTGATGCTAACGGCAGTTGCTGCTGCTCGACAAGGCGATAGCGCAACCGTAACACGTTGCCTACGGGCCTTCGCCGAGCGCCTCGATGACCTTGGCGAACTGTTGCGTCGCATGCATGAAAGCTGCGACCCAGGCTTCTTCTACCGTCGCATTCGCACGTTCCTTGCCGGTAGTAAGAACATGGCCGAGGCAGGCCTGCCGCATGGCGTCGTGTATGACGATGGCTCAGGCAAATCCGAGTACGTGCAATATAGCGGACCCAGCAATGCTCAAAGCAGTTTGATCCAATTTTTCGATATCATTCTTGGTGTTGAGCATCGTCCTACCGGTGAGAAGCCCGATCCGTCATCCGAGACGGAACGCGGAGGGCGAAGCCGTGCGCCCAAACACAATTTCATTCAGGACATGCGTCACTATATGCCGGGGCCGCACGCGCGCTTCCTAAACGATGTCGGGGCTGTTGCGAATATTCGTGAATTTGTTGAGAGCCGTGCTGCCTCTGACCGCCCCCTAAGCATCGCCTACGATGCGTGCCTGGCTATGCTCCGCGCGTTCCGCGACATCCACATCGCTATCGTCACGCGCTATATTGTCTTACCGTCTCGTGAGAATCGAGCTCGAAGCCGATCTCGCAGTCCTCAAGCTATTAGGAACAGAGTCAACCTGGCTACGGCTTCTAAAAACGAGGAGCACAAAAAGGTTAAAGGAACCGGTGGCACCGCTTTGATCCCTTTCCTTAAGCAGGCTCGCGACGAGACGGGAGAGCCCACTGTCGAGACCTGGGCTAGGAAATTCATGAGCAGACAAACTAAGATTTCGGGTCAAAACGATTTCTTCCTTGGTAAAGAAGAGAAGTCAGAAGTACTGGATGAGCCGGTCCTCGAGCATGGCCTTGCAGGCACTTGGAGTATAGACGAGGAGATGGGCGGCATCTGTAACTACTGAAATGTAGTATGTAGCGCCCCGAGTTACTTTTACATGTTGTCATAGAGATATAAAGCATCTTGTATAGAGATATTCTACCCTGAAGCAGGATAAAATAACCCTCGCGAGTTACAGCTAGGTACCTACCTGTCTTGCTGCCAAATAAAGATGAGCCTGTACTCAAAGACTCGAGTTCCTTGTTCTAATTGTGTATTACCTAGCTCTTGTCGTTCAGATAGCTACTTGACTATATATAGGTTCCCTTATATGAAATACCGACGACAAAGGTACCTACTTAGTTCTGTTACGGCAAAACTTTTCTTCCTTACAACACAGTTCTATGTCTACATTAATAAGTGCTAACGGCACGTTTCGTATAAGGCGGATATACGCCCTTATACACCCTTTACATTTTAATATATGCCCTATCCGACTTTCAGTCTTTCATTTCCATTTCCTTTCTGCTTCATCTCCACTTTCATTATAACAGGTACCTAGCTGGATACACACATGAGGTACCTCCTTAAAATGCCCGAAATCATTACGGCCATAGCATACGCCAGGGCAGTACTGGTGCTTACTGCGTTGGCGCTACTAGCGATACGGGAGGCATACGCGTTGTGCGAGATACCTGGCTCGTAGTTAGTGGCAAGGAATATCAATAATAACTGTTCGTTAAGCGCAGTTTGGCAGCCTACCGTTCTGGAGTCTCATATGTATATAGGATGACAAGCATTACCAATATACCTGGTCCATATATGCATACCGGGCTCGCTTCATATCATGGCGTAAGCTTACAATTGCTAGAAGTACGCAGCCATATACAATTCTATCTCTTAGTTCCCAGACACGCGACCCTATGTCTCTCCCGCATGTATACCGCCAATGGAAGCACACCCTCATAAGGTTATCAAAGTAAGCATCCCGCAAGTTCTGTGATCTATTTCCCATACATTCCAAATCGCTAAAACCAAGATTCTTTCCAAGTCATTACCTAGTTCCAATCTCTCCAAACAGAAGCCAAAAAAAAAAGAAACCCCAAAGGCTTTTTGTACGCCCTCCTACCACTTCAAAACCTTCTGCGGGAAAAACTCGTCAATAAGCTCCAGGTAGTACGGCTTCAGCTCCTCCACGTCCGGAACCTTGTCGCTCTTGCTGTACAAATCATACGGGTTGAACGCCCGCACGGCGCGTAGCATATCCTCGTCATGCTCGTCCATTAATTCGCGGTACGCGTTTTCCTGCGATAGGGTTTAGCCGTGGTTCCGGAGGGGTCAGGTGTAGGGAAACATAAGAAGATTGTCTAGGTACCTTGTGCCAGGGGTAAAACGAATGATACCGAATCATAGCAAGCGCCTCCGGCGGCAGCGTCGATTGGCCCTTGACCACATGGTACAAGTACTCGTCATGACCCCACGACAGCATCACGTTGTCTAGGCCGCAGCCCGGCGAATATATGCCGAACTTGGTGCTGTAAATAGGATCACGGGAATCCGGGTTCGCGGCGAACGTGTCGGGATATATGATGCGGTTGTCGAAAGCGCAGCCGACAGGGAACGTGTCGCCGACGACATCCCATTGGCCCTCGGAGCCGTAGAAGAAAAGTAGCTTTCCCAGGTCGTGGATTAGGCCAGTAACCTGCATCCAGCGCGGCTTTCCGTCTCTCCGGATCGCCTCAGCAGACTGGAGTAAGTGTTGGATCTGCGATAGACTTGTGTCCGGGTCCGACTCGTCGATCAATGTGTTAAGCTTCTCGATGGCTTGCCACACTGTCATCTCCTCGCGCCGCCGTGTCTTGAAGTCATTGCGTGCTTTCAGGTTATACGCTACCGTCTGTTTTGCGTGCTGCTCCCGATAGAAGTTCTGTACGCGGTCGCAGGCTTCTTCGTATTGCCTGAATTGAGTCTTATCTTTGGCCGAGTCAAATTGGGACTTATCATCGAACTTTGTCTGACTCTGGTCTTTCAAAACGTTTACTGCGTCGATCTTATCTGACGTCTCCTCGAGCTCAAGCCCGTTCCGGCTTGTAGTGTCGTCAAATAAAATACCAGGTGCCATTACGTGTTGGTGGGATATACGATAATAAATAGAAAAGAAAAGGGGGGTGCAGGAGTGGGTATCTCTTCGAATATAGAAAACGGCGGGGAATGAAATAAAAATATATAATGCTCTGAGAATGCTCTGAGTAGCTAAGAAGGTAGGTAGATATTGAGAAATTCTCTTTAGACGTCGCCGTCTACGTCTTCGACTGGTATATATACTCTGAACTTTCGTATAAGTGTTTGAGGTCCCCACATAAGGTTTTATGTAGGGTCCAAGCTGAATGAGGAGAAAATCGCCGAACACAGCTATGTTCAGCTATATTGAGCTGGCTAGCTCGGGCGGCAACCCGCCCGAGGAGTAATCAGGTACGCGCCCCTTGCGGAACGAGATCCGCGAAACAACTTACCCTTCTTTTGCAAAAAGAGGTAAAATCGACCGATCGCCTTAGATGCAAAGCTATCTCATCCACCGGGACTGCCCCAGATGGACCAACGTCATTTGGATGTCACTCGGTATTTATAACCATAGACCTCATTAGATTCCCCGCATCGAATAACGTGGCAGGTGGGCCTGACCAAGTTCGGTAATCTGAGGCGATCTGGAGCGTTCCTTTGTCCACTTGTTTGTAACCCGCTCAAATTCTCGTATACCATGTCTTCGCTTGGTAAGGAAGTGCTTAAATTCAATAGTGTTTTTATTCGTCATCCTCCGGTAGCCAGCCCCACGCCCTCATTAGTTGCTGCTGTATTGCCGCGGTTGGACGAGCGTTGTCTGCCTCTGTCTTCCTTAAAATATCTAGTAGAGCTTCCTGGTCGGACCGTTCGCCGAATTGGTCACCAACTGTAACTCGTATTAGTTTAAGGTTATTGCCGAAGAATTAGGTTCTCCATACACATAGCGATACCCATGCAAGCCGTGAACATCCCCGGCGGCGTCCACTGGTTGCATACCCCAATACCACAGAGCTCCCTTACAAGATTCTCAATTCGGTGCTATCTTCGCGTAAGTATACCGTGAAAATCTTTTCCAATAGAACACACTTACTGTCATGTGTTTTGCAGCTGCTCGGCGATTTGTGCCTACTTTAGGTATCGAGGGGTCAAATTGGATCAAGAACAGCTGCGCAAGAATATGATGTTGGATCCCGATAACTGGGAAGTTAGCTTCGGTGTTATACATATAGCATCTAGTGAGACTCCAACACCTACCATGGCAACCTGATCCGTGCCATACTTCTGGAAAAGCCGAGGATGCCGTACGCTCTTGATAGAAGAATGGGTTGAATGACGGGGGACGAGTGTTAGCCCACTTTTTGCAAGCTTCGTCTAGGGCGCTCCAATGACCAGCCGTTAGTGAGTTATTTCCGAAGCAAAGATTGAGGACATCGGCAAGAAGCACGATCGCCCGATTTGACCAAGTATAATCGTCGGCAGGTTCAAATGACCGGTCCACTACGAAGTGATCTAAAGATACCTTAACAGGCTGCTGCGTGATTACCGCAATGTAAATCTCCTGTCGTAGCCCTACCCAGAATGAAGCTGCACTAAGACTCCCTGGACCCATGTATTGGTCACCGACGTTAACAAAGGCGTGAATTCCGAGTAGGTGACTGTAAGTGTCTTGGCCCGTTGTTGGGACTGTTCGTTTATTAGCTGCCAGCTCTCGGGATAATCCAGACCGATGTCACCTTACCATCCATCTCCTCAAGCATACGCAAGATGATAGTTGCCGCGAACAAATTCTCATCCGAAACCGTCGAGGCATGATTAAGCATTGGGATGAGGTACCTGAGACATTCGTCATGATACCTATTCGAAGCCAACGGGTCAAAATCCGTCGTGTGACTTAGATGTCTCGCGGCTATGGCGAAAATGGCGTTCAAGAGCATATAGCATTCGGCAGCGCGCTCCGGGACGACCAGCTCGAAATGCCGATGCGGATCGCACAAGTCCAACTACTTCAGTCAGAAACTTTGAATCTTTACGAGTGGCTACTGCCACGCATATCATTTTACTTACACAAATCGCCAATTTCTGGATATAGTGCCGAAACAGAAGGGCTTCCGTCCGGTCCTTGAGTGGAAGACTCGGCCCATTATGAAAATTAGGTGTTATAATCCTCTCGTCAAGGGGTATACGTGCACTCTCTATATGCACAGGAGGCAGAACGTAAGAACCAGTAGACTTGGGTCCTGGAATATGTCTCTGAGTATGAAGTACAGACACCGATGTACACTCATTTTGAAACCTTCCGTTATCTTTCGGTATGTTTTGCGGTTGAACATCATCCGCGGGTTGCCCACTTATCCCGCTGTACTCTGTTGAGCTGGGAATTATTGGAGGCGTGACACTGGAAGAAGTCGAATCCTGTTGCCAATTATGACTTTCCCCTATATGGTCATGATATTGGGAACTATCCTCTTGTGGGCTTCCTATGATAAAGCCTCGCCTCTCATCGACGTAGATTACTTTATACGAATTAGCTGGTCGGACTTGCTCTACCCCATGTGACAATCCAAACTTACACTTTTTCGGCGGCTTAACCCATCTTTGGTTTCTCTTAAACGTATCTATGAGAATAAGGTTTAGCCTAGGACGAATGGAAACTTCATCGATCATACCTTTACTGGGCTTGAATTTGAAGCCTAGTTTGCAATCGTGACCTGCCCGGACGCAACGACCACATCTTGGAACCGAGCGATCACCTATATATTCAAAATGATCAGTCCCTCCTTCATGATAAAGTTGTAAAAAGTATTTCCAAGATGACTTGCATTTTAGATGATATTCACGGCATGTAACACTGTCCGCCAAGTCCGTGTCAGCAATTAACCAGCCCCAAGGTGAGATATAAGTGGATAAGAAAGGCGTGGAAGTTATTAGTTCGCTAGAAGGTGAGCACCGGTCTCGGTATAGCCTAGGTGATTTTATGGGGGAAAGCAGATAAGGAAATCGTACCATGGTGTAGCAAGCTGCTGCTCGATCCGCTCTGATGAGGGCATTCGCAACGTTAACGCTTCTACGGTCTTCTACGTTTAGTCGGCGTAATTCGGTCAATGCTACCGACAGATAGATCCAAGGGTTCAGCTGCGAGAAGGATCATCTGATAAAGACGGGCAAAATCGCCGAGCGGGAGACGTGGATGGTATAAAGTAGTACAGACAGACCCGGTCCATGGGACACCGAAGCCCAGCCCCAATTGGCCGGCTAGGCTTTTTGCCATTGGTCCGTCTCCCGAATAACGGGACTTGGACGGGGCCCACGAGGTCTTGTTCGTGTAACACGCACCCCATGCGCTTTGGTTGATGTGGGATAGGCGGATGGAGTCGTGATCCCCGCGTGCATGGAGGGCATACACAAGAACAGGATAGAGCGAAGCTAGTTGGCCATCATGTTAAAGCAGACTGGCCAATCTGACCAATCTGACCAAGGGATTCCCCAGACAACGATCCTAGGTGAGCCAGGAGTCAAAGTTAATTAGACCAGTCAGGGATATTGGATTAGGATTCAAGATTTCCAAGTGCTTCTTCCCCGCAACTTTCCTCTCCACCATTTAAAAAGAGCGGATCGAAAGGGAAAAGCGCAACTAGACTAAACCGCTTATGGGGTGTATCAAGCTGCCTCGGTGTTGCTAGCGTGTTACTTTTCCCGACTACTGTTAAGGTTAGTTAAGACGGCTAGAATATTCCTTTGTTTATATTTTCCCCCAAGATATAAGGTCCCGAGGAAGTCCAATCGAGACGACGGAACTGCTCGCATTGTCGCGCTGCATATTGCTGTTATATCACGTCGGTGGCTATATCTCCAACTCATCTTGGCGGTAAAAATCTTACATGCGGTGAAAGCCCACAATACGCACATCGCAGCCATGGCTTCGAGTTCGACAAAGAGCCTTGACGACGATGTCATCGGAACAGCCCCGGTGCCGGTTGCGACGTCCAAGGAAAAGCATGAGACCATGGACGACATAATTCGGAGTGCGAGGCTCGCGAGTGAGAAGGAGCACAGAATGACCCTATTGCAAGGTCTTCGCCTTTACCCCAAGGCGATTGCATGGTCCATCCTCATCTCAACCTGCATCGTTATGGAAGGTTACGACATTTCCCTGGTTAACAATTTTTATGCCTTTCCTCAGTTTAACCAGAAGTACGGCGTTCCGATAACCGACCAAGAGGGCAACGTCTCCTATCAGGTTCCGGCCTCATGGCAAGCTGGACTAAGCAACGGTGCAGTGGTGGTAAGTTAATCCGAGACGCGCGCCCTCGTATCCAGTGTTCCAAGTTAAAAGTTGTCTGCCCCCTTTCCCGAGCCTAAGTTTGTAAGGTATCATTGTTTACCCTCAACGACTTTTGCGTTTATATTGAGGGTCTCACCTCACGGCGCAAACCGTGGTGAAGCCCCCACTCGTCAGCTTAATAGTGAACTCTCTAACACTGATCTTTGCAGGGTGAAATAATTGGCCTGTTGATAAACGGCTGGGTCTCTGAGAGGTTCGGATACCGATATACGGTTATCTCCTGTCTCGTGCTCATAATCGGCTTTACCGCCATCTTCTTTATGGCGCAAAATGTCGTACATCTCCAAGTAGCTGAGATCCTGTGCGGAATACCATGGGGCGTCTTTCAGACCTTGACCATCACTTATGCCTCCGAAGTTTGTCCCGTGGCCCTGCGTGGCTATTTGACGACTTATATCAACTTTTGCTGGGGTGTCGGCCAGATGATTGGTATCGGCGTTATTATGGGCAATCTCTGGCGCACTGACGAGTGGGCGTATCGCATAGTAAGATTCCCCTAACCAGCCCTTACTCTTTGAAATAAAATCCTAATGAACGTGGATAGCCCTATGCGCTTCAATGGATGTGGCCGTTGCCTCTCATAATCGGAATCTGCTTCGCACCTGAGTCCCCTTGGTGGCTTGTACGAAAGGGGAAACTTGAAGCTGCCAAGCATTCTCTTCTCCGCTTGACTAGTCTGGATCGAGAAACAGACTTTGATGTGGACGAGACCGTCGCCATGATGGTTCACACATCGGCATTGGAGCAGAAGGTTATATCATTCCTCCCATGCTTTCGCGCTTAGTGCTAACCTTTGTGTGTAGATAACTAAAGGAGCTAGTTATTTAGATTGCTTCAAAGGAGTCGACCGCCGTCGCACAGAAGTACGTTTGAAGTCATGTTTTCATATCCATTTCTAGCGATGCTGACTGAGATAGATCGTCTGCATGTGTTGGGCAATCCAGAACCTAAGCGGTAATTCGTTTTCCAACTACTCGACGTACTTCCTGCAGCAAGCCGGCCTCACGGATGACAAGGCGTACTCATTCGCCATGGGCCAATACGCCATCAACTGCGCCGGCGTCTTTGGGGCTTGGACGCTCATTACTTTAGGAATCGGACGAAGGTAAGTGAGATCATGCATAGTGATTAAGCGGAATATTAACGTTTTGTGAAGGACACTGTACTTATATGGACTTGCTGGTCTTTTTATCATGCTTCTGATACTCGGATTCCTCGGTCTGGCTCCCGACAGGAATGCCGCGTCACTTGCCACAGGCAGTATCATGCTTGTGTGGGCTCTGTGCTACCAGTTAACCGTCGGCACCGTATGTTACTCTCTCGTCGCAGAAATTTCGACGAGACGTCTTCAAATCAAGACAGTGGTGCTTGGGCGTATCCTCTAGTAAGATTGCTCTACCTTAGCAGATTGGGCAGAACCATAAATGCTAACAGATCGCAGCAACGTTGTCGGTATCATCTGTGGCGTTTTGACGCCATACATGTTAAACCCTTCGGCCTGGGATTGGGGCAATTATGCCGGATTTTTCTGGGTAGGTGTTCCCCCGCGCATTTTATTATTATTATTATTTACTGACGACACCCAGGCGGGATCGTGCTTCCTCTGCTTTGTATACGCTTACTTCCGCGTACCTGAGCCGGCTGGCCGCACGTTCGCAGAGCTTGACTTGTTGTTTGAGAAGAAGGTTAGCGCAAGAAAGTTTGCTTCGACAGATGTAGATGTGTTCGCAGAGCATGTTGAAGGGACCGTGTTGAGTAACTATCAAGACCAGATCGCCATTGAGAGCATGAAGATCAAGGTTTAACGTAATGTAATGGTAAGCGAACAACGATATGGCGGCGGTGTAACGACCAAGTTAGAAGCAGTGAGACACGACATGGGACGGCTTGTATGCCAAAACTTTGGATGCATATTCTTTGAATGGCGCTATGGTGTACGAGATGATGTATATACGCTTATTTTCTTTGAATCGACTAATTATTTCTATACTGGAACTTGGAAGACATATCCGAATAATGAGTGGTTACCTATGGATCGAGATCGATACGAGTTTTCACACTGTCATACTGTATGTAGGTAGTAATCGATGCTGGGGGCACCGGCAAATGGATATTGGGTATCTTGGGATAGATTTGGACTTTATATATAGGTAGGTAGGTTAGGTACTAGGTATGTATATGTTGATATATTGTTACTTTATATACCCAGGAATAAGTTGGGGGTGGGCAGAGTAGCAAATTGACTCCTCAAGTTAGAGAGGGGGGTATTGGCATTGATATCAAGGACATTGAAAAGATCTTCGCCTATTAAACACACCACGTTAGTAAAAATACATTCGACCTCGGACTATAATATCCCCAATAGATATAGGTTTACCTTTTCACGACGCACCTAGTAGAGCAACAATTTTAGGAAACGTTATACCCCTAGAGTCTGGGCGAAGCCACATTAAAAGGGATATAGTGGCAGTGGCAGTGGCCTGGCCACATACACACATACAAGCGCATGCTACCGATCTGGTAATGGTTTGGCCTGTGCGTCGTCTGTAGTGCTTCGGACAGTTTGACCCTTTTTATACTCCTCCTCTAACGCCTTTTGCATGTCAAAATCAAGCTGGCGCTCCTTTTTGATCCGCTGCTGCTCCATGTCGCGTAAAACACCTTGATGCATGGCCTAGAAATTGCTTAGCAAGCCTATATATATACAGCGGATGGCGCGGTAATTCTCATACCTCTTTCTCCATCTTCTGTTGGAAATGCACCATGATGACTGTCCCAACAGCAAACAGCGAGGTGCCCGCCAGGGTGAGTTTTGAGGCACGCGACATATTTGCCGAGCACAAGGCTTTATTTGGTGGTAAACGGAATATATCTTATTCGAGTCTTGTTATCGACCCATCCCAGTCTTGACTTTCTATGTAAATGTAAATTCTGTAGAGCTTCAAGGCGAAAATCCTCGGTGAGCTTTAAGCTTGACTGATACTGGAGAAATAAAAATGAGTTGCTAACCGTATTGTAATCCATACTGTGTGGCATACATTTGTGGGGCTATGCAGGTACATACCTAAGGCAGATAAGTAACTTTATGCATTTATAAATGCTATGCAAAAATGGAGTTACACACTGCCGCGCCTGTATCAAACAAACCTTTGTTATCCGCCCTGTCGCCTCAGGCACATGCAAGTTGCCACAACGAAGCTCAATCCACCTGAGCTTATCGGAGAGGGCTACCCGCGGTCCAGCTGGCCGCAAAACGGTAACGGTGCGGCCGAAACACACGATGTAGCCAATCAGATACGATGAAATCTGTATTACGCCGGTCGCACTTATGCACCCCATGTTCTTCAGCTTAGTCCGAGCCGAGGCATCCTTTTTCCCCAGATCCACTGCACGGTTTGGTTTCCCAACCTGACGTCAAAACAAGGGACAAAGAGTCTCTTTTTTTTTTCTCCCTTCGATATGCTCAATTCGTTCTTGTGGCCGTTAAATCCTTTCGCTTGCTGTCATTTGCGCTTTCGTGCGTTGTTGTAAAAGTCTACCGTGTCTTGTAGGAATAGCATCGTTAGTTGAGCTATACTTCCTTTAAGTAGGCCTCTACTCTCTTTTTTTCTTGAGACCTTCTTTTTATTTTCTCTCTTTCCTTCCTTTTTTTTAGTGGCTTGCCTATATACCCTGCTCTATCTCTATATACCTTCTCTCTCGCTACGATGTCTAAAACATTCACCCGTGATGAGGTGGCTAAACACAACACCGAAGATTCGGTGTGGTTCATAGTCGACAGCAAAGTTTACGATGTAACCGACTTCGTCGATGCCCACCCTGGCGGCGAGTCTGTCCTCCGCCAGGTGGCCGGCCAAGATGCCACGGTAGCCTTTTACAACCTACATCGACACGAGGTTCTCACCAAGTACGAGGACTTATGTATCGGCACCCTCGAGGGCGAGAAGCCCCAGGTTGTCACACCAAAGCCCGGTGACCTCAGTACTGTCCCATACGCCGAGCCCTTATGGCTTACGCCGCAGTTCAAGAGCCCTTACTACAACGAGAGCCACCACCGCTTACGCAAGGCCATGCGCATCTTCACCGACACTTATATCACTCCCGAGGCCCAGGCCCGAGAGGCCGACGGCAAGTACATTAGTCAAGATCTGGTCGACCGCATGGCCGAGAAGGGCATCCTGCATATGCGGATGGGACCCGGGAAACACTTGCATGGAGTGAACCTATTAGACGGTGCGGTCAAGGGTGAGGAGTTCGACTACTTCCACGATCTAATCGTGTCGCAAGAGGGTGTGCGGTCCAACGCGCGCGGCTTCCAAGATGGCCAGCTAGCAGGTATGATTATCGGACTGCCCTGTGTCATGAACTACATGCGTGATGCGCGCCGGCGCAAGGCCATCATGGACGAGGTTCTCGGCGGCAAGAAGTACATGTGTCTAGCCATCACCGAAGCTTTCGCAGGATCCGACGTCGCCGGCCTGCGCACCACCGCCACCAAGACCCCTGACGGCAAACACTACATCGTCAACGGCACTAAGAAGTGGATTACCAACGGTGTCTTCTGCGACTACTTTGTCACTGGCGTCAAGACCGATAAGGGCCTGAGCGTCCTGCTGATCGAGCGTGGCGAGGGTGTCGAGACCAAGCCCATCAAGACTTCGTACTCGCCTTCTGCCGGTACTGCATATATTACCTTCGACAATGTCAAGGTGCCGGTCGAGAACCTTCTCGGCGAGGAGAACAAGGGTATCTACGTTATCCTGAGCAACTTCAACCATGAGCGATGGACCATGGCCTGTTAGTTTTCCCTCCCCCAAAAATAATGCAATACCAAGCGGGTTATACCAAATTGAACGTACTAACCAATCCTCCTAGGTGCCGGAATCCGGACGTGCAGGACCATCGTCGAGGAATGTCTCAAGTGGTCACATCAGCGCATCGTCTTCGGCAAACGATTAATCGAGCAACCCGTAATTCGACAAAAGCTCGCCAAGATGATTGCGCTCGTCGAGTCGAACCGTACGTACCCTTTCCTTCTCTTTTCCCTTTGTTTCCTCTTCTCCCTCCTCTCTCAACTCCTAAGTAGCCCTCATCCCGTACCATCCCCCACGCTAACTTTCCTCCCTCCCCCCTTTATAGAAGCCTGGCTCGAAACCATAACCTACCAGATGTGTCAGATGCCCTACAAGCAGCAGTCGCAGCACCTCGGCGGGCCCATCGGCCTGCTGAAGATGAGCATCACCCGCGCCGCCCACGAGATCGCCGACGAGTCCGTCCAGATCTTCGGCGGCCGCGGCCTCACCCAGTCCGGCATGGGCCGCGTCATCGAGATGTTCAACCGCACCTACAAGTTCGACGCCATCCTTGGCGGCGCCGAAGAGGTCCTCGCCGACCTCGGCGTTCGCCAGGCTATGCGCCAGATGCCCAACGCCAAATTATAGGTTGATGAGTGTGTGCGGACATATTCAGGAGATCTAAGTTCAACTCCCCACATCATTTCATAGTGGCGTTTTAAAATTGTATATATACCTAAAGCAGCTCGGCACGCATGTGGTATTACGATGGGAAAGGATTATGGGTTCAGTGCTATCTATAGTATAAGCTGCGGCGTCAGGGTAAATTTGAATGAAGAAATTTATGAAATTACCAAAACTCTTATAATAGGACGTATTCTATTATGGCCTCAAAATGTGTTATTTATTGACAGTATGATGAGGTACCAAAGTACACACACATATATATGCCTTCTAACTTTACACAACGGGGATCTAGGGACATTTACATGCTTTTGCATGCCACATTAGTTGCACCACCTAGGTAAGAGCAATGAACTCTTGATCTAACAGCGAGGCTCCCAAGAAAAGTCCAAAGAGAGGGTCTTTAAACCCAGCCAAAACGCTACGAATGTTATTCTCAAAGTCTAACTCGCCAACTAGAAAAGTGAAATGTCCCTTCTACCCTAGGAAACGCATGGGCTATTTGAAGGAATAATTTCTAAAAAAGAAATCCGCTCCTATATCTGAGCGAGTGTTCTTTACTCCGAGACCATCAAGGCCGAAAGCCCTGTGTCAGCATTTGATGTGTTAGGATCTGGCGGTTCACAAGTGGTAAGCGACGATGCCCATTATACGGTCTAGGAAGTTGAGACTGGGAGTGATGGTGATGAATCTGGCTGCTGTTATTTCCGTTTGCACCATATGGGTTCGTCTGATTGGTATCCTTGGTTACGCTGCCAAATGCAGGATCGTTAAAGTAACGGGCCGGATCGCCCACGGTGGTACGCGGTTGATTGTGGCGTTTCGTTGTGCCACACTCTTCACAGACAACCCAGACGACTCTTTCGGATGGGCTACATCCTCGTCGAATGGTTGTCCTGTTTGTTTTGTTGGTATTCGAGGTATCCTCACTTCTACGAGATGATTGCGAGGATACTGATGGAGCCGCTGTGTGTTGTCTTTCACTCGTAACTGACGCGGCCAATGTATCGACAGGAGACCATCGCTTGCTTGGTCTGTGTCCGTTGTCGGTGCGAGGATTTCGTGGTGGACTAGGTGGCGGTTGTTGAGGGACGGAAGTTCTCGGCTTGAGCTCGTCGTCCTTTGACTCTAATAGTTCATGTCTTGAATGGCCTTGTCGTCCAATCCGAATGAATGGAACCAAAACGAGAGAAATTCCTGCAAATGCCGTGGTGGCTATGAACGTATTGGTATACGCTAATTGAGGGTTGGTATCCTGCTCCCCATCGTACGATGACCAGATTGCAGTAGTAACTCCCATGCCGAGAGGGACTCCGAGGCGGCTCGTGGTTTGAAGCAGAGAAGCACCAACCGAGTGATGTTCCAATGGAAGAGACGATAAAATATAAAGCTATAAAGGTTTTATTAGATGTCAAGACATGGATTTTTTGGGACTATACGTGAAAGTACTCACAGACCCAACATTCATAATCCAATCCATCCCAATGGTACTCAACATGATAGCCGGGAATATCCAGAATAAGTAGTTGCTCCCCTGACGCAAAAATATGAGAAGAACATTGCTCAGGACGAGCGAAGTAGCTGCCACTGCCAACAACGCTGTTCCCGGGACTCTATGCATGATCAGGCCAACAAGAGGGCTGAGTACTAGGCCCACAAGAGCCTGTGGTAGCAACCGTACAGCAACGTCGAACGACTTCAGGCCCTCAAGATCTTGCATGAATAAAGAGACCCAGAACAGCTGAGAGTAGAAAGACATAGCAGCAGCTATGGTACAGATAATCACCTTCACTCTACGTTAGTTATGCCTCACGGTTAAGTTTGAAGTAGGTAGGTCTTACCAAAGTCACTGTCAAGTTTTCCCAAATTGATGGGGGTATCATAGGCGTTTTCGTAAAATTCTCCCAAAGAAGGAAACATCCAAGAGATAGCACGCCCAAAGTGAGGAGTAGGATTACTGCCGGTGTCTTCCATGGCTCTGGACCTTGTGGGCCAATAGTCAATGCGACAGTAAATAGGAGAAGACCTGTGACAAGTAGAAATAGCCCTAGCCAGTCAAACTGCAAGAGTTTGGATTTCTTCTTGGGTGCTTCAATCGATAATATCGGAAATGCTTCCGGCTCGGCAATAATGCGTATTTCGGTTTTCTCCTCGTTTTCAGGCGCCGAGACGTTCGGGACAAATACGCAAGCAAGCCCACAGACCGCGGCGTATAGAGCAGCCAAGGCTATGAACGGGGCCTTCCAACTAACTTCAAGAGCTAAGGCGCCAGAGCCGAGCCCACCGATGATAGTTGCCGCAGGTGTGCCAATTAAGAAGGAAGAAAATACAATATTCTTGCGGCGAGATGGCGTTGGGTAGACAAGACTTAGTATGCCGACGGCAATAGGAACGTTCGCCGCACAAGCGATGCCAGTCAAGCCAGATATAATATCAAGAACAATCCCAGTTGGCGAGAAGGATGTACATGAGACAAGTAGACAGAAAACCACCAAGCTGACGATTAGAAGAGTCTTTCGAGGCAAAACAGGGCAAGTATCGGCGATGTATCCGAATGGAAGTAAGAATGCCCCCGTCGTTAAACTGTAAACCAGTGAGTTGGAGTCACAAGAAGCACCGTTAGGGATTAAAATACCCTGAGCTTGCCGTTGCCCACGCGATCTGAGCTGGTGTCATCTGTAAGGCTGCGGATATAGGTCCAGCCACAACCACAACAGAACGCTGGAGGAAGACGGGCGTGGCTGCGGCAAAGGCGACAAGAGCAACAAACACACATTCGTGGACGGCATTCTTGAGACATTCAGGTCGGCTGCCAGCTAGTAAAGGTGCAGGGATCTCTTTGTTTTCGTCGTCTAGACAAACTTCGTGTAATTCATCAGGGGATACCGCCTGGGTCTCGGGATCAAAGCCCCAGACGTGTTTTTCGAGAGACATTTTCCAATGGTCTGAGGGTATAACCAACGAACGACCAGCGAGAGCAAGAAACTAAACCAAAGAGGGTGATTAACGAAAGTAAAGTTTTGAACGAAAGAATTGAAGATGGGTGGTGATTTGAAAGAGTAGTATGAAGTAGCTAGAAGGTTGTAAATGAAACGCCTCTCTCGTAGGTATCGTACGAGGGTAGAGATTTGCGAGGAACATGATAAAGCTTGGATACGACTTCTGCTACCAGTAGACATACTAAAATAGCAAGTACACCTACATCTCTCCCTCCTTCCGTCAATATTACTTCGGCAAGCGAGGGTTGAATGTGGTCTAGGTATAAAGCAGCTTCCCTGGTTACAGCCGCTTCCTACGGTTTTACAACGCGATCTTGGAAAGACTGAGGGGAGCAACCGTGTGACGTATGACATTAGTTAGGCAGGCACTCGCTTCTCATAAGAGTATTCCTAGGCAGGTAGACTTGGAAAGATTATTCTCAGGCAGGTATATGTAGATTCAAATGCCTTGGACTACATAGGTGACCTTAGACTCATATATCTGGTGTTAAGCCGAAAAAAACAACAACAAAAAGGCGTTTGTTTCAATTAGGTGGTCGTCCGATTCAGAAATCGCAAGGAATCACCTAAAGATGCTTTCATTCACTCTCTTGAGTATCGTTACACCCTCAGCTTTCAGCGTTGCTCTTGCAAGACCTCCAGCCAAATTCCCACAGTTGCCGTTCCCCAACATCACAGCTGCTTTGGCTGCTGGTATTGAGTGCTTTCCTTTCGAAGATCCGCACTGCTGCGTTAACAATGCAGTTTGCCAGTGCATCAACGGTATGTATTATAATCATTACGAACTTGGCTTCTTGACTAACGTCGGAAGGGACATTCTTCGGTATGAACGTGATACAGACCAACGAAAGCACAACGCTCTGCTTGCCCCCAAGCAATGTGACCTATGGACAGGATATGGGGAACATTCCCGGATTCTGTTGCTAGAGAGGAGCGAGCCGTCGTATGGGCTGAGGAACGACAGAAGCGGACGTTGCGATGTGAAGATATCATTCTTGGGGGAAGGACCAGTAAATGATTCTCGCGATACTAAACTGGGGGCCTCTTAACTTGCTCGAAGTCACTTAGGTACTTTTAAGTTGTTAGCTAATAATAATGCGTTTAAGTCTTCCATATTTTCACTGTTAACCTTTTAAAAACATGATGCCTGAACCTACCGAGACCCATTACCAAACTTGAAAAGGAAGACAGATTAGAATGTGACACTCTTATACAAACATAATATGCACGTGTATTATATTTAGAGCCTTAACCTTCTTAGTTTAGCTATTTTCGATACTTGAGAGAGTAACATTGTCCTTCCTCTTCAGTGCTACGAAGTATGCCTCGCGCGAATCCTAAGTAACCCGTGTTAGTATCTATTGAAAGCAAAACTACCCCTTCTTTGAATAACATACGCTCCTTGAGGCATCGGGCTTCTCGCGATAGACCTTTTCAAACATCTTCCTGAGCTTCAACTCCAAGTCTTTGTCTTCGGAACCTTGATAGAATTTACAAACGAAGTGGCCACCGGCCTTGAGCGTGTCGCTTGCGAATTGCAAGGCCGCAAGACAGAGGTCCTATAGATTCGAGTAAATACCCGGCCGTAAAATACGCGATATAAAATATATATGGATAAATTTGAACTTACTATGCTACCCGCGTGGTCTCGGAAACTCATACCGCTCGTGTTCATCATCCTGAAATATGCATGAGCTAACGTTTTGACAGTGAATCCAGAGATTTGTGGCCAGGGTTCTGACATGTCGCTGAGAACTACCTATTAGTTGTTGCCAAGTCAGCCTCCTAGATTCGAGCTAATGGCAGTGGTATATTCCGAATAAGCGGATAAATGCCTAGGTAAGTACTCACATCAACAAGTCTCTCCCCGTTTCGGGAAAGGTCTTCGTGGCTGGACTCAACTGATTCGGCACGCTCGGTATCGATGTAGCTCGGTCTATCAGTGATCATGCCTTCCTCTGAGTCTTCGACGTCTGGCTCAGACGGATTTCTTCGGTCCGCGAACTCGACTAGATAATCCTTCACGAGCTGGCGAACGCCCGGAGACAAGAAATCGCCTTGGATGGTTGACACGCCCCTAGGCGGCTGCGCCGGGATAATATCGATTCCGATCACGCGGCCTTTTGGCTTTGTACGATCATGGGCGACCTAGGGTCAATGAGTGACTAGTGTTATAAAAAGAAACTCGCAGTTTTCATACCTGAGACCAACTACCCGGTGCATACCCCTAGATTGCTTAGCATCGTGAGACACCAGGAATAAAATTACCTACCAGGTCAATTACTGTCTGTCCCCTTTTGAACAGCTTATACTTCTCGTCCATCTAAAAAAATAAGAAAAAAAAAGGACCTAGATGAGCTTTGATCAACATATCTCGAGATGGAGCTGCGAACTTACACTGAATAGTTTGAACGCAGCACGGCTCTTGAGATCCTGAAGCTTAGCCTCACGAGTGTAATGGTCAGCCAACTGGCGCTGCTTCCACCTGGACGTAGACGAGGACCATCGTATATACTCATGCGCTGGTTGCGCGAGAAGACTGAACACTCCGGGAGATGGAACGGCGGCCGCTGCTAGGAGCCCTCCATTACGAGGCACCGCTATTCTTCTGGCCAACACCCGCATCAACGCTGTGGGTTTCAGAGGGGTAACGATAATTAATACGTTATCTCATGTCCGTTCGGCGATGATATAAACAATAACCGGGATAACCTCAATGGGTTGATATCAAACAAGAATCAAGAATTGAACGGTGCTAATTTTTGAAAATTCGCCGTCTTGGGGTATTGAATTATACGGAAACGAATACGCGGACGGCCGTGTTGGGTGTGACATCAGTTACCCAGTTAACGGATGTATTCACTTAACAGATGAAGACCTTGTCCACTACTGGAAGTTTGTTCAGCTGTCCAGTTTAATAAAAGCAGATGCCTTCAATTTTCAAGTTGATGTTATATAGATTCTACATACGTACCTCCATAAGATAATATAATGTCATATAATATAATATGATACATAGCCTACATTAAATTTAAATTGATGTAGAAGATAGATGTGAGCTTCTAAGGTTAGAGAGGTACTTAAAGTAATCCGCCCACAGCTCTCATCTCGCTATCCAGAGCTTTCGGCTTGCAAGGAAAAAAAATAAAATAAATAGATACAAGGGGGGAAGGATTCGGAGAAGGACTGACCCGAATTTCTTTATGCAAGTTTACCTAGATAATCACACATATATGTGGCTTTCCGTGCATCCTTCGATTAACTCCGAAATTTGAAGATTTTACCACACTACTATGTACCTACATAAATAATAAGCTCACCTCCCATAAAGCTCTCTCCTAATACCTACATTACTTGGTACATACGTATCTGCCTACGTACTTGTTCCCCTCCCATTAGGTAGGTATCTTATTAGCAAAACCTCATCATCATCATGGCGCGAACAAAGCCCCCCCGCGGTACCCCCTCCCAGCCCGCCGCCGTCGTGCCACCCCCCAAGACCCAGCGTCGTCCGCTCAACGGGCTCTTCGCGCTCTCGTTCGCGGGGCTGTCGGCCCTGTCGGCCTGGCTGATGCGCGTGGAGACCGTGGTCCAGGGCGTGCCGGTCAACTTCCAGTCCGTCGTCGAGGCGCGCCGCTTCGGCAACGGCACCCCCCTCGAGACGCGCTTCACGGGCGTCGGCCCCGTCGATGAGGTCCTCGCCTTCCTCGTCGTCGCGTTCCTCGAGGGCTCCGCGCGCTGGGACCCCGGCGTCCACGCCCAGCAGGCGTATTTCCTCCTGCAGTGGTTCGCCGTCGTGTGCGTCTGGGGCGTCGAGGCTAGTCGGAGGAGGAATGCTTGGAAGGCTGTTAGCTTGTAAGTCGTTACCCGATATCGTTATTTCTCCTTATTCGCTTTTTTTTTATATTTTTTTCTTTATATTTTTTTTACATTTTGATCGCGGAGACGTGAGCAATGTTATCGGACTCCAACTAACGGAAGCTTCGGGGGGTAGCATTGGTTTCACTGCTTTTCTGTACCAGCTCACCGGGGCGGCGGTCATTGCACCCCTGTATTACTTGGCGTATGTGGTCACCTCCAGGGATGACGCGTATTTCTTCCAGGGCCGAGAGTTATCCGCCGGCCGTGCGGTGTCGCTGCTTCCCGCCGTAATTATTGGTTACCTCATCCCAACTGTCGCCGTGTATTACCCATGGGACGACGCCAAAAGAGCGCAGTACCTGACGGCGTTGTGGCAGCCCGCCCCTATCATCGTCAGCGTGCTGATCTCCGTTTTCTCCTTCCTCGTGCCTTCGTCTTCTCCAACTGCGGTCGCCAAGAACGGCGATGTCAAACACCTCAAGCGGGTGTACCTGACCGCCGGACTCGTAGCGGCCATCGCCCATGTCGGCTTGCTTTACACTTGTCTCACATCGGACGACCCGAGGCTCTCGCTCAGTTATGTGTTCCTACCGAATAGAGCCACTTGGAAGGACAGCATGGGCCTGGGATTGCATTATATCTTCCAAGTTGACTTCCTCGGCGCATTTGGCTCCACACTGTTCTGGTGCTGGCTTGTTACCTACGATGTTCTGCGGATACTCGGAAAGCCCACCGCGACAGACTTAATCAAGGCAGTGCTAGGCATTGCGTTTGCTACGGTTGTAGCCGGCCCGGGTACGACAATTATTTTGGTTTGGAACTGGGTGGAGGATAGGCTTGTTATGATCGAGAACGGCGTTAAGGGGACTTGGGAAAAGCCGAAGGCTGCGTAGAAATCGGGTCATTTCCGTATACCTTGAATTTTGAAAAACGCATCAACCTCAACGTACAACTTATCAACCTTGGGTACCTGAATCCCAACGCATACCGTTTATATCGTTTCGTAGAATCTAATCCAGCGGGAATGGAAGTCACTACTTCCAACGTGATAATTCCCATCGAGAAATATAGAACACGTTAGGCACCTATTCATAGAAAATGTGTTATTCCTATTGACCTAATAATGCAACCGTAAACCTATCCCGACCCTATAAGGTAACCCTTTTCCAGACGCCAAACCATGACATGACCAATCTAGAACGCCGATAAATGCAAACTTGGCCCATCCGTTACCAGCTTGAAATCCCGTTATCCTGAAACCTGGTGTCCGTACGTTACGCCAGGAAACTAGCGCCAGCACCTCTACGATCTCTCTTTAAAGGCGAGAACGCAGCCGGACCAGTGAATGCACTTTTTTGCACCCCGAGCAAAGCTTTATTTACTGCCCTCTTGCCACCTAACTGAATCTTGCCCGGCTTTCTGGATAGCGGTTCTTCTCCTTCCTCTTCATCAAACAACGTCTTGGTGGAACCCAGAACCTTGCGCTTCTTTTTCTTAGGTACATCGCCGGGTATGCTAGATGATATGCTCTCGTCCTGGGGGAGACCCAAATTGAACTTAACAGTTGCTGTCTTCTCCCCAGGCTCTGTGGCATTTTGTTGACCCTCTTCAGCCTTGTCGTTAGATTCTTCCACCACCTTCTCAAGACCGCCCTTATTCTTGACCGACTTCTTCGCCACAGGCTGTGCGTTTTTCTTAGCAGATGGCGCTTCACCGAGAACCTTCTTAGGTCTACCACGAGATTTGGTACTTGGCTTTGGCTCTTCACTCTCAGCAGGGGCCGGGGAGGTTGTTTCTTCCCGAGTCACCTCTGCCTCTGCAGCTTCCGAGACTGCTGTTGTAGGCTCAGCAGCTCCAGTCTCGGTCGTAGCGACTATCGAATCATTCGGCATTTCATCATCAGCCTTGGGCGTATCTTCAATAATACTCTTGGTGCGATTTAAGAAGGGAGTGATAGAGAACATTGATTTCTCGCCCACAAGACTTGGCTCTAAACCTCGCTTCTTTGATGCTTTTCGTCCTTTTGTGGTATCATCAGCTCCCGGAGTTTGGATTTCAATTTGTGTGAATTCCTCCGCAATTATGTCCTGGGGTTTTCTCTTACGGAAAACCTGTGGCCGCCCATTGACTTTGGTACCGTCGTCTGAAATGGTAGGGCGCGATTGCTGAGCCTTTCGTAGGTCCGATTGGCACTGCTTGAGTTGTTCCTGGGTTTCACGCAGCTTGGTCTTTAATTTTTCAACCTTCTTTTCAAGCTGGTCGCTTCGTGCGCTCGCCTCAGATAGCAACTCCTGGTTTTCCCGGCGAATCCTGGCGCTCTCTTTCCGTTGGGATTCTATATTTGTCTCAAGTTCCTCAATTCGGGCGCGTAACTCATCCTCTACATTATTCTTTGATTGGGTTTTCTGCGCCTTCTTCGCCGCGAGTTGTGTAGTCTGAAGTTCTTCTTCCAGTCTTTCTCGATCGTCTTTCTCCTGCCTTAGTTGTCTCTGGACTTCCTGGAGTTTCTTTCGAAGATCAGCTTCTAGCTCTCGAGTGCTGTCCTGCTCCTGTAGGGAAATTTGGTGTGTTCGTTTCTCTTGTTCAAGCTGATCTTCGAGTCGCTCGCGTTCCGCCTTCTCCGCAGTCAATTTCTTCTCCGTTTCACGTAGCTTCTGTCGGAGCTCATCCTCGATCCGGTCATTGCTTTCGCGTTTTTGCATAACTCTCTTGGTAGCTTTCTTCTCGTTTGCAAGTTCAACCTCAAGAGTATTAACTTGTCGCTCCAAAGCTAATTTTTCAGCCAGCGTTGCCTGCTGGTGGTTTACTTGCGATCGGAGGTGGTCGATCTCGGGTTTCAAAACAGCCAACTCGCGACTGAGTGATAGTTTCTCAGCAAGTAAATTGGCGGAATCTTGCGTCGCGTTGTTCATTGCTTGGAGTTCGGCCTAGAGCCCAGAATTAGTACTTAGATCGACTTCCTATTGCGCATTAATATGTTTTGTTTACCTTCAAGTTTTTGTACTCTCGTTCTTGTTTCCGTAATTGCTTTTCCTGTGAGCGAATTACATCCATCTTGGCTTCAATCTGAGAGCTCAGGTCATTGCATTGGGCCGAGAGTTTTGTATTTGTGTCGCTGTTGAGAGCTATTTGGTCGCGCAGTGATGTGTTTTCGTCTCGTAGCATAAGTATTCGGACTCGCAACCGCCGGACATCCTCGTCTTTGATTAGGAGTTCAGTATTGCTATTGTTTATCTGGTGTTTCAATTCGAGGTCATGAAGTAGTTCTTGCCGCTGAGTGAGGTAACAGAAGTCAGCGATACTCTATGAGCAAGAAAGAGCCGTTAAAGTACCTTATCAGCGTCTATGTTTCCTTTTACCTCGCGGCCCATAGTAGCCTTGGTAAGCCTACCCATTTAGATAGACGCGTCTTGATCTCTAAACAAAGTCAAATATGAATAATAAATTAAATCAATGTCCCAGCAAGATCTAATTATTGGAGGTTGTGTGTGTATGTGTGTGTGTGGCGATGATGTGAGGGGTGCTCTATCTTGAATAAGAAAGAGGAGGTGAGGTTATGATGTTACTTTAAGCGGAGGAGCAACGAACGTGTTTGGTAGGCGACCTTGAAAGCGAAAAAGTCAACAAAGTGCTGAAATGGGGTTAGCGTAGGGAATTTCCGTCGGCCCGTAAGCAATAAGCAAGTGGAACTGAGGTTACCTAGGTACCTCCTACCTAATCTAGGTACCTTACCCACTTTGGTATACAATCGATGATGCAACTTTCATCTAATAGGTGTAGCAATTTGGCAACACGCGGCCCCTGCATTCAGAATTACCTAAATCATCCTTATCGATTTGAATAATAGGTACGCTGCTCATAAGCGTTAGGTACCTATGTACATGCTGCATAACTCCAATAATCAATTAAGGACACATTTAGAACTCCAAAGCTGCCGTCGACTTAGTGCTTTTGCTAACGTCGCCCATTCTTCCCAATCGTCAAGTGTGCGAAAGCACGGCGTTCTCAAAACCAGGTCCCGCTCTCTTCTATATGAGGTATACTCTGGAGTATCGTCAACATGCGCTGGTTATCTCTTCTCCTCTCAGTCACCCTTCCTTTCGGGTCCCTCGCTGCGAAGCAGTCGTCCTCGGTCGATCGATTCAGCGAATTTCATGCCAAAGCCCAAGCTTTTTCCCCATTGAAGCTTGCTGACTCGTCCTACAAAAAGCTTACGTCGGTCCCACGAGACTATTCGGTCGCCGTACTGTTAACTGCTTTGGATGCGCGCTTTGGCTGTCAGCTCTGCACCGACTTCCAGCCTGAGTGGGAGGTGTTGGCAAAGAGTTGGATTAAAGGCGATAAAAATGGCGAATCTCGTTTGATTTTCGGTACTCTTGATTTCTCCAACGGAAGGGAGACATTTATATCTGTATGTGAACCTCTAGCAACCACGTATAACTTCGGAAGCTAATTACTCTATAAACATAGCTGGGCCTTCAATCAGCACCTGTGCTACTCTTTTTCCAACCCACAACTGGTTCACATGCTGTCCCTACCGTCGAAGCTATTCGTTATGATTTCAGCGGGTAGGTAATTTTGTTGATATATGACGAATTCCGTTCTAAGATGTTTACAGTCCCCAAACTGCCGAAAAGGTTCATGAATGGCTTGCCCGCCACCTCCCTGACCGGCCTCACCCGCCGGTGAGCCGACCAATTAATTACATTGGATGGATCGTATCAATCGTCGCGAGCCTGGGCATTGCTGGTGTCATCTTCAATGCTTGGCCGTATATACTACCTGTCATTCAGAATCGAAACGTCTGGGCAGGTCTGAGCTTGATTGGCATTCTCATGTTCACAAGTGGTCACATGTTCAACCAGATACGTAAGGTACCATATGTCGCCGGCGATGGACGCGGTGGCATCAACTATTTTGCCGCCGGGTTTCAAAATCAATTTGGACTCGAAACGCAAATTGTTGCTTTTATATGTAAGTATATAAACCATCTGGATTTGATATTACTGTCGATTTGCTAACGTGATTAGACGGCGTTCTCTCCTTTGCTACGATCTCCTTAGCTGTCAAAGCCCCGAGGGTTCGAGATCCCAAGATCCAACAACTCACGGTTATTGTTTGGGGCGCTATTTTGGTCCTCATGTACAGCTTCCTGCTCTCCGTGTTCCGGGTTAAGAATGGCGGCTATCCTATCAAGCTTCCACCATTCATGTGAGGGTCCACACAGCAACAATTATGAAGAATAGGAGGCTTGGCTTAGCCCGACAAGAAAGGGAGATAAGATATCATCGTACAGTTTCGTACAGTTTGATGTTTCGGTACGGCGTAAATCTGCCCGTCTGGTATGTGCAAACCATGGGATTCGGTAGGGGATCTTGAAAAATTAGAGGCAATAGACCAAAGTGAACAAAGAATTAAGATATGTATAACGACTGCCATTACGGACGATTTTCGTGCTCATCAAAACAATGGGTATCCGCTTAGCCCAGATTTGGGGGGAGGCTTGAGTCACTTAGAACCGCCAAGAGGACCCTTAAAAGTCCGGCTTTATTCAGCTTAACTAGGTACCTAGGTAGATTAGATATCTGTCTTTAATGGTACCTAAATACGTACCTAAGGTAGGTTGATGCATGAGTAATTCGGTATCTTATAAGCTGCGAGGTAGTTTTTAGGTAGTAGTTTAAGAGGTTTCGGCAGATGGGTAGGAGGTAGGAGGTAGGTACAAGCACGGGTGCGAATGACGAATTTATTTCACTAGGTGCATCCAATGCGCATGTATGGATCCGTAGAGCAACACTCATACATGTTTAAAGATGGGTGGTCAGCTGCCTAATGCACCCCCCACATCCAGTAGATAGCATGCTAGTAAGTCACATTGCAGCTAACTAAGGCTACTAGGGGATGTCAGGGGGACCGTTGATACGCCGTTGATTTAGCGCATTAGTGTTGTTATCGTCGTAATCGATAGTGCTAATTGATAGGCATTCCTGAATAAAACGGATCAAATGACACACTCTGCGACGCACTGCACCTCATCCTACCTACCTCTAGCCAGCCAGCCAGCCTAGAAGAGAAACTTAAAGTGAGCCTAGGTACCCTTAATAAGTGAGCTACCTAGGAGGTAGGTACTGATAGGTGATACTACCCCGTAAGAAATACACCAGTACTGTACTGCTTACCCGTATACATCCCGACAGCGCCCTCCCCCTTCCCCATTCACTTCTCTACAACCCAGACCCAACCCCAGCATTAACAACAGTCATACCTCGTTAGCATATCTTTTTAACCTTCGTCTGCGTCGTAGTCGGGGCGTGCTTCTCCGGAGTCATCGTTATCTCAGCATATACAATATCTTCATCCTAGTATCTTAACATCTCCTTGCCTAATGGTTATTCAACCACGCCGTCAGTGCCGCCAACGATGAACTACCACCCCGCATCCCAAGTCGTGGGATATCGTGATACTCTATCTCAGCCCCCCCACACGCGATCTACGCGTCGGTGAAGGCCTCGTCGGCCTCATTTTCTAGTATTAGATCGGTTTTCGTAGTTTCGACGTCCTCAGGCCTGCCAAGCCTGTCAAGTCTATCAGTATGGCCTTCTTCAACTCCTTCTGGAGCTCTAACATGCCCAAGCGGCTGCTACGGTATACCCTATCGAAGCTGGATTATCTTGATACCGACGCCTTGGACATGGACAACTTAGATCTTGCTATGGGGAAGAACAACGTCTTCACATTGCAAAATGTCGGGATTAAACTCCAGGCACGTCATAATTTCCCACATAGTATCATCCTTAAGTGATCTGGTATATAGAGCTAACACTTCGGAATATAGAAATTAGAACAGTTACTACAGCTTCCGCCGTCGTTTGAAATCCAAAAAGCCAAAGTCTTATTACTCCGAATCACCATACCCTCTGCTATATATGCGAATCCTATAACCGTCGAAGTCGATGGCGTCGAGATAAAGTTGAGCCTCACTTCCCGAGACGATAACTCTAGGAGAGTACCGAAAGGCCCCGCACGTACGCAACAGGGTCCTACATCAGATGAGGGAGATCCCGTTCCGCATCCCATCGACTTAGCTCAGTCCTTCTTGGAGACGCAGCCTTCGAAAGATAAGGCAGCACTTCAAGCTGCGCTCGAAGCCGAAACCCAGGACCTTGGTGCTTCCACTTTAAGTAGCGAGGATGGAAGCGAAGATGATTACCCCCTGGGAACTGGTCAACCCCTTTCCCTTCCCACATTCCTCGCCGATTTTCTGCAAGGTATACTTGACCGGCTAGAAGTCTCTATCAAAGGCGTCACTTTTCATCTGGACGTCGAAGTTCCACCCGAACCCAATTCATCCGTCCCCGAATTGGTTACTTTCCAATTAGCGGTCGATGAAGTAAATGTGGAGGGGGTCACAAAAACAGCAGATGAGAGCATCAAAGAGGGGAAATCTAAAATTGCCTATAAGGAAGGGAAGCGATACGTAGGTTTAAATAAGATTCGAGCAAGCTTGATCTCCGAAGCGAACGTCTTTTCGACCCTGGCACGATCGCCGTCAATACCTTCCTCTCTCGAAGCTGATTCGCCGGCTGTGACTCAACAGCAGAGTGTTTCTCGGGAATCTATGTCGAAGTCGATGGCTATGCCAGAATTACTATCTAACCCCAACGACCTCGGAGAAAATGAGCATCGTGATCAGGCAATGGATACTGAAGACGCTTTTAATATACCATATGACTTCAGTGAATCAAACGATGGGCACGACGAAGACTCAATATCTACGCCATCAACGCCCCGAGCTCTTGCACCTCAAATTCTACAAGAGGATGAACTAAAGTCGGCATCTTCCATGCATTCTGTACGATCGTCTATAGATGCACCGCCAGAGCGTTGGTCTTCTTCAGCACGCATCGTTCAGTCCGAACCGGCCTTAGAGCATCGAGGACGATGGGGTCAGGATTCTGTCGAGTCGTCGGGAAGCACTGAAGACCGGCCTAATTTATCAGTTGAAAGCGATGAGACAGCTTCCTTCAGCGAAGATCTGACCCGATCCCATTTATTCAGCCACGAGGAAGCCGAGAGCATGTATATGAGCGCCTTCTCTCAGGCTTCGTCTTCCCAAGCGGACAAGCCTGTTCAAACTATGCCCGGCGGCTGGGATTCAGATGCCTCAAGTGCAGAAGACTCGCCTCCTCCGCATTCTCGAGAACCCACGATCGCCACATCTCAACAGTCTCCCACCACTAATCACCATTCCACACCAAGTAAAGGCCCATTAATAGACTCCGAGACTGACCCCAACCCTTTCGTCGGTAACCTTCGAGGGGCAAAACAGTCATATGACGACCCGCACTCCAACCCAGGGGGGGAAGATGCTTCGGCAGAAATCGCAACACCAAAAGGACCAAGATCAGTCAAAGAACTTGTTTCATTGGACACTATCTCGCTTTACATTCCTTCAAATCATCAACATGTACAGGTAGCATTTGCTGGTGAAGAACCGACCGCCCGAGCATCTCGACAGCACTTAGGCCGATCTGTTTCTCCAAATTTCCCAGGAGCTTTCTCCATCTATTCAGGCGATCATCAGCCGACTGCGTCAATAGCCTCGACCATTGGTGCACAGCCCCCCAAAACACCTATTGACATAACACTTGAGGTGATAATATCTTCCCTAGACATACACTCCGACCTTTCGACGGGGTTCTTGTTGTCGGTTGTAGTATCGCGGATCCTTTCGGCTTTAAAAGAACAGCCTCCAACTCCGCCTTCTAAGCAAAAAGGCCAAGCTGAAAATAAGAGCAACGCGTCGCTCACACCCGACATAAAAATCGTTACTGAAAATATCACTATACGTTTTCTAGAGAATCTGGTCGGGATCACAGACACACCTGATCGGTTGTTCAACCCCAATCCCGCTTCGTTCAACGCTGATGCTCTTCTTACCGTGGCTATCGAGAACTTGAACGTGGATCTTTCAGGTTCATCTACCCCCACGAAAACATCAGTAAATGTAGGTAAGTTTAAGCTCGGATATAGGAACGACGACATCATCTCGTTTGATCAACGCATACAAATGCGGGCTTCCATGAATGATGCATTCCCTCCTACCGGTGCCGATATATCTGTTCAATTCAGCCAATGGCCTACGACAACAAAGTGCGAGGTAACTACCCTACCGCTTTATGTTAAATTAGATCTTCAACGACTAGACGAGACATTTAGTTGGTTCGGGGGCTTGAGCGGTTTTTTGAACATGAGTTCTTCGATGACTTCAAGTTCTCCTCCACCTCCCCGTGTTCCTGTAAAATCGCCATCGAAAGCTCGTGGGGTAAGGTTTGACGCACCTATACGTCCAGACGACGTATCTGCAAGCTCCGAGAATAAAATGAACATGAGGTTAGGCGGTTTTCGTTTAGATGTCATCGGCAAGGAGTGTAGCGTGTCCCTAGATACGACTGCCGTAAAGTTGGTCAGTCGGGAAGAAGGGATCGGTATCGGCATTTCCAAGATACACCTCGCAGGCCCATACGTGAGACGTTCTATGGGTGACCCTCCAATCAATGCTGTGATTACGAATACTCGCCTCGAGTATCTCATGACACCAAAAGACAATGACCTGGAAAGACTCTTAGAGCTTATCATACCATCTAAGTATAAATTCGATCAGAACGACGACGAAATCATGGTGGACACTCTACTTCGGCAAAGGCGGAAGGGCGCTGTATTACGCGTCAATGTGGATGGCATTAAAGTCAATGTTGGTAAAATCCAGCAACTCGAAGTATTGTCTACGTTAGGTGAAGAGGTTGCACGACTCTCCACTGTTGCTAAGTACTTACCCGAAGATGACCGACCAGGCATACTTACCCTAGCTCTAATCCGTAGCCTGGATGTGACAGTGGATATTGATAGAAAATTCGGCTCTATACAAGCGTCTCTAAAGGACGCGGAAATCGGCCATATCACCATTCCTTCTTTGGTTGCTCTCGGGGTAGGCTCTCTTTCAATCGTCCGGAACCACATTGAAGAATTAGTCGGTACAAGCACGTCGTCTTTCGATAAAGGAGGCCGCGGACCTGTCTTGACTATGAGGGTGATCGGGGACGAGATGGAGCCGGTTGTCAAAGTCAGGATGCGTAATATCAATATCGAGTATCGTGTACCAACCATTATGGATATCCTCGGTCTCGCCGAAGATACTACTCCACAAGATTTCGAGGCAAGCCTGGCAGCTTCGGTAGCAAATTTAGGCGAACATGCACACGCAGCTATCACGGGAAAGCCACAAAACCGCTTGCCAGTTCCAGACGAGACCAAGGGTAAAGATGGAAAGCCAACAAAAGTAGACTTCATCTTCAGAGACTGTTTACTAGGCTTGAATCCACTTGGGCTTAAGTCAAAGATGACCATTGTGTTAACCGATGCTCACTTTGAAATCGCATTGTCTAACGGGGATGATGCAAAAGCTCTGGGCCATCTGAATAAGGCATCCATTCTTCTTATCGATGACGTGTCAATACTGGAATCTAAAGATTCTGCATCGACTGCCAGACGACGCAGCTCAAACACCCCTTCTCCGCAAGTGGTGGAGTTGTGCCAGCAAGGGTATGTTGATATTTGTTATATCTCGTCAGCAAAGATCGCAATTCTGGTTGGTGCGAACCAGAAAGATGGAAGCAAGTGGGTTGACGTCGAAATACGGGATGATCTTCTTGTCCTGGAGACATGCGCCGACTCGACTCAGACTCTGATTGCTCTTGCTAATGCACTTACTCCTCCGACGCCTCCAAGTAAGGAGATAAAATACAGAACAAAAGTTGTACCTGTCGAGGATTTACTTGCTTCTATATCTGCCGACGCATTTGGTAGGGCTGAGGGTGACTACGACTTCGATAAAGATTTTGGACTGGCTCAGAACCTGGATGAGACTGATAGTGATTTTGGCATTGGAGATTCTGGCCAGTCAAGTCCTTTGGCTGTCGACTCTCGCTTTTACGACGAGTCTTCAGTTGAGGCCAAACTCTTCGAGGCGACAGGTTCTATGATCTCGGATGGGACGAGAACGCAAGATACAACAGACGGTGTTCTACTCACAAATTTCAGCAGCCAGCCAGGTATGATTGATGATGACGATGATCTGGCCATTGATGAGAACTATTTTGGCTCGGGATCCGTGATAGAAGATAACACTCACCGCTGGAGTTCGACAAAAAACGCATACGATGCAGCCAATAATCAAAAGGTTCGTCGTAGCCCTCTCTGTGTCCGTGTACGTGATGTCCATCTTATATGGAACCTCTTTGATGGTTATGATTGGAACCGCACCCGCGAAGTCATCTCAAAGGTTGTGCACAAGATCGAGTCCACGGCAGTTGAGCGGCAGTCGCGTCACGATCGCGCTCGTGCGAGTACCGATATGGAAGTGATCGAAGAAGAAACTGAGATCGGAGACTTTTTGTTCAACTCGATATACATAGGTATTCCTGCAAATCGAGATCCTCGGGAGCTCACACATGCTATTAACCAAGAACTAAACGACGCTACCACCGAAACCGAGTCAATAGCCACGACAGCAATGACAGCTACACCTAGCCGACAAGGCAATTCTTATCGAAACAAGAGGAAGCTAAAGCTCAACCGCAGTAAACGGCATAAGATCACCTTTGAATTAAAGGGTATCAATATAGATTTAGTCACGTTCCCCCCCGGTTCTGGCGAGACTCAGAGTTCAATCGACGTTCGGATCCGGGATCTTGATGTTTTTGACCTCGTTCCAACATCGACCTGGAAGAAGTTCGCAACATACGATCAAGATGCCGGAGAGCGGGAGATGGGTACGAGTATGGTCCACCTGGAAATATTAAATGTGAAACCACTTGAAGACTTGGCAGCATCTGAGATTGTTCTGAAAGTCACGGTCCTGCCACTTCGCCTCCACGTCGATCAGGATGCTTTAGACTTCATCACAAGGTTCTTCGAGTTTAAGGACGATTCAACTCCAATCCACGCCTCGCCCAGCGATATTCCCTTTGTGCAGAGAGCCGAGATAAACTCTATACCCGTGAATCTGGACTTCAAACCGAAGCGTGTCGATTACGCGGGCTTGCGGTCGGGTCACACGACCGAGTTCATGAATTTCCTAGTCCTAGATCAATCGCGGATGGTCTTAAGGCGTACCATCATATACGGAACCTTAGGGTTCGATAGACTCGGAAAGACGCTAAATGATGTATGGATGCCTGATGTAAAAAGGAATCAGCTCCCTGGTGTGCTTGCCGGTCTTGCGCCTGTTCGCTCTTTAGTCAATGTGGGAAGCGGGTTCAGGAATCTGATCGAGGTTCCAATCAGGGAATACAAGAAAGATGGCAGGATAGTCCGCAGTATAAGTAAAGGTGCCGTGGCATTTGCCAGGACAACAGGTACAGAGATCGTCAAACTCGGAGCGAAGCTGGCCGTCGGCACACAGTATGCTCTACAAGGTGCAGAAGGTATGCTAGTCAAGCAGCCACAACATCACCAAGTCGCAGGATGGGATGAAGAAGAAGCAGACGCGGAAGAGCCCAAACAGATCAGCCTCTATGCCGATCAGCCAACAGGGGTTATCCAAGGAATTAGGGGTGCATATGCGAGTCTAAGGCGTGATCTTAACATGACAAGGGACGCCATTATAGCGGTCCCCGCGGAGATCATGGAGAGTCAGAGCGCTCAAGGAGCGGCCAAAGCCATCCTTAGGCGGGCACCGACAATCGTTTTTAGACCCCTTATCGGTTCAAGCAAGGCGATCGGACAGACTCTTATGGGAGCTACAAATGCATTAGACCCTCAGAATAGGAGGAGGGTAGAGGAGGTAAGTCTAGGAAACCTATTTGTCTCCAAGCCCCCCTTTATACTAACGAGTATACAGAAATACAAACGGTGAAGGTGCTTTTCTGGTTTATTACGACCCAGCATTCTTTTTTCTTTTTTTTTTTTCCGGCGCGGAGTACGGATACATCGCCTGTCTCTTTTGCTGTCACCTTGCCTGCGCGCAAATCTTGCATGTAAAACTCCACGAACAATGCATCATAGATGGGCGGACAGATTAACATTGCACTTCCACGAGATTGGCTGGACTATTGTTTAAATTTCTCATTGCCCGGGCTATGATTGATCGGTTTCTAAAGGGGAGGGGAGTCCGCAATAGCATTAGTACATTTACATCGGTATCTAACTGATCTGAGAATTTATCTGCGTGGGGCTGTTACGACGACTAGCCTCTAGGTATATGAGTTATGTGGGTTAGATCTGAATAATGGGCAGTGGAGATGATGTAGGTTACTACCTCCTAAGGGTACTACATATACTAGAATACCATATGCAAATTCCCACATACGACCATAAGATCTAGAAAACTCGGGATCCCGTCCGATCTCCCCTCGACAAGCTGGATACTGCCGGATTAGTAGTTGGGTCGGTGACGACCAGCGAATCCCTGGTGTTGTATGTTTTTTTTTTCCTATATTTTTCGACTCTTGAATATCTGATCCATTGTGGTATGGTGGAGGCTAGGTAGAGCAATATTCTATTTGATCCCATGTCTTTTCTCTAGCCCTTTCTTATGCCCACGCACCTAGATTCAGATACTGAATATCCCGATTTCATAAATAGCTTAATAGCATTTAACATTTCCAGTCCTATCCTATTAAATAACTTAATTTCATATATTTATATCAATCTGACATGCTTTAAGTAGAGAGTCATATGGTATCGTACCTAAATAAATTCGTAACATATCTAAATCCCTACACAGGCAGCATGAAGAGAGTAGTACCTCTAGCTACCTAGGTAGGTACTTTAGGTCCCTTAGGTGCCCAACCATCTCACATCAGTCATGAATCTTCAACAACTGTTTGACCTTCTCGTAAACACTGTATTCCAACCTCTTCTTGACTTTGCCGCGTCTCAATACATAGTGTCTCTGAGAAGAGTACTTCGTATTCCCTAGAAGCGTCTCAATGGCTCCGCAATATGTGTCTCTATCAGAGGGGTGGGAGGTAAATACTCGCACACTTCCGAGATTAATAACGGGTATCCCTTGGATATATCCTAGCTGAGACTGGGTCTTAGAGCCAAAAACAAAATTGGCACCGTTATCGAGAAGAAAAGTCACGAGTTCTATCTTCCTATCCAAGGTAACCATAGGCCTGTTAATTCCCGCAGTGTGCAGAACATATGTACGACCTGGAATGCCTATCGAACACGGAAATGTCAATATTGCACTCTCTAGTATTGATGGCCTATTGTGTTTGCTGTTTAATATTGAGGGGTCTAGCGCAACCCTTTCGCGTACATAGTCAACAATACAGAATTGAGCTGCTAATATAACGTCAGCATTAGGTGATGAGGCTATAGAGCCCGTGGTGTCTATGATTATAGTACCGTCTTCGTCTTCGTCGTCGTCGGGTGGCTCGGTTGTCCACATCGAGTCGCGAAATAGCCTCCGGCGGATTAGTTCATAGCTGTTAATGAGAGGCGAAAGCTATACACTTCGAGACTCTAGGCACAACGTATGCCATGTAATCCTCGTATGATTTATTAAGCTTTACAAGTTCGATCTCGAGTCCCGTTATATAGGCATCAAAGCCCTCAGGTCCCTCTGCGGTAATATCCCTGAAGTTGTCGACTGCCCAGTCGTGCGTTGTGCGATGCAGATAATCAACCTTGCCTTCGCTCGAGACCTCAAGCAAACCCTTGGTTCGGCTAGCAACTTTTCGTCGCATTAAAGTAGCTATATGCACCTTCTGCTGATATGTCAATTTATCCATATCCACGGAGAAAGCGTCTTCATGTTCGGCCAACCAAAGATCATGGGCACTTAGGATGAAATCACCGGGCGGTTGATACATAATAATGGACCAGTGCTCCCTCATCTGCAGGAAGCGAGAGCAATCTTGTATATGCTCGGAGGGAATGCTCAAGAATATTTTTGTATACAAATCAGAGATCTTTTCGGGTAATTCATCGATGATTACCTGGAGCTCGGATATGGAGCTACCATCCCTGAATTTTCCGAGAAGCGACTGGACTACTATAGTTATCCACAAGAACACGCCATGGGCTTTTCGGAGATAGAGTGAATCAAATGTTCGGCTTCGGCCTCGTATGTTGCTTTGAGTTCTTGAAAGCCAACGTGGGACTCAAAGTTACTTCGTATGTAATATTCGATGTCCTGCTTCGTCAAGTCTTCAAGCCTAAGTTTAGGATTGTTCTTGAAGGAGTCTTCGAACACGGGCCAAGGCCGGCTACTGACGCAAATCTTGACCCATCCCCTTCCATGCTCATGAATGGTACTAATGAAATCGAGAAGCTCCTTGTGACCCCCAGAAAATTCGTCCAGCCCATCCATAAACAAGGCTACCACGCATGATTCCCCGGCTTCAGTTGCGAGAGCATGAAAGGCCTCCTGCAATTCGGCTATAGACCAAGGTGGGTCGATAGACTCATGGGGATTGTTGAATATTTTTCGGAAAGTCCACCTTCTGGGGGTGACGCAAGGAACAAGTTCAGGCATTTCTGACAGGCATTCAAGGAGGAGGGTTTTTAGAAGCCCCAAGTGTGACTTCTGCTCCAGCGTTCCAGCGTTCCAGAAGTAGAACCCCCCTAGCAGAAGCTTTCGATTGCCGGCCCAAACTTCAAGGTGCGTTGACTTCCCCGAACCAGGTTTGCCAGTAACCCAATATATAAAATTGGAATCACCCTGAAGCCAAGCTGGAAAATCAGACCACATGACTCTTCCCTGTCTGTCCACTCTTGGATCCTTAAATACCCATCGAAAGGTCTCTTTATATGCCAGAGGTATGGCTTTTTCTCGATGGGATAAAGCCGCAAATATGAGGCTATCGCGTATGCTCTCGTATAAATTCAAGTCATCCTTGCCTGGAGAGACATCTGCTTGGTAGCCCGGACGCGGTAACCAAAGCTTGGTCCAGGCGATGGTATGTTGCGTGCTAGCATTTGGAATTGCCATATCATTACTGTTGGTGACATCAATAAGTCCCTGTCTAAAGCCTGTTTTTGTTGTTGTGTCAACAAGGCTGAGCCTCCCGAGCATCTCATTTTGCTGCCCGACGAACTGTTGAACATCAGCCCAGCCCTGTTGTGCATCAATCCACATCCCAATTAAGACGGTGTCTTTTATTTTCTCCCGGATATTCGAAAGTTAGCAGACCAAGGCATCGACTTCGTCCTTCGTCCATAGTCCTTTTAGCACAACCTTGAGGCTAGACTGAGCAATCTCCAGCCTGGTCTGACCCGTAGCTCTTAATTTCTCGAGGGCTTTTTCGAGTTGTGTGCAGACCTCTCTACACTCGTTACAAATTTCCGAGATGCGGACATTCGTATCGTTCTTGGTAGTTGAGCGTAGGTTGTCTGCCTTGTCTTGAATATGATCTACGTAATACCGTAGATCTGAAGCAATTTTGGAAAACTTTACAGTTGTCGATGATTGACCTGTCGCAGATTTGTAGACCTGGACGGTATCACTCAACAGCCTACCCGCGAAGTCGGTGAATTGAACAACTCCTGCGGCGAGAGAAAATGCGCTGAGAGGATCCATTTCTTTTCGTCCTCAACGATTGTAGGCCGTAGGTACCCAATGCTTTACAAATCTGAGAAATATGCACCTATATATAGGTAAGTATTGCATTGTTTTAGGCACGTTCAGCTGACAGGGGGGGCGGCATGAATTGGTTGCGGTGCTTATATCCAATCGTCGATTAGGTGGAATGACATCAGTTCCCATATTCATTTTGATTTATTTGCAGTGGAAATGACTTCAGATCTCAAAAAAAAAAAAAAAAAAAAAAAAAAAAAAAAAAAAAAACTTAAATGGTATTAATTATTTTTATAGCTTGTTCAAAGATTAGTTGGGTGGATGTATGAAGAGGGGAAGACTATTTAGATCCTAGGAGGACCAAAGGTGCCTAGATTTCTATAAGGCCCAGATAAAATAATAAAATAAATGGATAAATGGCGTGTGTGGTTTAAGGTTGTTTTTATATTATGTATCTAGTACCGTACACTTACCTACCTGCATGTAACCCTCCTGCATGTGCCTTTTGCACCTTCCACAAGTAGTTGGGAAAAAAGGGGGAAAGGGGTTAATGAAAAGGAAGCTGCGTTGTTAGACAGATCATAGAAACAAATTAGTTGTTCACCGGGGAGTTCTTACTACACTATAGGTACCTCCTATACATCTCTTGGGAATAGAGTAGCATAAGGTACAGAATGTGTCCTTTGTCCTACATGTCTCATCTATGATCCTGATATACTGCAAAATTATACAATAGTCTTTCATGTTTGTAGGCAAGAAATTTATTAATATTTAGTTTCTATCTCACCTTGTGCTTTTTCTCTTTTCCTTTTTCCTTTTTTTTTTAAAAAAAAAATATTTGCTCAGTTCATACGGTAGGTAGCTAGTTAGTATGGCACCGAATCATACAATACCAATACTACCTAACCTTACCTACCTACCTAGGGGCCCACTCGAAGTCCACGGCGACCGCATCGCCTCCTCGTAGTCCTGGGCGGTCTTCTCCACCAGCTCGAGCGCCTCGCGGTACGCGCCCTGGCCAGACAAGCAGACCGCGACGTCGTTGGTCCAGCCCGAGCCGAGCTCCCCGGCCCGGTAGGCGGTCACGTACTCGAACTCGGGCGGGAAGAACCCGGCGTGCTCCCACCCCGTGACGACGATGCGCCCGTCCGCACGCACCTTGACCGTCGACGGGCTCAGGTTGAAGTGCGTGAAGATGGCCTCGTCGCCGCTGGCCAGCCCCGTGCAGAACCGCGAGTGCGCGGCTTCCCACCTCTTCGCGTAGTGCTCCACGGCGTCGCCGTCGCCTTCGACGCGGTACTTGGGCGCCATGGTGCCGAACTGCCAGTCCCGCGCCTGCTCCGCGGTGCTGAACAGCTTCAGGTCCAGGAACGGGTTCTTGAAGGCGCGCAGGTGGCCGTACAGGTTGAAGCCCGTGCCGGGGTGCGGGACGGCCCCGAGCTGCAGGCGGGCTTCTTGCAGCTGCCGCTTGACGGAATGCATGAGCGCGGAGTCGCGGTGCTCGGTGTTCCGGAACCAGTCCTCGTCCACAGCGAGGTCGCCGACGGGCTCCGTGACCAGAACCCAGACCTTGTCGCCCTCGTGGTGGTACGGGTAGGCCGCGTACAGCTTCGGGATGCGGATGTTCGTATATTTGCCTACGATGAGCGTGTTGATGGCCTCGTCGAGCCCGAACTTGACCACGTAGTGGTCGTTGATACGAATACCGCGGTGGGCCTGGAGGTGGTTCTGGAATTCGGGCTGCTGAGCCAAGACGTCTGGGCCCGGAAGCTCAAAAGGCAGTTCCTCCTCCGGGGCGTAATAGGGAAGCTCGGGGATTCTGAGAGTCATCTTGCCTGTAAGTGATGACAGATGGAACTTCAAGTTGAACATAATGGAATCTCTGATTATTGATGCAAATTTGAGTGTAGTGGTGATAGTGATAGGTATCATGAAGATGATGATGAGAAGTTTGTTAATTCCATGGTTGCGATGATGACTTATATATAAATATCCTTTACTGGATCACGATAACTTCATACCGCAACATAATGTCCGGTATTCTACGGCAGTGTTGTATAGAAACGGGCATTAAGTTTCACGACTAGATTATATCAAAATTATGCCTGGTGTTTTGATATAGCAAATTTGTACAGATGGTGTATATCAGGGTCATGGTACACTTTTTCTGTCTTTGAATATCAACATCACAGAAATCTTTCTAAAAACTGCCTATTGTTTTTTAGTTCAAGAGGACGGCGTATTGTCATTACAAATAGCCATGTCTAGGGTTTATATGCCGATGTTATCGTGGGGAAACATCATATAATAATAATAATACGGCGAATACCTAGGTACTCAATAAGGGTGTATACTCCATTCCCATCCCTTATTAGAGCTCGACTCTACCTTAAAACAGCCCACTCGCAAACCACGCCCCATCTTCCCTGTCCCGGGACCACGACCTCCCAACTCGGCCCCCCAACACCCACCACCGAGCCAGGACGCACCTCGAGCCCCTTTTCCAAACCCACCACCTTCTGGCTACCCGCCAGCACGATCCTTGCGTTCCTACCAGTCCCATCGCTTTCCCATCCATCCTTTTCCTCAGCTGTATTTAAACCCCCATCCTCCTCGCCCGTAACACGCCGCCCGGTAACCAGCGTCATACCCGCCGACCCTTGGACCCCATCCACCAAGATCCGCGCGATCCACCCCCCTTCCCCTTCCCCGTCGCGCCGCGCCCCGACGCCGACGGTCGTTGCGCCGGCCCACACGTCGACGAACCAGTCGCGCACCGAATCCGCCAGGCCGCCCGGTATGTACTTGGCGCCCCTGCGGCGGTGCGGGGAGAAGGCGTCGGGTAGCGGGTCGCCGCGGAAGGGTCCGGCCTCCGGCGACTCGACGGGTTTGAAGCGCGGCGCCTTGTGGAAGACGGGCTGCTGGGCCGAGGTGGAAGGTCTGGGGAGAGTGGGCTCTGGGGTTCCTCCGCGATCTGTTGTTAGGTCGTGGGACAGTGGGGAAGACGGGTCGAAGTTGTCGAGCATGATGGTGTCTTCGTCTTCGTCTTCATCTTCGATTTTAATTTTACTATTACCATTACCATTGTCATTGTCATGGTCGTGGTAATTATCATTGGTATCACTATCGTAACCATCCTCGCGCTGTGGAGAGTCGTGGGTATTACTACTCAAGGCGGAGGATATGGATATGCGCCGGCGTTTAGGAGAACGGATTTTTATGTCCCCTCCGCCGTCGCTGCTTTCGTCATATATGTTGTTGGGTTCTCGCACTGGCGAGGACTCTAGCACAGCGTCTACGTCCGTGTCTACATCGAAAGCCTCAATGGGGTCGTGATAATTATTGCCGCCCCCTTCTCCCGATTGCTGTTGCTCGTCTAGGGATGGCGGAGAACTGTCGATGGCATCGTTAATAGGATCCGTGGTGCGCGGAGTGGGCCGATAGTAAGTCCCGGCTCCGGTCTTACCGGAAGCGGAAGCGGGAGCGGGAGTGGCAATGCTAGAAGGCGGACGAAGCGATGAGTTTTCCCCTCGAACCCCCGGACCCCTAGGCGTTGAATAGAGAGAGAAGCGTGGGGTAGCCTGAAATTGGTGTCCGCCACCGCTCTGATATGCCTGAGGAGTCTCATTCCTAGGCTGTGACCTCCTTGGCACCAAAAACCGACGTGGCGTGGGGGTCTAGCGTGATCGGTTAATAGGAGGTACGTACCATGAATGATGATCGTTAACTTCGTTTGAAACTTACAGCTGGTGGCGGTGCCATAGTGTTTTAGATAAACAATCAGTTAATGAGCTCCCGAGACATGCTTGCTGATGCTAGGTCGGCGCAGCGTCGCCCCTCTACCTATACGAATAAGTGGACTCTAGGTTTTCAGACTGTAGGCTTTCCATCATTGATAAGAGGTTGCGAAGTTTAGTAATTCATGGATGATTATTATTGCTACACTTCACATGGTGGTGTTTTATGTAAAACGTGAGAGTTGCTATAACCGCAACCGCAACCGTGACAATGGGCAGTAAAGACTTATAATCGCTATAATGACGTTGAAGGTTAAACTTCGGCAATACTGATTATGCTTACATAAGGCAACTGTTTTACCCCTTTTTCCTGGCTCCGGCCTGTCTGGCCTACAAGGTTGGTGTAATTTCTAGATGGTATACTAAACATTAAGCCATTTCAAAGGAATCTCCAGTCGAGGATAATCAAAGGTCTGATATCAAACAAGAAAGCACGGCATCCTTATCAATACAATAATCAATTGAATATAATTGTCTCACAAATGCTATAAGCCTAACCTCCTAATTTGGGTAGTGTACGAAATCACGTACGTATCATTATATCTCAATTCCGTCGCGCTTACATATATACCTGATGAGCGACCCTAGACGCCAACGCCATGCAACCAACCTATCTTCGTGAGGTATCCCTTATGCAACGCCCTCTGAATGTAAAAAAAAAAAAAAAAAAAACAGTTCTTTCTACTCAAACTTCCCGCCACCGAATAAGCCACCAACAACTTTACTCCTCCCCTCAGCTCCCTTCCACTTCTTCGCCTCGCGCCTTTTCTCCGCCTCCGCCACTGCGGCCCGGCGCTCATTCTCTCGCGCGAAGTAGTTGATGCCCGAGCGCTTGCCCGCCGTCTTCTTCAGAAGTTTGCCGTCGTCTCCTCCCGCTAGGCTACCCGCAGCTGTAGGGGCGCTACTGCTGCTTGTTGTACTGGTTGAAGAATTCGACATGAGCGAGTTTGTTGTTGCTCGCCTCAGTAGTGCTGGCACTTTGAACAAGCCACTGCTACCTGATGCCGATGGAGCTGCGAATGCGAGACGTGACGAGCCCGCTCCACCGTTGCTACCTGTGGATACGGAAGAGGAATCCCGCTTGAGCTTAATTCGGTCAACCACTGTCACTTCTGACTGTCGGTTCTCTTTATTAGATGAAGAAGTGGTTGGTCGCTCTTCGTCTTCACCGTCAGATCCTATTTCTGTTGCGGGGATGACCGACATAGAAGAACCATTGGGTTCGTCAAGCAAGTCGGATAATTCCCTGCGGACATCGGTGATTGACGAAGGGCGAACACCTCCTCTAGTGCGTCGTGCGTTTGGAGGCGGGCGTGCTACGTGGTCGTCTGCGTGTGTGCGCTTGCGATCTCCGTTCGTAGGTTGACTGTTCGGGATCGATCGCTCTGCTGCTGATTTATCCTGTCCCTGGTTCTGACTTTGGCTATCGCTGTCCGCGCTCTCAGGACCTCCATCCGCAAAGTTCTCACCGAAATCCCATTCATCGTCGCTATTTCTGTCCTCTATGCTCTTAAGGAACGCGGCGTTGCGTGGATTTTCGGCGATCTTTTCGATACGCTCATCCGCAAACAGAGCCTTCTGCATCTTAGCAAACTGTCGCCGCTTCATACGACGTCGGGCTTCCCCCCCATCGTCAGAGTCAGACAGATCGAAGTCATTATTATCACCACCACGGCGTCGCTTGCGTAGCATTCCGGTTGTTATGTCACGGAATAGCTTGTCGACCTGAGCCGCGTCGGCTGCTCGTTCTCTATCACTGTAGTGTCATTAGCATTTATGTCATTAGATATTGAAAGATATTACTTACGCGAAGAAGCTAGCCAACTTAGCAACGTCAGCGTTGTTGTTAGCGACAGCATCATCTATCATTTCCTTGACGAGCTCATCGTCTTCTTCGCTAGAGTCTTCGCCGTCGGCTCCACCGAGCCCGGCATACTCATCTTCGGATTCTTCGGCTTGCTCCTCAATCATTTCACTAGCCTTACTCTTCTTCTTGTCAAACTTCTCTTGCATGCGCTTCTTCCTCCTAGCTGCCTTCTGCATTAGTCTAAATGCATTCGCGTCCGCCTCGGCATCTCGAGGTAAGGTGCTAGGGCCGGCGCTGGGACTCGCAGGGATATTTGTCGCAGATGTCAGAGTGGAAATCGAGGCTATACTTTCGCCTCGTTGTCTAAGCCTGCCCGTTCTTCGGACTAAAGGAGACTCTTCAATTTTATCATAATCAGGGGTTCCACCTAATAATACGGTATCAACTGTGGACCCTGGAGCGTCGACAAACCGCTGCTTGAGTGGGGAAAAGTCCTGGAAGCCCGCATCCTGGGTTGGTTCGATGAGATCTGACGCTTGCGTTCCGTCTATTTGCATTAAAGTATCGAAGCCATGCAATTGCGACTGAGAAAAATGCAACTGAACACCTTGCGTTTGCGTTTCCAGTGGTTGCGTATCCATCTTCTGCAACTTTTGACTGTCGAGAACCATGTTATCTTGAGACTGAGACTGACCTGCTGTGGCGGAAAACTGAGAGTCGGGGAAGTTATCGAGACTAGGCATAAACTTTTGCGGGGATCCGCTGGCAGGTCCTACTTGACTATCATCCATAGTACCAGCAAATATCTGGGTAAGTCCCATGCCTGCGGGCCCAGCTGCGGGAACGGGGAGTCCGGGAATAAATGTCTTCCTAGCTGAGCGGAGGACGGATGTAGGGATCTTAGGAGAGGAGTTGGTGGCTGATGGAGACCTGGGGTGAGCCTTGGATTTTGGAGTGGCCTCGACGTCGTCCTCATCATCGGAGACGACGGTAACGTGCTTCTTGGACCGGCGGAATTTTGCAGGTGGGAGCTCGACGTCGGCCTCGTCATCAGAAGCTACACTCGCGGTGGCCTTTGGCGTGTGCTCTTCCTCTTCAGAGTCGTCATCTTCCTCCGCTTCATCCTCGAACATGAGATTCTTCGCATGCTCATCTTCATCTTCATTATCATCGTCATCCACCTCGTTTTCCTCCTCTGACCCGGAAAGCTCAATCTCGGCGGGGTCCTCGTCTCCAGTATCTTCAAAACTATCATCATCACTGTCATCCCAAGCTAGAGGATCGCTTTCACCATTCTTCTTCCCTTCTTTACGTGCCTTCTTCGCATCTTCACGTTCTCTCTGCATAATTTCCTCAGCCTCTTGTCGAGCCCGGGCAACAATGTCTTCGACCTGTTCCCTTTCCCGTTGCCGCTCTTCCTCTGTTTGCACGGTAATGCCCTTGGATTTGAGGTACTCAAGACGTCGTTCGCGTTCCAACTTCGCCTGAGCTCTTGCGCGCTGCTGTAGGGTCATTTGGAGTTCAGCAGGGGTCATTGAGGGTTTGGTCTTGCGGCCTCTTGACGTTTCTCTCGGTGGGGAGGAGAGATGGGCTAAGCGGCGTAACACATCTATAGATTTGGATTCCTGTGTCTTCTTTTCGGGAAGCTTATCGAATATTGCATCTATCCTTCCCTTCTTCGACTTGGTGATCTCCAACTCATCATCGGATTCTATCGTAACAAGATTTGCTTGCATCGGAGGTAGCTTAACTCGGATTTGACGCTTCGGTTTACCTGTCCCGGTTCCCTTCGTCTCGGCGGGTTTATCCGATATGTCGACGGCTTTACCTTTGCCCTTGTCTTTTTGGCTTTGTGCCAAAGCGACTTCTAAGCTAGGCAACTCGCCATCATTTCTGAATACATCATCTGGATCTATATAAGTATTTGGGGCTGTAGGTGTAGCGACATGGGTTTCCGTAGTCTTCGGAGCAAGAGGTGGAGAGCTGGGGGGAGTTCCAGCATCTGCCATATCAATATCCGTCTGCTGCACTGAGCCAGGCGTTGTTGGTCTACTTGAGCTAGTCGGTTTAGACTCAGCAGTTACTGCCTCGGTCCTAAAGTTGAAGCGTTCGAATAGAGACGCTTTCGTGATCTTTTTCTTCGTCTTTGCTTCGTGAGCAAGTTGTAAACTGCGGCTTAGTCGTTGCGTTTCGCGGTTCATCTCTTCCAAGGCCTTCTTGCTGGCTTTGCGAGAAGGACGAGAAACTTCCTGGGTGAGTTTACGACCACCGTCATCATCTGTGACATCAGATACGTCATCGTCGACATCGGATTCAGTAGGCATTTGCTGGCCGATACGCTCTGCACGCTCTTTGCGCTTGCGCTCCTCTTCCGCTTCCCTAGCCAGCCTCTCTTGTCGTTTCCTAGCTACTAGGGCTAGGAAGCGTTCATTTTCCCCCAAGTTCGCCGGCAACTCATCATCCGTATCTGATTCAGCTCCAGTTCCAGACTGACGGGGTACCCTCGGCGTCTCAGGGGCCGGCGTGACAAAGAGACCGGGCGAAGGCGGTATGTCGGTATTTGAAGCGACTTCTGGAGTAGAGCTTCGAATGGGCCTAGCTAGCCGTCTACGCGGCAAAATAGTAACATCATCGTGGTCGTCGTCGTCATTATCGGCGTTTACCGACTCTTTATTCTTATTATTATTTGTTGAGGTGGTATGTGGTTGTGCAGGCTCAATTGAGGTCTTTGGTGTGGTATCATTTGTCGTATCTATATCCATCGCTCTCATCCGCGCGGCAAGACGTCCTCTAGGGCGAACGATCTCTTCTTCAGCATCACTATCTTCCTCTTCATCTTCATCTTGAATGGAGTGCGATTCTGTATTCGCGATAATACTCTTATCAATGGATTTTGATAAGATATTTGTATTTATCGCAGGGCTAGAATCGTCATCTGAGTCTGCATCATTCACGGTGGCTAAAAGGGCCTTAATCTTAGACCGAGGTGATAATAGTGGTGATGTAGGTGCGGATACGCCTTCGGCCGGCGACGGTGACCGAGTAGATGCCATTTGAAATATCAATGCTTAACAATAAAATTGCAATTGATAGTAAAATGACCTCAAGAAAACATTGTATGGAGGATTAGAAATATAATGGCAAGTTTAACATGTAACTTGTGTTTGTTTCTAAGGTTGGAAAGTTGTAAGTGGGGGCTGGAGGGTTTATCAATGGGTTTAATTGATTTCATACTGGAGCTTTTCCCCCCTGTACGCGCTTTAATGAGACGCGTCTTTCGCGTCGAGCTTCGCGATTTATATATGCAGCAATCCGAGCATATTGTGGGGCTACTCAAACCTCGAGATGACGCAGAGCCTCAACTATTGCATAGGTACGTCATTACGCATATTCAGATTAATGGATTTATTTTCCACGAAGTTCCTAAACCTTGGGCCAATCGCACAGATATATACTATTACAGACCACACTATTGCCTCCAATTAGACCCTCTTGGGATTTCCTTTTATCCATCGTGCGAAATGGCCTTACAAGAACTCGAACACTATTCCATAGCGTAGCGTAGGGGGTATCGCTGCAATAGAGTACATATCCACCAGAGAGTAACGCCAAAGCCGACCACGGCTGCTTGCCCTCGTTTTTCAATGTTCGTACACATGCCAAAGCAAAAATGCAACATAAGACCAACGCCCCCAACCCCTATGCTGATGCAAATCCCCTTTTCCTAAAGGGGTGGATGACTTCAAATGACTTCAATATGCCGGCCCCAAGAAAGCAGGCAAGCTGTTTTTGCCGCCGTATATAAGACCAACTACTATGAGGTGTTTCCCGCAATGCACACGGAACACACAAAGAACCAACGGCACTTTAGTGCTTTTGTGCCGACGATGTTTCGGCGGCCTCCTCTCCTTCCTAAGGGACTGCGAGGCATGAATCCAAAACATTGTCCAGCATTGACGTATCTTCGACGCTTGCACCCTTCCATGGCATCGGCTCTTCGTCTACGTCCATTGCTTCCGGGTCGGCACCGCCATTCACAGGACCATGTTGACCAGCACCATTAACGCTTGAGTCTTCGTGATCCCTTGGTTTCTGGCCGTGGAGCCAGGTGTAGTTGTTATAATTCTCGAGCTCGCCATCCCTATAAGTGTGCAGGACTGCTTTTCTGATGATAGGGAACGAGCTTATGCCACAATCACCGATGTCAAGAGCAAGCCGCAAATCGGCCATGCTGATGGGGCGCCGCTCACTAGCAGCTTTCGCCTCGATGGGTAGAAGTCCGCTCTTATCTCTAGACAGCTCTCCCCTAGAAAAGGCTTCCTCTTCTCGCCTTAATTGGCGGCGATACTTGTGGGTTTGAATCCAGTTGGCCCCAGAACCAAAGCCAGCACTCCCAGAATCACCAGGCCCATTACTCCTCGTTCTGCTGAACACCGTTGAGAGAAATTCTTTCATGAAAGTTTCGCTGGCAACGGTCATGAATTGGGCAGCATCGGCTGCATGTCCATTAACGAGTCCGTGTTCGTAGCAGATCGGTAACATCCTCGATTCAACCGATGTTACGTCCGGAAACTCGCCTGATTCTACGGCTAAGGGTTGCGCGAATCGCTTGCGAATTTCGAGGTCCCAGTCTGTATTTGTGATGAGTACAAAAGAAGCAACAAAAAAAAAAAAAAAAAAAAAAAAAAAAAAAAAGGAGGCCGGTCTGTATCATTTGGGAAGAGGCGACTTACTCATCTTGTTCAAATCATTAGCATTGGCACTTTGAGGAATGTCTGGCACACGAGCCATTCTACTTCGGTGGTGTTCCGAAAACACAGCTGCCAGCGGTTCGAATGGGTCAAACTATGTAGAAGCTTATTAGTCGTCGTAAATCTGTAGCGCATCGTAACGAATTTCCACTCACGTCATTCTGGGCAAGTTCCTTGATGCGTCTTCGATCGCGACTCGGAAGTTGCATGACTTCTCCTTTTAGTTTTCGTTCGGCAGCATCGCCGGTCACGGGCTTAGCGCCGACATTGGTAGCGGGTTTGTCATTCGCAGAAACCCAAGGCGCAACTCCTTGATCTGGCATTTCCCTTGTAAGGTTTCCGTATATAGCAGCAAGAAGCTGGTTGTGAAGGTGAGTCTTGTCGCCATTGGATAGTATGGGATCGATACGTTCGGAGTATTCTGCCTGGTTCAAGCGTCCTATAATATGGGTAAGTTTTATTGCAAGAGAAGAGACAAGCTTAACAAAGACTGACCTATTATAAACTGGGTGGTGGATTCTTTGTAGATATTCCATTGTTCATTGCCAATTGCCGATTTAAGGGCAGTATAAAGAGGTTCGAGATCGATGCGAGCGGGGATGATTTGACTAGTTTTGGTCACTTTCTGGGCAGAGGGCGCAGAAACCGTTATCGATTTAAGAGTCGGGGTGGAAAGGCTAACAGATGGGCGGCTTAGAGCCGCAGGATCTATGTCGGGCATGTTGATATTAGAGATATTGGAGATATTGGAGGGTCGGGGGGAAGTCGGGGTTATCGGAGTTGTGTTTTTTTTTGTCGTATCGTGTCGTATCGTGTTGTGCCCGTTGTGCCGTGCGGGTAAGGCGGTGATTAACAAAATTATCGATTTTGACGGCCCAATTCGGAAATGTCGATAGTTGGTGATACGACAAAGCGCGATGTTGGGCGGGTTATGCGCGGGATGTCGCGAGTGAGCTATGAGCACAGCGCAGCCCGAAAAAGGGTTTAAAACCCGTTCATCGAGTGCAGTAGGTTAATGCGATCCGATAACCAATTTTAAAATGATGAAAAGAGGTATAGGATACGTTAGTATTTGATGAAAAATGAGCCGCCTTTTTTGGTAGCCATTAAGCGGGAGGTTTGGGATGTCGTCTAAATTGGAAAGCAGCGTTGAAGCGGTTGCTAACTTTTGATTGGGGTTCTGGGGGGCCTAGCCTACGGTGGATTTCCCGCTTGGGGGGAGAGATTTTAAGCTTACACGCCCAAAAAGTACAATACAATGCCTACCTAGAACTTGATTAAACCATTGGTAAGCATTAGCGCCTATGCTAGTTGTTACCTTAGCTGCATGTGTGTTACCAGGACACACAAGCTTTCAGCACCTGGGTCTCTTCTAGCCTGAGCCCCTCCACCAGATCTACTACAGGTAGGTAGGTAGGTAATGTACTGTAGCAGCTCAGCCCTAGTTGACGTACTTATTAGAGTTCATTTCGTCCCCTTCGCGTCGCGTGGATTTGTTAAATATTTCAGATGATTATGTATACTATGTATACGTAGAGGTACATATATTCTACAATACATCGTCTTAAAAAAATAAAAACATTCCGAATTTACCTAATACTCGCTACCCGCTAGTTACATTTTATAAGTTACCTTACCTATATCTCTCGAACTATACTTCAAATACTTCAAAATGACACAATGTCCGGGTCAAATCAGGACAGAACAAAGCGTGTTGATCTTAGCATCAACCGCTTAATTGCCCAACTTATACCAGACGATCCACGATTGAGCGATGAAGATGCACAGGAAAGACATGATTTATATTTTGACGAGATTAAACAGCAACTAAATCAGTAAGAAGCCGCCCATAACTACCTAACCTAACCTATCTACTAGTTGTTGTCCAGTACCAGTATAAGAATAAATAACAGGTAGTCAGTCACTTTAAATCATTAACATTAACATTATTTCTTTCCCAGACCACGACCACCTCCCTTAGCCGACCAGAATCATGCATCCGAACTTATCAGAAGAAGGTTGGTTCAAACGAACCCGAGCCAGGCCCTTCGCTACTCCAATCTTTACTCGAGGTTGCTGGCGCTGCCTGTCCTGACCCAAAAATGGGCTATGCTCTACCTCCTGTATCAATTGGCCGACTCGCCCGATCCGACAGAACCAGATCCCGTCGCCTTTGCCGAATTTCAGCAGGAGCAGGCCAAGCGGAGGAAACGAGAGGAAAGAGAAGAGGCAGCCCTAGGTGGTCCTTCCAACCAAGAAAGTTCCGAAGTGTATAGGCGGGAGCAAAGCTCGGACGAGTACCATCCCACCGAGCTTCGAGACGTACTTAAGAATCCAAAAGATATGAAGTCCCACGATAGCGACTCTCAGCGACCCTCGACTGCCGGTGAATACAGACGCGCCAGAGCTGCCAGAGAGGAGACTCCAAGCCCTGCCAAGAGAGAAGTTGCTATAAAATCTAAGCTGCTGGCTGATAATTATTTCGATATCGACCCTTCAGAGCCGGCTCTCTTACGAGATATCCCCTACACCCTCCAAGGCCTTTCCTCAACTACTCTCCCGTTTGGGAAAGATGATTCCCTGAAGTTACCTGCTACCCTTCCGCCACCCCTAATCGGACTTCTTCATACACTCGCCGAACCATCTTTACTCTACCGCACTCTCGAGGAATTCGTCAAGACGCCCGCGAAGGGCCTTTTGGGTCAAAGTCTCCGTGCCGCTATCAGCGATGAGTTACGCTCGTATCTAACGCTCGTCGCGACGTTGGAAGGTCAAATTCGGCGTGCATTGTCTACTATTGACGAAAATGCGCCACGAAATGGCATTGGCAAGGCCGGTGTGACCTTAAAACGTTGCGTCGTATGGACTCGCGAAGCCACCATGGGTCTACGACTCATGAGTATGATTGCCGAAGAGTCTAAAAGCAAGAAAGGTGGCCAACTCATCACTTTAATTCATTCATTATCCTCGTCGCATGGTGATCCTATAGTAGGCGCCTTCGCTGAGCGTCTCCTAATGCCTATTACTCGTCCTTTCTATGACATATTAAGGCAATGGATATACAACGGAGAGCTCTCAGACCCATATCTCGAGTTCTTCGTGCAGGAGCAGTCGGTAGAAGCTATGCCTAAGGGCAAGTCGGGATCTATTAACGTTTGGGAAGATAAATACATATTAGCGGCAGATATGGTCCCTTCTATCATCACAAACGAGTTCGCTGAGAAGGTCTTTCTCATCGGTAAATCTCTCAACTTCATCCATAATAGCTGCGGCGATGCGCAGTGGGTCGAGTCGTACTCTAAGGAGTCCTCTAGGGAGTTACGCTACGGTGACACGGCCACTTTGGAAACATGGGTTGATGAAGCATATAAAACTACAATGCGTCGACTACTGCATCTTATGACGAACAAATTCCACCTCTTTGAGCACCTCCAAGCACTCAAGGACTATATCCTCTTAGGGCAGGGCGACTTCATCTCCCTCCTAATGGAGTCTCTCGCTGCGAACCTCGACCGCCCAGCAGGCGCTCAGTATAGGCACACCCTGACAGCTCAGTTAGAGCATGCCATTCGCGGGTCCAATGCGCAGTATGACTCCCAAGAGGTTTTACGCCGCCTCGATGCACGTATGCTGCAGCTCTCTCACGGTGATATCGGCTGGGACTGCTTCACGCTGGAGTATAAAATCGACGCACCTGTCGATGTGGTCGTGTCCGACTGGGGCAACCGTCAGTATCTCAAGGTGTTCAACTTCCTATGGCGCATCAAGCGCGTCGAATTCGCACTCTCATCTACCTGGCGAAAAGTCACCACAGGCTCTCGCGGCGTCCTGCAGACAGACCACCCCGCGGTCCGCCAGGCCTGGAAAACCACTCGGGGTTTTCTCGCCGAGATGGTCCACTTTGTCGGCCAGCTCCAATACTACATCCTGTTTGAAGTCATCGAAAGTTCTTGGACAGAGCTCCAGGAAAAACTACACAAGGAGGATGCTACCCTCGACGACGTCATTACCGCCCATTCGAATTACCTCAACTCTATCACTCATAAGGGTCTTCTGGGTGCCCGCCGCCGCCGCTTCGCCGGCTCAAACGCCGGCACGTCCACGTCCGCATCTACCTCCGCGGCGGGCGCCGCAGGCGCAGCGCCCGTCGAAGAAGACGACAACAGCTACATGATCCAGCTGGGGGAGCTCCTGCGCACGATGCTCGCGTACCGCGAGTGCGTCGACGGCTTGTACTCGTGGTCCGTGTCGGACTTCACCCAGCGCCAGGAGGCGGATCTCCGACACACAACTCCTCCCCCTCCGCCCGAAGACCCGGCCTCCTCCGTCCCGGGGGGTCCGCATAGCGAGTTCCCCGCGCTCAGGGAGCGCCTGCGCCACCTCGGTGACCGCTTCCGAGCGAAGCTCCAGATCCTCCTCGGCGACCTCGCGTACCAGGCCGACGTCGACCTCCGCTTCCTCGGCGTCGCGATGAATTTTAACGATGTTTATCAGCCCGTGCGCCGCAAACCCAAGGGCCCGCCGGTGCCGGGGACCGCGCAGTCGAGTAAGAGCGGCGGTGGCGCTGGGAAAGATGGTGAGGCGGGAGTTACTGCTGGGGCTGGGGCTGGGGCTGGAATTGGAACTGGGGCTACTGGGACTGGGAAGGGGGTTAAAGGGTGATGATTATGAGTGAGTGGGTTGTTGTGGTTGTTGGTTGGTAGTATCTGTTCGAGGGATAGTATCTTCAAAGCTACCAATAATAAAGTTTGTATCGAGCTAAAAGCTACGAGGCGTATTATGTCTTTCTATACACTTTTCTGAATGTCCTAGCCTCTTTGGTTTTCGCAAGAACATCATGGAATCAGTGTCACCGGCACACGTGAAGCATAGTACATGTATTAGAGCTGGTTCCGGGTCATGCCATGCCTCACAATGGCGAATAAGCTTTTTTTTTTCCTTAGGGCTAGTCGTCCGATCATGATAATAGATAGGGGTTGTGAATGATAAGACGCGAATAGTTTCAGAGTGATAGTTGAATATATTGTTTGTTTGTCAGTGTGGCAAGCAGGTCAGGTCTCATAAGATTTTGCCGTGCCACGAGAGTGAAGCAAGACCGCATCGCGTGATGATGATGATGATGATGATGATGGTATTAGCCAAATAAAAACAAGACCTAACCTAAACTACCTACGTGTAGTACAATACAAGTGACTAAGGAACCAGTCAGAAGAATGAAGACTCCGTACAGTGAAACTACCTAAGGGTATTTGGATTCTGGAATAATAATATTTTTTTCTTTGGTTCTTTTTCCTTTTTCCTATTTCCGCCTAGGTAACCCTGGGAAAAGTTAGTGAGAGGTAGTCAGTCACTTTTTTTACCCTTAGCTACCCACGAGTAACAAGACTACTACGATAGACTAGTTTCGTTCGCAAGTCGGAGAAATTCATAGCTCCAAAACCAAACCAAACAAGTTACCCTCTTAGGACTTTTCAAAACAAATACACATCATTCACAACAAACTTTTAGTCCTTCCTCCCTCTTTCTCGGAGATCAATCATTGACTTGACTTGACTTGATTTGATTTAACATGGCCATGCATGACATGACAAACGAAATAATATTTGGTATTGATGGTACCGAGAAACCTATCAACTTCTTCGACTACTGCCTTGACAAAAGAAACAAATCACACCCCATCGAAACCTTCACATTACAGAATCGAATCGAAGAATCGCAAGCGAGTAGCTCATGAGCAAATCATAGCATATCGTCATTCATACAGGTTTCGTAAAAACCGAGGACGTATCCGACCAATCCTCCTAGTCCTCTCGAGATGACGGTCCAGTTAGTCTGGGTAAGCTGATCTCTCTAAGCACAATTTTTTCCGTTTCTATATTTACACTGGTGCGAAGCCGAGTCTAGCAAAAGACGCCCCTCCGAATGCCCGTTTCATTACGGCCGTGTCCATTTTTTCCCCTTTCCATACCGTTATGTCGAAGTGAAAAAAAAAATGTTGTTGGAAACAGTCAACTCGTTAAAAAACAAAGGAAATTAGGACTGCTCGCCTCCGCCGAAGAGAAAACGCCGCCGTTACAAAGTCTCGGTCTCAAAGATCCGATTATGATGTCCATGATATATCGCCCCTTCGAGGTTAAGGTACTTGAAGAGTGGGAGGAAATATTCGACCGATAATGGTACGGACCAAAGAAATCCCCTGATGATATATCAAGGTCGTGAGGCATGATTCCCAACCGTAGGAACACCTGCGCCACCAAAGACCAATTGATGGTCAAAAACACTACCGTACTTGCCAAAGCAAATACAGGATAAATATCGTACTGCGATTAGGGTTCTAAATAGAACCAAATTGAGCATCGTTCAAGACGCAAAATTCAGGCACGCCATCACATCTCCAGTTGCGCGCAGATATATTCCTGGGCCAAATGCCAGAAACTTTATGACAGCCTCTACATATCCAGCCAGAGTCGGCCGATATACGCAAGGCAAAACAACACCTGCCACTGTGGCAAATGCAACTAACTCCATATCCAGTTCTAGGCCAGACCGAGCAAGATTCAGGTAGTCCCGTGGGATCAGTTGAAGGCTTCGAGCAAAGCGTTTACACATCAGTCATCTCCGTGTCTAGTGAGAGAGCAGTAGACACTTCATCCGCAGGGCCCCAATTTCCTTCAAAGACCGTCGCGGCAGCTCGTTGACGTGATGCGACCCAGTTGGCTGCTTCCAGATCGAGCAACTGGGAAACTGTGGGACGCATCATAGGGTCCGGCGTAAGCATCGACTTTACAATTATATCAAGGGAGTTAGGATGATCAGGGTCCTTCATGAAATCCGGAGGATGCTGGAGTTCGCTCTTACGGCCGAGGCCGAAAATATCAGCCGATTGGCGCGTGGCATTTCGGAAATTATAGCTGCGGCGTCCCGCAGGAGTAGCTCGGTCATCTCCAAACAAACCAACGCTACGTTCACTATCATCAAGCGGCATGCCATTAGCATCCCGCATGATTGCGCCCGCGTCTTGGGTGAGAACAGGAACTTCAGAGAAGTCACCCTCTCTCAACCCAGCCCAAGTTGTTCCGTTCTCAGGCAGCTTGACGTTGGCTGCAATTTCTAGCATGATTAGACCAAAGGAAAACATATCGGTAGGCTTTCCAATCTCTCCTCGAAGCGCCTCGGGTGCCAAATATTCGCGGTCTCCTTCTAGATCAGGGCCTTTCTCAATCGGCAAAGCTGTCGTTAAACCGAAGTCACCAATCTTCAAGGTACCTTCAAAGTTGATAAAGATATTGGCAGGTTTCAAATCGAGGTGGATATAGCCAGCATCGTGGATATGCTTCAAACCCTGCAATATGCAATATGTTAGTTACTCTTCACACGCAATCTACCGTCTTTATACGCACCTTGCCGATCTCGAGCATAATCTTCCAAATTCGGAAATCATCAAGTCGTCCCTTCAAGCCGACAAAAGATAAGAATGCATCAAGGCTACCCTCTTCGCAATACTCGGTCTGGATATAGAGACAGCCATCATCTTCCCAGCTGTTCGCAAGTTGAAGGATGTGATCGCAGCCTTTCAGGGTTTCCAATACAGACACTTCACGGAATCGAAGAGCTCGATCCTTATTGCCCTGAATCGGAAGGGTAAGTTTCTTCACGGCATAGACCTTGGTAGCCGGTGGAGGAGTTGCCCGATGAGTAGGAGTGCTGAAGAAGCTAGGCTGAATCATTCTTGCAGTCTGTGCGGCCTCGGTAACTTTATACACATATGAAAATTCGCCCTTTCCTATGAATTCTACCTTTCCAAAACGCTGAATGAGCCCCTCGTCCAAGTCGTGGGAATGCATACCATTGATAGGAGTAATGGCACGACGTTCAAAGAATGCCGGCATATTGTCGTGTCGGGTTGTCGGAGTCGCAGGTGGGAAAGCTGATTGTCTATCACCAGTGCCGGGGAACAAGAAGCCGTCATTTGCGTTTGAGATTGATAGACGACTTGCATCGAGAGGCGCACAGTTTCCCTGCGGAGTCCGGGGAGTTGTCGCCTTCTCTGCAAATTCCAGCCGTTCTAAAGGACTTGCTGTAATCACGGGGCTAGTCTTAGCAAACTGAACTTTGGTAGGGGACTTCACAAGAGGAGTCATCATCGAGCGTGTCTCGAGCCGCGCAGGCGAAGAAAACGAACCACGCTGAGCTCGAGATCGACTAAATGAAGGCAAAGAGAGACAAGGGTTGGGGTACGTCTCCTGAACAGCAGGTGTTGGCAGGTTCACAACCCCTTCGATAGGGGTAATGTTCCCTTCGCCTTTTCCGTCATTGCAGGATTGCTTTGGTAGATAGTACTTACGGCTGGCGGCAGAGTCTTGCTGTGAAGCTGCGCCGGATCCAAACCCAGACATGGAAGCAGGAAGACGGCGATTAGCCGTGGGGCTTTCGGTAGACAGTCGGCTCAGCCCGCTGGTACTTCGCGACGCGGTTTGCTGCTTTGTGGGTGTCGGCGGCAAATCTCCATCATTACTAGATTCACTTCCACCGAGCTTCTCCAAAGGACTGCGCCCATCATCACTACATACGCTAAATAAGCTCGCTCTTCGCGAATGGGTGCCGAATCCGTTGAAGAGCATAGGTCGAGGCTGATCGTTAAAGGGATTCTCAGATCGGTTCGGGGTCATAGATTCGAAAGGACTTGGTGGACGGTTAAAGGTATATTTGATATGCCTACCTCTGGCCTTGACATTGCCAGTCATAGGAGGAGGCGGATAGGTAGCAAAGCCACCAAGGGGCTTCTTGCAAGGTGTGTCGGGAACAGCCCCGTACGCACTAGCAGAAAACTTTGATGCGTTGTATTCCATCTTTGATACCAAGCCCGTGGATGCGAACGCCCCCTCATATGGCTTCTCGTTTTTATAGTCAGGGGTAGAAAGGCTTGCGATACCATGACTCGGCTTATAATGTTGGGGACGGATAGTACCACCAATTGGCAAGCTCTTGGAAAAGTTCATGGGCGCCCTCGATTTTTCAACAACGGGGACCGGAAAGTGCGTCGGTGAGTCATTGGAAAGACTTGAATTGGAAGACGACGTAGTCATAATACGAGACAATGGGTGTGGCTGCTGAGCTTGCTGGTTGAGCATATGCAAAGAGGGATTTGGCAGTGGAGATGGAGTATTGAACGGACTCTCTCGAGGGGGTGGAGGCATAAAGTGATCAAGAGACAATCGCGGTCGAGTTTTTCCATTAGGCGTACTGGTCTCGTTGGTGGGAGACTGCGATGATTGCGAAGAGCCCCGTCTTCCCCACGAAGTTCTCTCTCGTTGAGGGGTAGTAACTTCGCCAGAATTCTGAGATAATTGCTGAGAAGCATGGCGTTTGCCCCATGATGTTCGCTCTCGCTGCTGAAGAGTAGACTTTCGGAGAGAGCCAGCCCTGCGGATTGCCGCGTGAGATGCTAATGATGACGAAGGCTCGGAAACATTAGGGGAAACAGAGTTTGTCCAGTCATATTCTCGAGATGAATCATCTTGCGCATCGGCGCTTGGAGAGCCAGGGCCATGATCATAAACATTAAAATCGGCGCTCAAGCCATAACTGCGACGTTTGGGTTTTGGGCTCCCTGTAGAAGTCTGATCAAAATTCATTGTCGCGTCGCTTCGTTTTAGTGGGCTTGTGACAGAAGTTGTGGTAGTGCTATTGCCTGTGTCGCCAAATCGCGACCCAAACTGCGAGGACTCGGACATATCGAGATGCACACTGTGTCGATTGGTGGCCCTCTCAGCAGCTTTGCGCGGACCCGGGCTGCGCGTGCGGAAAATATTTAGGTTTTCCTGACCAGAGGGGACTGGTGCAAGTGACGGAATTGGCGTTAAGGGCGGATATGAATTACCAGAAGCAGAAGCTTGGGTTAATGCCCTTCTAGACGGGCTTCTTGGAGATGTTCGATGTCGAGAAATTGTTTTATTTGATGAAGCTGATGTTGGACTCTTTTTCGCTGATCGCAATGATAATTTTACGTTTGGGCGAAACGGCGTTGCAAGTGGTGACTGTGTATGTGGTTGATTTGCGGGGGGCGAATTAACAGAATTGTTTTGTCCGAAATATTGGGACTGAACGCGTCTAATGCACGGGGATGAAGGAGAGCTCGGGTCAGAACTGCTCTGCGATGTAGTTCGAACGAGTGCAAATTTTGATGGCGAACGCGAAAGTGATCTCCTTAATGATCTTAGACCTGCTTGTACATCCACGTGATGGTGCGGATGAGTTGGTGAGGGCAGAGTCAAAGTACCACCACTATTTGACATTTTGCCAGTCTGCAATCATGTGACAGTTATGCTGACAATATGCCCAGAACGTTCTATTGCCTAAAAAAAAAATTGTCGGCGACGTAGTTGACGACAAGTAAGTTAACGATCGAGACGAGAGCGACCGACAAATCGTTGAAGAGACGCCGACAATGAGGGACGCGTCAAGGGACCGGAACAGGGGTTCTGATTTAGATACTGCAACTAGCGACGACGGTAATAATCGTATAAACCGCTAGCTAGGATAGATGCTTCGTAGGTCAGGAATGCAAAAGAAGCAGTACTACTAATCGATCCAGGACATGTGGAATGTCAGACCAAGCAAGGGCAGTTTATGAAGACGTTTCTTCAACGCTTCATGCTGGAACAAGTTTTTTTTTTTTTTTTTTTTCGAGTTCGGGGTGAGACTATCGATTCACCACTTCCTTCCCTTGATATCTTCAGTTCTCTTTCGTTTTCGGTCGCGGAATACTAAAGTTTTCGATTCTCAGTTTCTCCCAACAATCACACGCAGAGTACACAAGAAACCGCCATTCAGTCTCGTCCGGCGCGATGTCGAACTAGGTGGGTTATTTTGGCTATAGGTTATTGGTTACGGAATAATACGTCGAGAAGGGAAAGGACGGCGGTAGCAGAGAGAGAAGTCCCACGGTAGGTAGGTATGTATGTAAGAGGTATGTAAGTGCGTAAGTAGGCGCGCGCGCAAACTCTTGACGGATCAACTGGTTGATTGTGGCGAATGCGACGAAAAAGATGGAGATGGGGGGAGGAGTTAACGGGAGGTTGGATCTGGAGATTTACTAGAAAAGGAGCGGTCGACAGGTCGCCAAGTGGGAAAGTACAGTACTTGATGTTCGCTAGAGTTCACTAGATCGTGCGTCAGAAATGCAGAGCCTAAACAGGGGTCACTGGTTCGTGAAAGCGCGTTTTGTTTATTTCGTGACGCGCGTGTGGAGGCAGGTACGCCACTAAGCAGGTACGTTTTTTTATCCTTGTGCCCTAAGAGTCAAGACCGTGCGTCACATTTTAATCATACTATATACTTTATACTTGTAAGTAGATACATACATTTGTACATTAGGTCGTACCTGTATCGCATGTACCTTAGGTACTTTTGTTCAGTCTTTTGCAGACCGCTCTGTTCTTGACCTCGGAGGTTTTTTAAGAAAACTGCAGATGCAGTCCTCCTTTCTAATTAATATTGGCCATGATTTTTTTATTTTTATTTTTTTTGGCTTTGTTTTTGTCCATGATGTTACTTAAATCTTGTCCGTTAGTGAATAAAACATTACATACAAGCGGTGGAAATACCAGGTAGGTTAGGTAGTCAGCATACATGTAAGTAAAGGTCGGCTACCTCCTTCGTGTCCGCACTGCATTGATTTTAACTCCATTGTTCAACATGAGGTTTCAGTTCACGAAATAAATATATGTACGTACGTAGTTATTGTTTTCTTTATGTACTTATTGAAAAAAAAAATATCTAACCAACATACCTATGTAGCCACATGGATATGGATAGGTAAGGATGCCTAGGTAGTATCCTGTTGATGTGCGCGCTGATCCGGGAGCCTATCCTAACCCTACCTCCTCCTACATACATAGGAGGTACGCTACCAGTTCTGAGTATTGTACAATACTGTCATCCCGCCTTGCCCACCTGCAGCCACCCCAGCTGCGGGCAATGTAGCTGTAGCCTCAAACAACCCCCACCAGTTATCAGCCCGCATCGCCGGATTGTTCAAACACGGCGCCAGCCACCAATACACTATGGCCATTAATTATAGCCTCCCCTATTTTTCTTCCCCTTTCCTCTTTTGAAAACTTTTTTTTCTCTCCCATCTGTCTTACGAGTTAGGGTCGTCGTCGGGAAATTCTAGAACTGATCACCTCTTTACGAAACTCGTCACATTTCCCCTTATTAAAAACGTCGTCTCGGTGGTAAGAGATATACAGTATACAAGGCGATATTGGCCAGAAAGGGAAATAAACAAATAATCTAAAAGTAAATAGTAATCTTAATACGACGGGCGAACTATTATGATCTCATTATTGAGATTCATGCACGGTTGGAGGCGTTTAGAGGAAGAGGGAGGGTTGAAATGCTTGTTCCCTCCCCCAACTTCCATGTTCCCTGCTTGGGAAGAAGAGGAAGAAAAAAAAAAGAAAAGAAAAAAGCTTGGGCCACATGGGTTTTTATTCCTTTTGCTTCTTTTTTAAGATGATCTCACATCATCACATGCACAAGCATCCCGCCTTGGCTCTATCCACACGTGCAGTGAACCACAACAGGAAGCACAGACGGATGTAAGCTGGATTACTTTTCACAGCATAAGCTTATACCTTAAAAATAAAATTAAGTCGATATATGATACTATGCCCAAGTCGCGGTGGGCGTCAATGCCCATCTATCACCAGATAAGAACAGTCCGGGGTAAATGATTATTTTCCAAGTCGCATCGCATCGCATCGTATCGCATCGCGTCCGCATTACGAATTGGGTATGCTTCTAGACTTTCCGCGACAGGTTGCAAACAAGAGGTCTCGGCACTGCCGCGCAGTCTCAGTCAATGTTTCCCATCTTAACTCAGGTTCGCCGCGGATTGTATTACTTCGAAGTTTTTGACAAGTCTCACGGTTTGGGGCGTCAGGGCGTTTGTCAATCGCATTATGACGGTTTGTGACATTTATGACAGTTGGGTTACATGTTACCTAAAACCATTATACCGTCTAATAATGTTTCGGGTTCCTCCACTCGTGGTACGTAGCACTAAACAACGTCCGTGGTCTTTTAAAGTTTTAGGCAGTGGGCAGCGGCAGGAAGCGAACAAGCATACCTACAGGCTACATAAGCATATACCTACAAGCATATGTACAAGCATACAAGCATATTTTTGGAGTCCGAGTGTCTTGATAAAGAGTATCTACCCGTTCGTCGAGATAACGCTTTCCGAGATCCGACACTCCTTTATAATCTTCTTTTTTTTTCTTATCGTCAATCTAATCGTCCTTTTTCTCCGTCGAGCAACCCCATCGCGGGGCATTGACATCACAAAATACCTATGTACCTAAAGGTTAATACATATAATATAGCATGGATTGGCCTGATTGATAACAGCGCAAACCAGTTCAAACTTTCAATACAATTTTGGTGATAGAAATAAACGCTCAATCCCTCTATGCCCGATAGTTGCTTGCTCATCAGCATCCAGAAAGAATACTACTCCAATGTATCGTACCAGTCCAATCCTCCTTTGCTCTGGAATAGCTTCAAATTGCCGATGGGGAAATCTACGCCGCATACGTACATAATTTAAAAGTCCGTTGCCCCAATTTACGCAATGTGGACTACCAAAACGGGATAACCCGCAATCAATTACCCTCGTATAGTATAGGGTTCAGTCTACATCCCACATCCTCCATTGGGCACACATAGACTAGGTATAAAAATACCCTTCAAGTTGGTTCGTCGTCGTATGAACAGACGTTATATTTCGTAGCTGCAACTACCACCTTCAGGTTCCTCCCACGTAAACCTCAACTTTACGTGCCACGTACGCCAGTCTGTGGAGGTTGCGAATGGAGGCGTAAGACTGCGGACTTACAGCTTATACAACAGTGGTTCTTCCCGTTCTACATCTCCGGGTCCAATTCTATATCCCTTCAAACGCTCCTAGTATTGTTAACGGCTCTCTGGGGGCTGCATTAGCATCTTTACCTGTGCAGTTTGACTGGTGCCACGCTAGCTTTACCAATTCCTCATTCTCCTCCGCCGCCGACGCCGCTTCGGCCCCGTTCCCATAAATTGAGGGGTTATTTCTCCCAAGGCCAAAGTACTATTCGACCTCCCAGAATTCACTTATATCGTCTTACCAAGTAAGTGCGTGGGTGGGTGATGGTGGGTTAGGTTAGGTAGGTATCGTGTAGTTTGGGCATCTTCGCCTCGCACTCTCTCTCATCTGAGTCACACAAGCAGGAAGCAGGAAGCAGGAATCGAGTGAAGTGCCTCCCGTGCTTCCCGCAATGCCCGTATTTTTACTGCTACGTGAAAAAGCAATATAGAGACATTTTCTGATTGATCAGGTTACTAAGTGACGCCATCTTCACCCGTGATCGATAAACGGAGATGTTAGACTCCTCGGGGATCACCCGGATCTCCGCCGGTAGGTAGATCAAATGACCTTGTCTAAGAAATTCGCGGGCTTCGAATCAACGTCATATATTTTTTTGAAGAGCCGTCTGTTATGGGTAAGACAACAATGATGCAACTCGGGTAGAAGAGTGGTAGTAAGAGATAGCTCGATGAGCTCTCCGGTTTCCTCACCTTAGGTAAAGGGAGAGTGAGAGAAAACAAGGGGCGCTGGCTAGGCCCAAATAAATAGTTTTCGAGTATACTAACCGCCCAAACATCATCCTATGTAGAGTACATGTACGACGATGGATTTCAAAGTATGTAGCGCCTACACGTAGTATACTAAGTGGAGAGGTGCTGCTTGATGCGACGAATTAGACATAACATATTTGGTGGGTTGCCTATAATAACCTCCTCTATACTTGGTGGGCCAAAACAACGCCAGCGTTGACGAGATAATTTCCTCCCGCAGCCGTCATTATCCACAAAATTACTGCATTTGTATCCCCCGTTGTACTATTTTTGTTTCAATGTGTTTCGTGGCTTGCATAGCCCAGCAGTAAGTGAGACTTCGCGAAAGTACCACTTGCTCTAGCTTAGGCCTAGATGCCGCCTGCATCATCCCAACCTTTTGACGTCTAGCTCGTTGCTAAGTCGTCACGTGCTGGAATCTTCTATAACTTCTAGCGTACTTGGGAGTTGGACATAGGGGTACGTAAGAATATATTGCTTGGTGTAGTAGTAAGTTGTGATTAGATGTTTTTCTTCACATCGTGCAATCTCTTCAGGTATTCGGAAAACAAAAATGCTGCTTGCCTATGAGAATATTACTCTTGGTGTATGAACCCGGTTTATAATTGTATTTCAACCTGGTTTTGAAAGCACACTTCAAGTCTAAAGTACAGATAATAATGTATATGTATGTATGCGTGAGAGAAAGAATTCCAGTTTCATTACAACGTTACCTATTAAATACCTATGTAAATTTCTGTAAATATATAAATAAGATCACGCATGCTTATTAAATAAATAGTGTCTCTTAAGCTACTAATCATATATGATAGCTTCAAACATTAACTTGTTTACTTTGTCTTGGGTGTTGATAATAAGGGTTTATATTTAAGTACCTAACTTAAACTTAAGAATGCATAGATCTTAAAGCAGAAATAATAATAATTATATACCTACCTCCTAATTTATCTGATACATTAATTATGTGTTCTAACACCAACGACAAAGCAGCTGGAAATCTCCATTTTGGACACGATAAAAGAGCCATTTCCGCGTCTCTCAAATCTGATAGTTGACATTGATAGATAATAATTCATAGCACCTTAAATAACGCCAATGTGTTGTTATAGCTGTCCTCCGCATTGGAAAAGCTTTTGCATTGTCAGAGATATGAGGGATAAGTTGGTGGAATAGGGGTTGGTTGGCAATATAAACAGTAGCTAGCTCCCTTCGCAAGAGGATAGAAGGTCAGGCTTTACTAATTCAACGCAATATACTGCGTGTAAGACCCTGACCTCTACTCTGTATGCGGCATTCTACACCGAGGGCGTACTTGAAATAATAGCCAACTACTCGACGTACCTTAGGCAGGTATTTCGTAAGTAACATATAGAACGAGTTTTATAAATATACCTCGGCTTTGGGCTTCCACGGCATGAACCTGTTGTAATGGTAGCATATGGTTCCCAAGTTACTAAATACCCGGAAGTTAAAGGCTCCTTGTTATATCTACGCTCTAGTGTCAGACACGTTTGTAGCCTCTCGTGAGCATAAGCAATCCACACTCCTTGTGTAACCGTGCGTACGCAACTCACGTTGAAGCAATGCTATGTTCCCCAGCTTTTAGTCAGCCTTGGTGGCGGTATCAATACTGTATATCTACAGTGCCATTATGTTATTGTTGTACCTAGATGTTTTCCTAATTCTACTCAAGTCTCAAGTGCATAGCACTTCTCCACGCTAACCGCATCATTCCCCCACCAATTCGGCATGCCGATAACCTTCGCACTACCGAAGATCAAGAAGATCAAGAGCATGTTCAAGTTGAAACCAGCATCGAATGCGGCCGCGAGAATAAAGTTGTACTTGGCCCATAGCTGGTATCGGTACCGGTACGCCCAGTACATAACGACGAACCCCCCTATGAAACGCGAGAAGTACCCCGTCGACACGTTGCCGTAGAAGATGGACGCGCCGCTGAAGAAAATAGTGGTGTTGAAGAGGTGGAACTTCGCGCGAGGGAACAGTCGGTGGAGTGCGTAGACGATGGCCGGGCAGGCCGCGCCGACGAGGAATGCGTAGGGGAGAGGACGAAATTGTTCTTGTCGGAAAAGTCGGGTTGGTCCCTTTTGAGGGACGTTAGTGTTTGGTGTTTACCTATGCATGATTCACGGACAATCAGAACGAAAGAAAACTTACCAATAGAACGTATTGAACTCCCATCGTCAAAGAGCTAGCTAAACTCTGACCCGTCCAGATATGGGCTGGATCATCAACAGCTCCAGTCAGGTACTCACGCTTAGAGTCCATGATCCAGCGCATTGCTGCATAATTGATCGGTACACCCATGGTGATTCCGAAAATTTGCGAAAAGAAAACTGCACGTTGGGGAACGTGCATGTAATGCCCTATTTTCTGATCTTGCAACATATACTGGGCCCGATACCAAGCTATTTTTACTGTCAGTAATGATCATAAAAAGGGAAGATTTGGCGAAAACGAGTAATCAATGGAATAGGGGCTATCATACCGCCACCAGCCAGAGCACCATATATCTGATTGACAAGATTAGCTACCCATGTATAAAACGCTTATTAGGATGATAGACTTACACTAGCTCCAATGGGATTACGATGGGTGCTTAGGTTCTGCACCATCGTGCCGTACAATAGCTCATTGAACGTCCCGATGGGCAGCTGGAAGTTGCTAATGGCGTAAAGCCAGCCGAGGGGAACGACAATAGCGGCTCCTGTCGCGAGTGCCACCAGATAAGTCCACCAGGGGATGAACAAGAGGTCCATCCCAACCATTGTCATGACACATGTAAAAGAACCGAGGAATAACACAATATACCACCATAAAGGAACTTCCTTGTATGATCTCATGAGCACATTTAAACGGTCCGTGTCTGCTTATGTTAGCGTCCTGGTACATAAGTTGAGTACTTAGGTAGGCTGGTGATATAGTAACGTACTAGAAACATATTAGTTTCAATGAACATATCATAACATATTATTAGTGAGATTACTGTGCGTACCATTGATGGTTGATTCCCTGACCGGGATTTTTCTGACGTGCCCGAAACTTCCTGAACCCCTCTCTGATTTGACCGGCTCCAAAGAATACAATCCAGGAGTAAGCAGACACGTAAGAAGCGTAATCAAAGAAAATGGACCACAGGTAATGAACACCAAGGTACAGCGGTCCGTTTTCTTCATAAGCAGTCTGATTGAAGGTATTTTGCGGTGTGACTAGGTCGGTCACAGGATATCTGCTCCCATCAGCAGTACAAGCTCGGTTCGTCATTAAGCAATGAGGGTAATTTCCAAGGTGTCCCCATTTTGCAGCGGGCAGTAGAATCCAGCATGACATAACGAAGGAGCAGAAAAGGACGACCTGCGACCACCAAGGACTCAAAAATAGCGGAACTCCGGCGAGATAGTTGGACTTTCAAAATCAGTTAGTACGGTATCTTTTAGTCCCTATTATAATTCCACCAAAAGACTTACGATATTGGCCCAATCAAAGCTGAAGTTGAGAAAGCCCATTCCACCAAGGCCGGATCCGATAAAGTTGGCGACAGGATTATGAGGAGCGACCCAGCATAAGAAGGCCATGGAGTTCAACATCGGAAAGGCGTACTCGGGTAAGAACTGCCATAACGTGACGCCCAGAAGCACCCACCAGAACACGCGCATCTGCTTGCGCGCAGTGCGAGTCGGGTTTTTGTTCTGTCGACTCTGAGTCTCGAAAAGCGCTGCTTGGCAAAGAGCCTGGAACCAGGGGTATGCCGGTTCGTATAGTAGAATTTGACGAGCAAGCGCGGCGAAGGCGTACCCTGTAGCATCGATGGACCACATGAAAAAGATGGCGGCTGCAGGATGAAGACGCTCGTTAAAGTAAAGGTCGCCGATCGAGATCGGAGTGGTGCCTCCATTGCCTGTCGCGCCAGAAGCTGCTGTTAAAGTGACTAAGACATGCTCTTTGACCGACCATGGTCCTGGGTTCATGTTAAAAGACCAGCGAGTGAAGGGAATATGAAATTCGCGATTAGGAAGGACGCGGGCGAGCCAGAGGCCGACATAATTGGAAGCTATCTGGACGAAGAAGACTGAGTAAGGTGCATACGTGGTTCGGTAGCTGTTCATGGAAGATAAAAAAGCACCTGGAATAACGAAGATGATAGAAAGGATGAAATATCGAAATGTCAAGGTGGGCAAAGTTGTATCATCGTGAAGACTGACGACCCGTCTGACTTCAGGAGGGATCTGGCTGATCTCGGGGTCATTTTCGTTCTCGAGATCCGCATCAACCTCAATGGAGTCCTCGACGGGAAGTTTCTCCTTGCCTGGGCTGATGTCCTTAACTACGTCTTCTGTTAAGGGAGGTAGTTGGTTAGTTGGAGGCTCAGCTGCGGGCGCTGCACTAGAGAACTTGGCTTCGTCCTTGGCGTCGCCCGAAATGCGGGAAGACATCTCGGCGCCTTTGAGTCCCCGGATTCAAATACTTGGCGGTGATAAACTCCTTTTGATAATTTGATAATGGAATTTGAGACTTCCGTTTAACTTGGCGACGCTCCAAATCGACGCTCCAACTCAACGCGCCAAAGGTAGCTCGGCGGTAGGATGCATGGAAATCGCGAGGAACACAACGGGTCTTAAGTTTTCTTATTTATATTACGGCTGGTACTACCAACGCGGACATAGCTCTAACTGCAGGGCCGATTACATTGTATGTATAGTTCGTGTTGCTCTTTACCAACCATGTAAGCGATCATTGGAAAGAGTTAGTACCAATCACGCAATCGCGGCGCATATAAACGATTCGCAGGAGAGTGGGTTATATCTCGGCGCATCTCGCCATATGCATTTGCGTCTAGACAAAGTACCCAGGGTCGTAGTGCTTTACCCCGGTTCCGCGGGTTCGCGGCTAGACACGGCAGATGTTGATGAACAGCTTTTTTTTTTTTGCCCTTGTTTCTTCACGTTATATAAAGTGAGATTTCTTTGGTGACAAGGTTCTTAATGTATCTGTCATATTATTAGATACTTGAGTATGCTTGCGTGATAGATTGATATAATGGTGTAGAAGACCGGATGTAATTGTTGGATGATAGAACATAAATAACAAACGCGCCCTTAAATGACAGAAAAAATAAACATCTGATAGGTGCATAGGAGAAACCCGAATCCGATATTAGAATTTGAACGGCTTTAATTCAACACCTTCCTTATCTTTTGAGACAGCTCATTCCATGACACTTACCGTTCAAAAAGCAATAGGCCATGTCATGGAACTGCGAGGGTCGTATGAGACTGCGTCAACTTACTAAGTCCTTAATGTGAATGATTATCGGATTACATACCTACATATGAGCGGCACGTCTTCGATGAACTTTACGGAAGCCATGCTGGCATGTATCCCTAGCATAATGCCTTCAGCCACTTGTCTTGCGTCATCCTCCTTTCTTGTAGGCTTTCTGAAGCCGAGTTGGGTACCTAATTTTGGAAAGAGGTTCCCCTTTTCGTAGCATGTAAATCTTTCTAATTTCAATTTTCAATGATTCCGCCTGGGTTTTCTGTATGGATGGAACTAATATGTTCCATAACAACTTTTCCCAAGTACCTAGCTTAGAGCCTCCGCCCTGAGTGACGCATAACTTCATCAACCCTCTGTCGATAGCTCCGGCTGCTAGGAAAATCACGATTATGACTACGACAATTATGTGTTGCTTTATTATGATTTTGCGAATTTATACTTAAGTGTGCGTAACCTGTCATGGTGGTATAGAAGATAGTAAGTTATCAGTTATCCTATACCTATTAGCCAAAAAGGGGCCAATACGGTAGGTACGGCAAGTCTTTTGCCTTGGTCCGGCGGTAAGGACTTGTAATGAAAGATATTCATATGGTGGCCACTCGTAAGGTGATTACAGGTTCTGATTACTAGCTATTGTGGTGTTCTATTGGCGTGTCTGTTGGAATGAATAACCTTTCTTAAGTGGTCGGGGACTTACTATAGATAATAGCCTGACGTACCAGCATCTTTTAAGTCGCCCTTCAGGATCATTTCACAGGTAGAAATACCCCTAGTATAGAATCATTACCTATGGCTCGGTTTTCCCCCTTTTGAATAACTTCGATGTTTGAAGATGCTATTACAGGTAGGTATATATAATTGCTGCAACCTTCTTTGAAAGCAGCATTTCTGCGTTTCTATCTTCGCATCTCTCGGCCAACGAAGAGCGTTAGGATTATAATATATGTTTCACTTGCTCATATCGCCCTTTTCAACATAACCACCGCCATAATAGCGAGGGTTAGGTACTTGCGGCCATATATACTGGCTACTTCACACCTCGGATTCTAACCTTCAAATTGGTTGTTCGGTAACAGAGACGATATCGCTGGGGGGAAGAAGGGGGTTGGTTGGGCGATATAAAAAGATGATAATAACAATAATAAATAAAAGAAAAGGGGGAAAAATTGTTCCGAGTGCCAGCGAACCTCAGAAATCCCCAGAACCCACTAGACCGATGAATGAACGAGGCCGTTGCATATATACCTAAGTATATGCGCTGTCAAGTTACGTATAACTATATTTTCACAGCAAGAGTTGTTCATTGATGATCAACAGCTATCAAAGGATAGTAGCGCAACAGGTGAGGTTCGAACTGTACTCGGAAACTGCGTGCCTACCACTTGGCCATTGCCCCCGTAGGAGCGTTATTGGTACTTGCCTTAAATGACATTATATGCTTAACCTTTTCCCCGTGCTTTCCTTTTTTTTTCGCTTTTTTCTTTTTGGCAGCTGTCAGCCTCGTGCAATTGAAAAACCTCATGACTATGTACCTCTACCTAGTACCTAGGTTGCGTTCCCATACAGCCATGACGCCCACCTTCTGGATATCGCTTTGGATCACAACGAGCGCTTTGAGCCCTGCTACTTAATTTTATTTACTTCTAATACCTATATGCTTCATTCGCTCATAACATTGACATTTACCACTGGGACGAAAGATGGGCGTATGCTGTATCTTCCTAATAGGATCGATCGATGTAGGTTCTTCGAACCGGGGGGGGCGGGGCGC